ACAAGGACATTTTTCGGTATTTTGAATGTATTACCATTCTATGCCTTTTGTTTTACATATATAGATTATAAACTGATAACTAGTGGAAAGTCAACTATTTGTACAATGTCATATCTTATGTAACATCTCACATCGACTAACGGAGATGAGGTGATATGCCTTATATATAAATACCCACCTCCATCTAGCACGAAACTTTTTGGGAGCTCACTAGTTTCGGAGTCATGGAAACTCCTTAGTTAAGCGAGCTTGGGCTAGAGCAATCTTATGATGGGTGATCCACTGGTCGTGAGTTCCCAGAAACAAAACCATTAGGGCAGAGAGGAGGCCCAAAGCAGACAATATTCAAATGATGACTAGTCAACTTCTCAAAAATACATTTCTTGAAGTGACGGCTACCAAAGAGAATGAAGAGACCATTTACCCAAAATTCATAAGTTAGAAACATACATTTGGTAGCATAAGAATATCAAATAATAAGATTAAATTCTTTAAGATCCAGCTAGAAACACAATGAGTTGGTAGAGGTCTGAGTCTGCATCTTAATTATTTGTTTGCAGTTTTCTTATTTTGTAATAATTGTATCTCCTTTTGAGTTGGGTATTTGATTGTTTTCTAGTCTTTACATATATTTTGTACTTATGAGAGTTTAAAAGTTGTAGTTGTATTGGTAGATTTGGGCCTTGCGATTCATGTCTGGTTTGTTCAGGCATGCAGCTTTTATACCGAAATTTCTTAGGCCTTTTGTGGCCTATATCTTGATTAACCCTGCGTGGTTTTTAAGCTTTCATATTTGTATTGCCCATTTATAGGTATTTGTCATTGTGGTTGATGATCTTTATGCCTAATTTATTAATACAATTATCACTTTTCTCAATAAAAATTAATAATAATAATAAAAGTTTGACATCATACAAAACTAGCCTCTCTGCACTCTTTTAAATAAGGGGCTTTTTTATTATTATTTAAATTATTTTATTTTAGAGTTAAAAAAGATAGTGGGTAGTTGTGTTCCATAAAAATAGAATCTATTATCTGATTTTTCTTTTAATTTTAATTTTTTTTAAATATGAAAAGTATGAATTTACCATATTATCCTCATTTAATTAATAATTTCAATTTTTATTTGCATTAACTCTTTTATTTTATGGTATTTTGAATGTTTTGCTATTCTCTATCTTTTGTTTTATATATATAGATTATAAATTGATAACTAGTGGGAAGTCTGACTAATCTAAACTAATTAATCTTTAGCAAGTGCCGATGTGATCATAATCACATTTTACAATTAAATATTGCCACGGGCATAGTTCACCAAAAGTCGCCCTTGAAGTCTTTAATTAAAAATTAAGGGTTCTCAAGGTTAACAGAATGTGATGTTAGATTAACGTACATATGGAAAGAAATTGGAGCATATTATTGGGTTGTTGGCTTCAACTTTAACAATTTTGTTTGTGTATATTGTTGAGAGTGTTTGTTCTAAATTGAAATGTTATTGGACCTAACCTGGGTTTATAAGGAGTTGAGCTACTCCTCATTTTGCCAATTAATTTTGGGATGGAACCTCAACTTCCATCATATATGTGCGCAGATCCCATTGAGAATGTAGATGCAGATGCTGCACTGCACAAGTCAAGAAGCCGTATGATATGAGCAAACTAAACGACAGCACTGCTTATATGTATTAATAACCTCTATCAATACACCACCGACATCAATTGAAGTGTTATATTGATACTGTTGAAGTTCTCTATGACAAAAAAAATAAAAATCTTTGAAAAAGTCGCCTGTAAAAACGTTCAAAGTCTTTAACAAAAGTTCTCAAATTTTGAAAATTACGCTGACGTAGGGCATAACGAAGTCGATGACGACTTTGTATATACAAGTCGGAATATATTTTACCATCTTTTGATCGGATCTGCACAGAAAAAGAATAAATTGTTTTAGTATGAGGAAGCCACAATTTCTTTGGGCAAGTAGGCTAATGATATGTCATATACTTACTATTAAAAGCATAATTAACAAGACTTGGAAGGTATACGACTTTAGATAAGATTATGATTAGTTGGAATGCTTAATTGGAGAAAATAATCATAACATGGGGAGTGAGTCACCAATACCCAACTTGGTAAGTGAGTCATGAAATACTCTTCCACAAATAGATTTGGTTAAGATATCTGCCAATTGATCTTCTGATCTTACAAATGGCAGGCGGATCACCTTCTTCTCAATTTTTTCTTTGATAAAATGTCTATTCACCTCAACTTGTTTAGTTTGATCATGTTGAACTGGATTATGGGCAATATCGATGGCTAACTTGTTATCACAATGTAACTTCATTGGCTTTCCTGACTTGAGACCCAATTCTGTCAATAGTCTTCTGATCCACAGTAATTCACAAACTCCATGAGCCATTCCTCGATACTCTGTTTCAGCACTAGATCGAGAAACCACATTTTGTTTCCTATTCCACCAAGTGACTAGGTTACCTCTCACAAAAGTGAAGTAACATGAAGTAGAGCATCTGTCTATAACGGAGCCAGCCCAATCAGCATTTGTATATCCAACAACTTCGAGATCTCTATTTTTTGAAAACATTAATCATTTTCCAGGTGCCGACTTTGTATATACAAGTAGGAATATATTTTACCATCTTTTGATCGGATCTGCATATAAAAAGAATGAATTGTATTAGTTTGAGAAAGCCACAATTTCTTTGGGCAAGTAGGCTAATGATATGCATAATTAGCAAGACTTGGAAGGTATACGACTTTGGATAAGATTATGATTAGTTGGAATGCTTAATTGGAGAAAATAATCATAACATGGGGAACATGTTAAAATGCTTTTGGGTTCCCTTCTCAATGCTAAGACAGACTGGAACCCTTTGAGGAGAGAAGCTTCCCTAGTCCTGTTGGTTGGCCTTTCTAGTCTCAATCCTGTTGCAGTTCAATCTTGGATATTTAAGTTGTGTTCTTATCATCAAGGACTTCATTTAGAAAAAGAATAAAAATAGACTTTGTTAGAGAACTTAGACAATAAATAATTACAAAACTATTCTTTCTAATTTTTTTTTTTACACATTTTGATTAGGTTTTATTAGCTTTCTTACTCTACACACATATGTAACATTGTATATACCTTGCCAACAAGGGTTGGCTCAGTTGGTAAGGTCCTTGTACTGTATCCTCCACCAATGTTTGAGTCTCGCTATCAGCAGTTTCATGTTGGTAGATAATTTGTAAATCCGAAAAAGTCTTGGGTTTGCTCTAATCTTGGATATGGATTCATGACTTTTGCTTTCTTGATAAGTAAATATGCCCATTAATTTAAAACGCACCTCTGGAGTCCTCGTACCAACCATGCACGTCACACGATCGCTTTTGTTCAAACAAATAGTGACGTAAGGCAGTAACAAAATCGATGACGTTGAACGACTTTGTCACTTATGCGCAAAGTCGTGTAGTTGAGTACATAAAATACAAGTCGAAGTACATATTTGACGATCTTCGATTGGATCTGCACAAAAAAGAATAAAATGTTTTATTTTGAAGCCACAATTTCTTTCGGTACATACAATAATGATATTCCATATATTTATTCATGCATGTTGATGAAAGACTTAAACACGACTTTGGATAAACTATGGTAACGGGGGATGCTTCTTTGGAGAAAATAATAATAATTAGTGGGAAACACAAATTAATTGGCACTTATATGTGTCTGTTATATGGACATAGTGGGACATATAAAGAAAAGGCAGAGAATGATGAAATATTTAAAATACCAGAAAATATCTTTGGTTAATTCAAACCAGAAAATATTCTTGGTTAATTCAAACATTAAGAATTGAAATTATTAATTAAATGAGGATAATATGGTAAATTCATATTTTTTATATTAAAAAAATTAAAATTAAAAACAAAATCAAATAATAAGTTATACTTTTATGAAACATAACTACCCATATTATTTTTTCTTAATTCTAAAAATAAAATAAAAAATAAAAAGAAAACCACATGTGCCCAAGGGGCTAGTGGGCATAGTGGGACATGTTCACACACCTACTTGGTGTCTTTGGGGACGGTTTACACTCTAGCCCTGGCAATAGGTCAAGGGAATGAATTGCGCTCTATTGAGTGTATTCTATATTCAAGAATCAAAACACGATTTTTTTTCTTTTATTTATTTATTTATTTTCTTTTCATGGTTAAGTACTAGTATAAAACTGTTTCCAAAGTCTAAAATTTCGTAGAATTCATTTTTTGAAACAAGAAAGCATTATAATTTTTTTTTTTTTTTTCTTCAAACGATTCCTCCGTTTGGATGGAGGAAAACTAATTCGAGAATTGAAGAGGAAAATTGATATTTGCATTATTTATCAACTTAAGCATGAAACTTATTAAATGATGAGCAGAAAAATTAGTGGGAATTGGAGGTCGAGATTTCCGAGTTTAATTTCCACCAAAAGAAGCGTCATGTCACAATTTCTATTGGGCAAAAATTTGTTTTTCCCTGTAATTTATGTCATTTTACAAAGTCAACATACATAAATAAAAACACTAAAATTATTATTGCCAGAAATTTAAATGATGGAGATTTAAATTCCGTCATTTTAGAATTCTATGTAATTTTTCAATTCCTTCATCCAAACGGAGGGGGAAAAACATTTAATACACATTCACGCGCATAAAAAGAAGTTGGATCCAATGTGAAAGTGAAACGTAGCATATGGCAAATTGGGAGTATAATAATGAGGTGGATCCTTCTTATACGGTACCGCCCTAGTTAGTGTCCAAGGTGAAGAAGCTTATAAGGCTATAAATAGGGCTGTAGGCCATACCGAACTCACTGCAAAGACAAGCCATCCTAGTTATTCTGTGTTCTGATTAAACCCCAAAATCTAGAGGTTCCATTCCAAGCAAGCCATCACCACGGGCTCGGCCTCCATATCAATCTCTCAAGTAGTCAGTACTACTACTACTACAAGTATTGAAAACATGGAGGCCTCTAAGAAGAATCTATTTGCCATGAGTGACGCAGAAATTTTGGAAGTCATTTATGCCACTCATGAAGTTAGTCATGACCACGATTCCTTTGACGTTCATTCTCTTTTCTCCATCACTCAAAGCATCATTAAGTGTTCAAAGCAGATCGTCGATAGTATCGACCAGAAGGTATGTATGGTACTATTATATACTACACCGTTGAGCTGAGTTTTTTGAGTATTAAAACACTTGTAATTTATTGCTTGCGACTTGTTTCGCAGGTCCCCCAAGTATATGCTGAAAATATGGGTGGAATAACTATTGCACCCAGCTTCAGCACGCCCTTGTGCGTTTTAAAGTCCATAGTTCGAGAGGTAATTTCATTGCCTTCTAATTTATTTTCATCCGTAGGGACTCGAATTTGGGAAACATTATTCATTCTAACAATGAAAAGGATATGGAGAAAAAACAAATGTCACAAAACCAAACGCAAGAATGAATGAAATTGAGAGATACATGATTAATTAGTATATGTTTGTAGATATAATCTTGATTCTAGACAATATTAGTCAGATTCATGTTAGTGAAGACAGGTGTCCATTGACTGAGTTGTTGACTACAGCTGGCATTGTAACTAATAGCACGTGGTTAAGATTCCAATATTGTTAGATGGTTAATAGTCTGTTTAGTGTTGTGTTAATAGCTTATAAAAGCTAAGTCTCTCTGTAATAGGATTCATTCTATATATTCTGAGGTTTCCTATTCTTTCTTCTTCTTCATTCTTGCAATGGTTATCATGGTTATCAGTTAGTACATATATAACTCATCATAGTAATTAAACATGCAATTATTTCAGGTGCCATGTAAGGCTCCAGGGGAAAAGAATGCCCACGACGCCACGCTGAAAATACTTAGCAAGGTGTCAAAGTATTCATGGGAAGCGAAGGCTGTGCTGGCTCTGGCGGCTTTTTCTTTGGAATATGGAGAGTTCTGGCTGAGTGCCCAGCATCAACAATCTGACCAACTTGCCATGTCTGTGGCATTCCTTAAGGGTGTGCCAATCCTTCTCAAGCCCGAAAACCTCAAGAAACGCGGCAGAGCTATCACTGATCTCAACAATGTGATCATGTCCACATTGCAAGTGATTGATTGCATCTTTCAATTGGAGAAGCATTCCATCACTTATAATGATGTAAAGGAGTTGAGAGAAATCTTGGCAAATGCAAGGAAAGATATCTGGGTGAATGTCTATTGGTGTATCATTACAACCGTAGCTTGCGCCACTAACATCACCCTCCTTACTAGTGATGAGTAAGTTTCATCCACATCTTCTCCATGCTTATACATCATGTACGCCTAATTAATCAATTGTTTAGATTGACAAGCAAACAATATAACATATACATCGCCCAAGTATCATTTACCAAGAACTGATTTGAACGTAGTATAACTGTTTTAATTCATTCATATCAGGGGGAACTCACACGACCTTGTCCAGTATTCTCAGAAGATCACAATCATCCTCAGTAAACTTAAGCAACAGCTTAAGATCTGTGAAGAGGAAATAGGTGGGTTTACTTGATGAGCATTCACGAGGAAATACATATGTTGTTCTTGCAATACAATGCTGACATTCCTTTTTTGTATTATTTAATACAGAGAAGTTACGGCCCTACAAGAAGCTCAAAAACCTCTTCCTAATTCCTACTGAGATTATCGAGGTTATGAAGATCCTAATCTTTTCAACCATTTTCGACGGTTCCATTAAGCAACTGGTTTGCTCTCTCATCATAGCACATTAATTTCTTTTGAATTTTGAATGAATAAAGATACAAATTTGTGTCATGCACTTGATTTTATAATTGCGTGCATAATGTTAATTTCTAACAGGTTCACATCGACATCCTAAGGACGAAGAATGTGTTGTTGTTCATTTCGAGCCTAGAGATATCTGAGGATTATATCGCTTGTCTCAGACCCATATATGATTTTACAAAGGATAATAATGAGTATAAGATTGTTTGGATTCCTATAGTAGAGAAGTGGACTAAAGTTCTGCAACGCAAGTTTGAGGCCCTGCGGGCTAAGATGCCATGGTACACAGTAGGCCAGGCTGGTGCCCACATTGCAGGCATCAAGTACATCAAGGAGGATTGGAACTTTAATGGTAAGCCTATGCTGGTTGTGTTGAACACAAAGAGTCCGCTCCAACATTTCAACGCTCTGCGCATGATTTCGATAATGGTTTTCCGCGTTAATGGATGGCATTAAGATATCCACGTGGGTGAGTTCTTCCTAACAAATTGATGGATGTTCATTTTATAATTTACGTTGTCCATGCTAATTGCACATACACGTAATGCCTGCACACACAAAAAATCAAATAGATATAAGAAATTTGTTGTGTTCTATAGTCTATAGGCAAACACTGTGTATCAAATAAAAATCGAACGACAATAAGGGTAAGCAAATGACTAAATAACTTCTGATTTGGTCCCTTCTTTTTTTTTTTCCTTTTTTCCGTGGATGATTTTAAAGGAGAACCTAAAAAAATTAGGATTCAATCGCAGGCTGACGATAATATGTTCTCATGAAAAATTAGGATTTAAAGTGATCACTTTCCTTAAATGCAAACATCGCGCAGTTGGAAACTAACTGTATATATACATTTTATTTCCCACAGAACAAAGACGATTACATTTTCTTCTACGGAGGGGATTCAGTGTGGATGAATCAGTTCAAGGAGAAAGCAACTGCCCTTATAAATGATGAAATAAAAAATGAACCAAAGATTTCTATTGAGTTATATCCTGTGGAGAAGAACGCAAATAATGACAGAGGGGATGACAGCTTTAGCACCTTCTGGTCCGCCATAGAAAGCATGTTCCATGTCAAGGTTATCAATAAGCAGATTGAGGACGTGGTAAAACAAGTTCAGAAGCTGCTTTCCTACGAAGATGACAAGAGTGGATGGGCTGTTTTCATCCAAGGCCGTAGGCTTGTGGCCCTTGGTGGTTCGACAATGTATACGGTTCTCGAGAAATACCACACGTGGAATCAGAACGTAACACTAACAGTAGAAAACTTTGGACAAGTTTTTAATCAACAGCATGAGACGGAGGTTGAAGAAACTGGTCACGTCTGCAGCTGCTTTAGCATCCCAGGTGCAACTGGAAGCACCCTAGAGGCAATGGTATGCTACGAGTGTGGCAATTCCATGGAGACATTCTTCAGCTATAAGTGCTGCCATGTCAAGAAGAAGGCGCGTTTGTGTTGGCGAGATATCCTAGCCCTATTAGGATATTTCCTTATTATTCTATTAGGATTTTATTTATTTCATTTTGTATAAATATTATGTAATTAGGACTTTTCTTATTTCATAGTATAATTCTACTAGGGTTTGTAACCTTGTATTATAAATACTTCATTTCGGAGAATGAAATATATATGAAAAATATTCTACCCATATTGTTTGACTTGGCATCAGAGCCTGGGGACTTTCTGGTGGCCTTTGTTGGGTTTGTCGTGTTGTGTTTTTTTTTTTTTTTTTTTTTTTTTTTTTTTGTGTATCATGGATGATGATTCCAAAGACATGGTGGGTGCTAATGCGTCTGCAACAAAGAAGGAACGTCCCTCGCATGATTACTCTACTTCGATTACTTCTGATTATGTCTCTTGGTCTCGTGGTGCGTGTATTACAATTACTACTAGTCGTATGGCAAGTTGGATTAATGGGAAGAAGCCTGCTCCGTCTTCAGATTCCGCTGTCTATGCCGAATGGGAAGAAGATAATTGCCTGGTGCAGTCATGGCTTTCAATCCATGACTAAGCCAGTTCGTGCCTTGTTTGAACATGGTGATACTGCTTTTGATATATGGGAGGCTGCCCGAAAGACCTATATTGTGACTCAGAATAGTTCTCAATTGTTTCAACTCCGACGGCAATCCATACGTACATGTTAGAATGGTGATTCTGTCAAAGTGTTTTATGAAAAACTCCATGCTATCTAGCAGGAGATTGATTGTCTGCGTCCACATGAGTTTAAGTATGATGATGATGGGGCTCGTCGTCTGAAAGAAATTGAAGCCAACCGAGTTTATGATTTTCTTGGAGGACTTGATCCACCGTATGATGGTGTCCGTAGCCATATCCTTGCTCTTAGTCTTATCCTGCCCCCTATCGAAGCCTATGCCATGATCATGGAGGAAAACACCCGTCAGTCTGCTATGCTTGGAGGAGGTTTAATGGCCCTCAAAGTTGACCCAACACGTCAACGACCGATCGCACAGCACGACACGACCGGTCGCTCCTCGTCCATAAAATTTTCTTCTCCTGCAGGGTCTCCTCCTTCTGGCTCTACCCCTAGCTCTCTTGACGGTCCTCCTAAGTGTCGTCATTGTAGTGAGAATCATTACTTTGAGAAGTGTTTTAAGGAGCATGGTTATCCCGATTGGTTTGCTGACTACAAAGCTCGTATGTACGGTCCCAAGGCCGCCTGCACAGTGACTCAAAATGAGGCTCGTCCTCCGGCCCCGTCTGCAAATCTGTGTGCTTCCGATACCATGCCATGTATGGGTTCTAATACTTGGATAATTGACACTGGTGCTTCTGATCATATGACTTATGATGATAATATGTTTGATGAGTTGTCTCATAACCCTCGTGACCTTTATATTACTAGTGCTAAAGGTTTACCTTCCTAAGTTACCAGTGAAGGCCCCATCCACCTCACTTCTTCTTTACCTCTGTCCCATGCACTCTTCGTTCCAAATATTCGTTGCAATTGGGCTATGCCGTCCCTAGTCGTGCGCCGGACATCTTTGGTCCGAGGATCCTGAGGGGGCGACTCCAGCTGGGTTGGAAGTGGCCGCTGGACCTGTTGCACATCGTTCTGCGGCTTTATCTACTGGGCCACCTGAACAAGGGGCTCGGCTATTGCGACCGAGCTGGGCGGCATTAGATAAGCGTCGTAGGTTTGACCGGGGTGCGTATGTGTTGCTGTTGGAATGGTTGGACCGTACTGAATGTGGGAGCCTGACGGAAATAATGACGCTTGTAACGGTGAAACGGTCGGATTGCTCTGACCGTACTGCTGTGACGAAGCAGCGGTCGCGTTGCTTGGGCCATGATGGGTCTGGACGGCCATGACGTGAACTGGGCCAAGTTGTTGGACCACGGAATGCGTGGGGCTGCTTTGCCCCAGTGATACGGCCAAAGCATGGAGTGGGCCGTACGCTGTTTCTGCTGGGCAGGTCAGTCCGGGATTTACCCATGTTGGCTGGGATTGCCCACAGCTATTTGTCGGCGGCTGAGAAGGCTGGCCGTAGCCTGACGCTTGGGTGCGGTCAGAGGCACCGAGGCTGTTGCTTTCGCCGTAGAGCTCAAACCTCTCGCGCTCTTGGCTTCTCTGTCAGGCTCTAGGAGGCGTCGCGGATGACGTGACCGACATCCTCTCCTGAAAAAGCGTCTGTAGCTCTGAGGAGAATCTGTCCATTGCGGCCATAAAGGATGTCTCTATCCTGTAGCCCTGCTTAGCCATCAGACCCTCCACTACTGCTTGCTCTTGCATAGACTCGGTAGCACGATCCGTCGTTATTGAAACGCTGGCCGAGATTCTGACCGCGTGTTCGGTCTTGGTGATAGTGTTTGGTGAGGTGGACTCAGGAGCCTCGGAAGTCATTTCGACTGTTTTGTTTTTGAGCTTTGCCTATGCCCTAGTTTCCACCATGAGATTTTGACAAGTGTCCCACCGGGCGTGCCAAAAGTGTTGGCTGCGCAAATCTCACGGCCTTGTGCTCCGGGCCGAGGGGACGTGCTTTAACACGTGGCGTCCTTCTTTTGGATGCGGTGCGGTTGTGCGCGGGCGTGCCAGCACGGTCTACCGTGTGTCGAGATGGTGATGAGGTTTGGGTAGAAGATGGTTAAATGATGCGCCTGTTTTGAGTTCGACTCCTAATCAAACGATTGTGGCCGAGAGAGGAACTGATCTCGGCCGTCAGGTTCACGGCCTGAGCTACAAGGCCGTTTAGTGGTGGTGTTGGCGGCGGGTTTTAGGCGATGCTCCGGCGCGTTGCTCAGAGAGCGACGGTCGTATGATATATGGGGTAAATGAGATGATAACAGAGATGATGCTCCGGCGCCTTGAAAATCAAGGGTCGTATGATATATTGATGAATGGATTTTTCTTACAATCTACCACTACTCCTAGGAAAGCAAATAAAGGTATTGAAAGTGCATTACAGGAAAATATAATTTGCTCCATATGAGGCTTTTGGTTTGGTGTTTGAACCCTTTGAATGTAGTGTTGAGCTTAGTATTTATAAGGGGAGTCCTGGAAGGACAATCGAGGCTGAAAAGACCTGCGTGGTGGAGCCTGATCGGGGCAAGTGGGTAGTCAAATCGGCATTTGGGATCGTGAAGCATGATGGTGTGACCCCCATAAATCCAGATAAATTTCGGCCACCGCCCTGATCGTGGGTTCTGCCCTTTTGGCCGTGGGAACGTATTTAATGCCCTGGTCTGGTGGTTGGTGATCTGACCTCAAGTTGTAAGATTACTTGTGAGAATGTTTGCGCCTAACCACTCTGATTTCCATCACCAAATCCTGACTTCAGTCACTTCCCTGGTGCATTAAATGCTTCTTGCGACCAGTGGATTTGTTGCGATAGTCAGAGGCATTACTTCATTAAATGGGGCATGGGACCCTGAGGCCACGTGGTGATTTAACCAAAGTATCTTCGGTCGTGTCTTTTACGGCCTTCGGCTTCGGCCTACAATACCGCGATCGCGAGGCCGAGAGGATTCTGCCTTTGCAAATTTTCTTTTGTTTTCAGGAAGGCGAAATGCCTAATGAAACGTGGCCGTTTCAGTTCATGAGTAGGTGCTGGGGCCAAGAGGAAGTCCCGTCAGTCAGTTTATGACCATGATTTATTAGGCACTAACATTTGCGCTACGAATTTTTTTTTCCGTTGCTGGAGTGTGTTTTGCACGACGAATTTTTTTTCGTCGCGCAAATAGTAAAATGTAGTAGTGAAGTTTGAAGTTGATCTTTAAGTACCTCAAGTTCTTGTGTAGAAAAATCATTCGGGTAAAGTTGAGCAAGCCGAATGAGCTTTTGCTTATCAAAACAAGAAAATGAATCATTTGGACTCAGGCATGCCAAGCAAAGTAACAACTCAGTGTTGGCCTCATTGGAACGACTATTCAGCTCTTGGAGTTGCAAAGCTATCACTTCATAGAAAAAATCAACACGATAATAATGCATATTTGTGATTTTTGGACCATTGCGTCGTGACCTCCCTCGAGCTAGAAACATATCATCCATGTTAGGAATATCAATACTTTGATTCTTGCAAAAAACAGAAACTTCCTCCAACAAAGAATCTCATCCATTCTCCCTCATGTTCTAGTATTGTTGCTTACATAATTCAACTAAATCCATGGCATTCACAATATCTTGATCATCCCTCTGTAAGGCTTGTGACAATGCATTTGTGATTCCAAGTATATTCCTCATCAAAAGCAAACTGAATACAAAATCAAATGATTGCACTAATCCTAGCAGTATAAATGCCTCATGTTTTTTTTATCAACACTCAATCTATCATTTGCAATTTCATCAAGCACATCAATTGTAGATAAGAACATGGTAATAAAGTTTATCAACGTACCATAATATGAGCCCCAACGTGCGCTTAATCTCTGTTGCTTGATTTAAACATTTCCCACTAGAAAGCTCCCCATTGGTCAATGCTTTAGCTACTTTGAGAGCTTGTTTATCCCAAAGAATGTCACGACGCTTCGAGGATGCTCCAACAATATTTACCACATTAGAAACTAAGGTGAAGAAAGCACCTATGAGGCTGTGCTTTTTTGCCAAACCCACAATAGCCAACTGAAGTTGATGTGCAAATCAGTGAACATAGTAAGCAGACTCATTTTCCCTCATAATAAGTGTCTTCTGACCATTGAACTCTCCACTCATATTACTGGTCCCATCATAACCTTGACCTCGTAATCTGCACATACTCAATTTATGTCTAGAAAATAATGCATCAATACTTGCTTTAAGTGACTCATATGTGGTACTTGTAAAATGTTCAATACCTATGAACCGTTCAATCACACATCCTTTCTTGTCTACGTAACGAAACATAACAGCCATCTGCTCTTTTACTAATACATCACGAGATTCATCAACTAAAATAGAAAATAATGCATCATCCATATCTCTAATAATAGCATCAGTAGTTTCAACTGCTGCAGCATTGACAATGTCTTTCTGAATCTTAGGTGAAGTTACTTTAAGGTTTTCAGGAGCATTTTTCAAAGCAACAACTCTAACTTCCTCATTGTGATCAATAAGAAATTGCAAAAGCTCAAGAAAATTACCTTGGTTGCTTGAATCCTCAGACTCATCGTGGGCACGAAAGGCAAGACCTTGTCGTAGAAGAAATCTAATACAATCAACAGATGCATTCAATCTGATTTTGTAGTCAATTTGAGATTGATGTGAGTTCTTATGGAAAACATTTTCAATATGTTGTTTTTCATTCATTAAGGCTTGACATTTTTTCAGAGCTTGGTTATGGGAAATGTTGGGACCTCCAACATGAACTTGAAATCTTTCCTTTTTCTTCCAATTTGAAAAACCTGTACCAACAAATGAGTCGCCTCCAGCTTTCTCTCCCAAATTTGTTTTAAAAAGATAACAACATAAGCAAAATGCAACATCTTCTTTGATGCTATATTCCAACCAATAAGGAAATTCATCAAACCATGCCGGGTTGAATTGTCTTGACTCTTTTCCAAATTTCTTTTAAGGGATATCATGATTTCTAGGCTGACAAGGGCCTTTTTGTAAGTAAGCTCTTCTAATTTCATCTTGAATGTTCGAATTGTAATCTAAAATCCGAGTTTGTAAACCAAGATCATAATGAAGATCTAACATATTGATTTCTATGCGACTTTGCTTTGAACTATCATCACTTCTCCCAATAGGTCCCGACAACTCCAACTCATATTTTCTTTTAAAATATTTTTCCATAACTGTCATAAATAGTTTATATTATTTTTCATCAAGATATATATATATATATATAGATAAATATAAAATCAATCATCAGTACAAATTGAATGCATATAAATAAGAATATAATGAAATTAGTTTGTAAAAAACAACTAAGTACTAACCTGTAAAATCAATTAAAGTAGCGAGTTTGATTTGTTGGGTTGTAGACTTCTGCCAAATCACGAGTTTGGCGGCTGAGTTCTCCACAAAATTACAAAATGAGTGAACTTGGTGGGATCTCTATTCTTCTTTTTTAACATAGGGTTTAGGGTTTTTCTTTTTTAATATAAGTTTTGGGCTTTAAGTGTGTATTGAATGGGCTATGTGGGGGCTTTACTTGGAAAGGACCTAAAAATAATTAAAAATTATGAATTTAAGTGGGATTATACGGTTGAAGGGTTTTTGGTCAGTGTGGGCAGCTGCCCACAGTTGTCTTTGATTGGGTCCGCCAGTCGAAATTATTAGAAATAGAAACATAATTTAAACAACAAAAATAGAAAGAAAACATAGCTAATTGAAATTACATGAGCGTGCTCCCACAACTGATGCATGAAGTCTTCTGAAATATCTTTCCAATTCTCTAATGTTATAGGCACCAACTCCCTTCTTGTGGCACCAAGGAGAGAAGCAAACTTAGCTACATCTTCCCCATGTGGCTGGCCTCGAGGATCTTTCCTTTGCTAAGATATTGCAATCGTGCTCGACCCCTAGGTTTCCTCTTTTCTTCTTTTGTCTCAAATTCACCAACCTTGCCTTTTCCTTTGGATGACACATTAATTCCTTATGTAGTAGGCATGTTTTGCTATAAATATTAGTTATTAACAGCACGCTTTACTATCTTTTTAAAGCGTGCTTTGTCATATACCGTAAATATAAGTTATTAACGACATGCACAAAAAGCGTGCCGTAAATATCAAGGCGTAAAAGCTTCAATTTGGTGTAGTGTATTATTATTTCAATTTCTGCTTCAATTTTCGTTTTTCTTTGTGATTTAAGCATTCTATGAAAGCCAGACAGTAGTTCCGCATCTACATTACAAGCAAGAAAGAGGAATAGCAATAGACAAAGAAAACTAAAGAGATCAAAACCTAAGTCCGCAATATTTATCCATTTGATTAAAATGAAGTCATTTTTTTTGCTTTTATGCGGTTATTCGTTTTTCTTCATTTTTGTATTTTTATTAGGTTATTCTTTCTTGTTTTTGTTAGTTACATGATGTGGTTTGGCTCTTTAAAATTGAAGAGGAGCATATCCCAACAACAAATGACATTTTTTGACACTTGTTAAAGTTCAAAAGAGAAAAAGATTGAAAGAATTCCAAAAAAATTAAAGGAATTTTCAAAATCTCAAAACTTTATTTGTTTTCAGTAATTTAATATTTTTTTTTCCTTTTTTTTAGAACTTTGTTAGTTTTGCTGGAATTTAAAGAGTGTTAAAATCATATAGGTTTAAAAATATACATATCATCCTCTTCAATTTTAAGAATCCAAGCAATTTTCAAATCAATGCTCAAGATGATAAACTGATAACTAGTGGGAAAATCCAACAAATAGTATAACCAACTTACATTAAATAATCATTAAAACTGCCATGTGCATGATATTCATATGTTAGAATTAAATATGACAATGGCCAGTCTGGCCCAGCAAGCAAGCATAATTGATCAAAAGTCGCCCTTCAATTCTTTTAACAAGGGTTCTCGAGTTCAATATAGTCATTTTTCACATGTTTTGGGGAATGAACTTCGTGAAAAACATAAAACCATATGAACATGTAAAAAATATAAAATCATATGAACATGTGTGTACATAATATGATGTTATATAGCGTATATATCCAAAGAAATTGAAGACATTTCTGCATTGACATGTATTATTAACTTCAATTAATACATCACCGACGTACGTTATTGTTTCCATTATTGACAGCGGCATATGATGTTATGTGTACATATAGAAAGAAATTGAAGACAACTCTCACTGACATGAACTATTAACAATCTCAATGAATACACCACCGATATGTCATCGTTGCATTATATTATGTATTAATTGAGGTTGTTAATAGTACATATCAGTGCAGAGTTGTCTTCTATTTCTTTGGATACGTACACTACTACAATATCATACAATGTTTTGAAAGGCATGCCTAAGCGCGCCTGAGAGCGTGAGGCGAGGCGAGGCGATGGTAAAACGCCTCAAGCGTACCTCTGTTTAGCGATTGTTGTTAAAGGCATACGCCAAGTTACGGAGGCGTATGCCAAATTCCAAAATCGTACGCTCGAAATTGCAGGGGCGTTGCAGAGCGGAGAAGAAGACAATGAAACCTAACTTTATTTCTCTCAAAACGATCCCGTATGGTACAGCTTTTGTGTTTAAAAAGTCAAGCAAAACGCCAGCGTTTCAACATCTATGGTTTTTAAGTTTAAGAACATAACATAAGCTCAGGTCTCACTTCTTCCATTCCTCCACAATAAAAAATTATTATATTAATTAGTCCCTCCTGTGCCTTTTATATTCTGCTCTCACCCAATAGAAGGTTCACAAAAATCAGATTTCCCTCTGTTTCAATTTTGACTAGCTCTCAGCCATATCCACCCACATATTTCTAATGGAAGCCTCTCTTTCAATCTATTCAAACAAGATGTGAATCCTATCTTATAAATTTGAATTCATATCCAGTCTATAACAGTCTAAATTAATTTAGAGCTTAAAAAGAGGCTTGAGATGTTTCAATTTATGAATCAATGACCTCACAACATATATGGATCATATGTTTTACATATTATAAATATACTAATATATTTTTATTTGTGATAATTGAATGTTCAAAAGGCTTGCACCTTATCGCCTCGAGGCTTACGCCTCGCTTTGCGAGACATAAAACGCCTCACTTCAACGCCTCGCCTTTCAAAACATTGATATCATATGACGTTGGAAATAATGCAAACGATGACGTCTTTCAAGTCTTTTAGTAACAAGGGTTCTTGAGTGCAGTAGTCATTTTCACATGTTCTAGAGACTGAACGTCGTGAAAAACATAAAATCATATGAACATGCGAAAAATATAAAATCATATGAACACATGTGTGTACAAAGTATGCTGTTATAGTAGCTTACGTCAAATTAATTACATTGAAGAGGCGGTTGGGGTACAAAACTTTACCCTTCGAATTGCCACGTATGTCACACAGACCAACAATTTGAAGAATTGAATACTTTGGAAGAGACTAACGAAGAAAGCATTTTTTTTTTGCTCACCACCACCTTTTTCTTTTTTTTTTTTTTTTTTTTTTTTTTTTTTTTTTTTTTGGGTATTAATCCAAAGGGTGGGATTAATCCCCGTTCGAGGTTCGGCTTGCTCCTGGTCACAAAGTACTTTCAACGGGTTTCGAACCCCTAACATTGAGACACCAGATAACTCGCCAGCTGAAGGTGGCAATTTGCTTGTGTCCATAAACATAAATATGGTTACAAATAAAAATCAACAATAATTACGCATATAGACACGTATCAAATATTTTAAACGATAATCATTATATAACTTGAGTTAAAATATTCAGCAAAAATATTTCCCCATTGAAGTTGCTATTATATGTGCAAGGCCAACCAACACAAGTCACGTGACCACTTAAAAAACCACACAAGCATATGGATACAAATTGAGCAACAAAAGTCAACAAAGGTCACAATGAAAAAGTTATGAACAAACACACTTATTAATTCCAATGCAATGCCTAAGATCGTTCATATTTATTATTAGTAATTGGATCGGCCCTCATGACGATATCTGAATTTTCGGCGATTTTGACACAATTAATTTCGATGATTTTGATGCTATATTGGGATCGATCATTGACACCTATATTGCCAACGACGTCATCGTTGGCATTACGGTAATCAGCATACAACTTGAGTTAAAATAATAAACACAATTATTTTCCTATTAGAGTCGCTCTTATATGTGCAAGGCCACCCAACACAAGTCACGTGGCCACTTAAAAAACCACACAAGCATATGGATACAAATTGAGCAACAAAAGTTAACAAAGGTCACAATGAAAAAGCTATGAAAAAAACACACTTATTAATTCCAATGCAATGCCTAAGATCTTTCATAGTTATTATTAGTAATTGGATCAGCCCTCGTGACGATATTTGAATCTTCGGAGATTTTGGTACAATTAATTTTCGATAATTTTGGAGTAATATAGGAATAGCAATGCAAACTCAAACTAAAGGTAGCATGCTAACCGGATTCACAAATTTTCCCACAAGTGACGTCAAAATCCTATGAGATGCTTTACAGAAAATAGCAAGGATTCTAATATTTGAAATCCAGGGACAAAATTGTGCCACCACTAATGCCAAATATCCAAACAAGAATCAAAATATGAACCTAAAATTGAGAAGTCATTCATAAATATCTCAATAAATCGTTCCACCATGTTAGAGAATTGCTCATCATGCAATGGGAAAAAATAAGTTCTGTCATTCACCCCATATTATAACACGTATAGAAGATGCACCACATAACTATACTATCGTAGTATTCTATAATTTCTATAGCAGTGCACGTCTTGCAGTTGTAGCTATATCCAATTAGTAGACACTTCTATCATCTGTCATATGATGTTATAGTACTAGTGTAAATATCCAAAGACATGAACTATTAACAACCTCAATGAATACACTGACACGAACTATTAACAACCTATTAACAACCTCAATGAATACACTGACATGAACTATTAACAACCTCAATGAATACACCACCGATGTCATCGTTTGCATTATATTGTGTATTCACTTGACAAGTATGCCCAAATTTTGGAAAATTATCCTATATATATATAGGTAAACCATTCTTCAATGATTTAATAAAACTGCGAACCCAAATTTGAGTCCTTTCGAGGAAAAAAAACTGTTTAGCCTCCTAACATGTATTTCCCAAACAAATACGATTGTATCAACAGTAGCATGGATATTGATTGAAAAAAATAAAAATTAGTGACGTAGGGCATAACGAAGTCGATGATGTTGTACGACTTTGTCATAAATTTACTATTAAAGCATGTTCTATTTTCAAAAACGAGAAACATAATTAACAATACTTCGAAGCTATACGACTTTGGATAAGATTATGATTAGTGAGAATGCTTAATTGGAGAAAATAATCATAATTTGTGGCAACTTGGTGCTTGTCTTTGACTTACACAAATGTGTTTAAGCATCTACCATCATACTTCCTATTTTTTAATTAAAATTTAGTTAAAAATACACAAAATCTAATTCAATATAATTGGTCAATCTCTATAAAAAAAAAAAAGTTAGTATTAATTAAAGTTTTAAAATATGCATAAAACAAAGCAGTATTAAATTATAGAGAGCCACTAGGAGTCATTTCTCTTTACTTAGATTTAGGAACTCCTAGAGGTCTCCCTATTTTAGGACATGGATAGGGTTCTCCTTAGATTTACGAGCTCTTATTAGAGTTGTATTTTTCCAATTCCTCCCTAAAATTTAACTAAGGAGGGTGGTTTAATGAGTCCATTGCGGATGTTTTTAGGCCCCGTTTGGTTCATGGAACAGATTTGAGAGGAAATCATTTCCCATGTCATTTCCCAAGGAATGAGAAATGGAAAATTCTTTTCTCATGTTCGGTAATGTTAGGAGAGTAACCGAGAGATATCACTTTATTTCCTTTCCCATGTTTGTTTTGAGTAGGAATGGAAAACAAAGTTTGTATAATTTTCAATTATACCCATATTAAATCAAATAAAAAAAGAATGCATTTAATTATATATATTGTAATTCTAAAATGTTAATGAGGATAAAAATGGTCATGAACAATGTGCATTTAATGTTGGCTCATTTTCCCAAACTTTCCTATGATGAGAGAAAACAAAATCCAAATTGGGAGGAGGACTTCACTTTTCCCCTACTTTCTCATGTGTCAGGCAACTATTTCTCATGCTTGGACTTACCAAACATGGGAAAGTAATTGATTTCCCATTCACAAGCCTCATTTCCCATAAACCAAACGGGCTTAAAATTCTTCTGGGGTTCCTTGGGTATGGACCTTGTTGGAATTTTTGTGAGTATTTCAAAATACAAAATTATTATTAAATTTATATTTGTTATTATTACTATATTTATTGAATTGAAATTTTAAATATGTGTTAAATGGTGATTTTAAAAGTTGAGATTTCAAAACCTTTTCCTTTGGTATAGCTGGACGTGTTCTATTGATATGAATATTAAAATCTCTTTTGGCAGTTTTGTTTTGGATTTTAATGTCTTGAATTTGGAGAAAACATGTAGACCATTTTAACTGTGGGAGCATATTATGCATCTTAATTGCTTGTTTAATAACCAAACCTCCACTTGGAAAGCTCCTATGTATAAACCATATTCAAGCTATACGTTGAAAAAAAAGGAGAAATTAGATTGGCACATTTCTTCATTATTTTCTACTCAACACTCTTGAGTTTGTGTTTCAATTTGTTTTCTTTTATCAAGGGAAAGATTTGAGTTGTTCATCCGACCCACGTATTGCCAGTGTACGCTTATGAGGGTCATAGGTTGTTGTATCCTGGAGGGTATGGCGCCATACAACCTTGCTACACAGAGACATTGTCTTCGATGGGTGAAATCTACTCTTAAGGACAGTGAATGACATGCCTCAACCTAAAACTATTTTACTCAAGTATTAGGTAGAATGATTTTCTACATCCCAAAAGATAAGTATCTTACTGTAATTTCATTAATTGTATTTAATCTACTATATCAATGTAAATTATAATTTTCTAATATATATTTTCTATAATGTTTTGCAGGAAAAGTAGCATCCTTCAACCAAATTTTCCAACAAACCTTCCCTTCTCAATGCTAACATGGATATGCATTGTATTCTATATGTTGAAGAATCAAAACAAAGAGTATTTTTATTTTATTTTTTGGGGTTTCTTTTATTGAGAAAAATGTAATAATCAATACTTTAGGACTTTCGTTAAAGACTCCGACATTTTCCCAAAAGACTTTGTTTTGTCATTTTTTATTTTCAGAGATGTGGTGAATTACATACCTATAAGACAGACTGGAACCCTTTAAATTCGTCATTAATAGGCGACTTTCTTTCAAACTATCAGAGAAAAAGTCTTCGTTTAAGTAGAGAAGCTTCCCTAGTCTGTCGGTTGGCCTTTCTAGTCTCAATCCTGTTCCAGTTCAATCTTGGGTATTTAAGTTGTGTTCTTATCATCAAAGACTTCATTTAGAAAAAGAATAAAAAGAGACTTTGTTAGAGGACTTGGACAATAAATAATTACAAAACTATTGTTCCTAAATTTTATTAGAGTGTTATTAAATGAACCTTAAAATTAATTGAGTACACTCTACTATCAAATTATTTATTGAATTACTAAATATAAAATGACCAAAAAGGATATATTGAATTGTGAAATAAATATAATTTTAATTAGTACACCGTACTCACCATATTCAACCCTAATGCTAAGCGAAAAACCTTTCCAAACTTCTTGTTGTACTTCGAGTGCAACCTTTCAAAGCTCTTCTAATTTACTGCCCTAGTTAGTGTCCAAGGTGAAGAAGCTTATAAGGCTATAAATAGGGCTGTAGGCAGGCATACCGAACTCACTGCGAAGACAAGCCATCCTAGTTATTCTGTGTTCTGACTTAAACCCCAAAATCTAGAGTTTCCATTCCAAGCAAGTCATCACCATGGCCTCAGTCAGCAGTACTACTGCAAGTGATGAAACCATGGAGGTGGCTAAGAAGAACGTGTTTGCCAATTCCTTAAGGGTGTGCCAATCCTTCTCAAGCCCGAAAACCTCAAGAAACGCGGCAGAGCTATCACTGATCTCAACAATGTGATCATGTCCACATTGCAAGTGATTGATTGCATCTTTCAATTGGAGAAGCATTCCATCACTTATAATGATGTAAAGGAGTTGAGAGAAATCTTGGCAAATGCAAGGAAAGATATCTGGGTGAATGTCTATTGGTGTATCATTACAACCGTAGCTTGCGCCACTAACATCACCCTCCTTACTAGTGATGAGTAAGTTTCATCCACATCTTCTCCATGCTTATACATCATGTACGCCTAATTAATCAATTGTTTAGATTGACAAGCAAACAATATAACATATACATCGCCCAAGTATCATTTACCAAGAACTGATTTGAACGTAGTATAACTGTTTTAATTCATCATTCATATCAGGGGGAACTCACACGACCTTGTCCAGTATTCTCAGAAGATCACAATCATCCTCAGTAAACTTAAGCAACAGCTTAAGATCTGAAGAGGAAATAGGTGGGTTTACTTGATGAGCATTCACGAGGAAATACATATGTTGTTCTTGCAATACAATGCTGACATTCCTTTTTTGTATTATTTAATACAGAGAAGTTACGGCCCTACAAGAAGCTCAAAACCTCTTCCCTAATTCCTACTGAGATTATCGAGGTTATGAAGATCCTAATCTTTTCAACCATTTTCGACGGTTCCATTAAGCAACTGGTTTGCTCTCTCATCATAGCACATTAATTTCTTTTGAATTTTGAATGAATAAAGATACAAATTTGTGTCATGCACTTGATTTTATAATTGCGTGCATAATGTTAATTTCTAACAGGTTCACATCGACATCCTAAGGACGAAGAATGTGTTGTTGTTCATTTCGAGCCTAGAGATATCTGAGGATTATATTAATCGTCTCAAAGAAATATATGGTTTTACAAAGGATAATAATGAGCATAAGATTGTTTGGATTCCTATAGTAGAGAAGTGGACTAAAGATCTGCAACGCAAGTTTGAGGCCCTGCGGGCTAAGATGCCATGGGTACACAGTAGGCCAGGGTGGTGCCCACATTGCAGGCATCAAGTACATCAAGGAGGATTGGAACTTTAATGGTAAGCCTGTGGTGGTTGTGTTGAACACAAAGAGTCCGCTCCAACATTCCAACGCTCTGCCCATGATTTTGATATGGGGATGCCAAGCCTTTCCTTTCACACTGGAAAAAGAAGAACAGCTCTTACTTTCTCTCCAAGATACATGGTTTTCCGCGTTAATGGATGGCATTAAGATATCCAAATGGGTGAGTTCTTCCTAACAAATTGATGGATGTTCATTTTATAATTTACGTTGTCCATGCTAATTGCACATACACGTAGGCAAGCAAAACAACAACAAAAAAAAAAAAAAAAAAAAAAATCAAATAGATATAAGAAATTTGTTGTGTTCTAAAGTCTATAGGCAAACACTGTATCAAATAAAAATCAAATGACAATAAGGGTAAGAAAATGACTAAATAACTTCTGATTTGGTCCTTTTTTTTTTTTTTTTTTTTTTTTTTTTGGATGATTTTAAAGGAGAACCTTAAAAAAATTAGGATTCAATTGCAGGCTGACGATAATAATGTTTTTAAAAAAAAAAAAAAAAAAAAAAAAAAAAAAAAAAAAAAAAAAAAAAAAAAAAAAAAAAAAAAAAAAAAAAAAAAAAAAAAAAAAAAAAAAAAAAAAAAAAAAAAAAAAAAAAAAAAAAAAAAAAAAAAAAAAAAAAAAAAAAAAAAAAAAAAAAAAAAAAAAAAAAAAAAAAAAAAAAAAAAAAAAAAAAAAAAAAAAAAAAAAAAAAAAAAAAAAAAAAAAAAAAAAAAAAAAAAAAAAAAAAAAAAAAAAAAAAAAAAAAAAAAAAAAAAAAAAAAAAAAAAAAAAAAAAAAAAAAAAAAAAAAAAAAAAAAAAAAAAAAAAAAAAAAAAAAAAAAAAAAAAAAAAAAAAAAAAAAAAAAAAAAAAAAAAAAAAAAAAAAAAAAAATCATCTCTCTATCACTATCTTCTCTAATTCTCTCACACTCATTTCTCTCTCTCATTCTCACTCACTCTCAATCTTGCCAAAAGGTAGATTCTCTCCAAATTTTAATTTTTTTTTCATTAATATGTGTTTTTGGAGTTAGTTTTGAGTTTGTGTGGGGTTTGGGGTTGAGTAAAGGGGAGGGATTGGAGTTTGGGTTGGATTTGTGGTATAACAATTTTAGGGGAGATTATCCTTTTTTTTTTATGGTACTTTGTTAATTTATGTGTACATTTTGAATATTATATATATATATTTATTGGATAATTTGATCACTATTTTTCATATGTAATTTTATTTTGAATATGTCAATTTAAATTAAAGTAATTAAATTAAATTTAAAAAGTAAACATTTGAATAAATTAAATTAATATCAATTTAAATTAAAGTAACGAAAAAAATCATACAATTAAAATAAATTTAAAATTTTAAAAATTCGAAATAATTAATATAATTAAATTAATATTAAAGAAATAATAAAACAAAAAGTCAAAAACCACAATATTTGCGCGACATTAATATTCGTCGCGCAAAACTCTAAAAATTTGGGCGGGTACAAAAAATGGGACGCAGGAATTTTTTTTTATAAATTTTTTTAAAATTTTTTCGTCGCGCAAAGTCGCTTTGTGAGTTGCGCGACCAATATTTTCGTCGCGCAAAGTCACTTTGCGCGACCAATATGTTTTCGTCGCGCAAAGTCACTTTGAGCGACCAATATTTTTTCGTCGCGCAAAGTCTCTTTGCGGGACGAATGAAAAATTTCGTCGTGCAAAGTCTTTCTCCACAATCTTTGCGCGACGAAGTTTCTGTCGCGCTAAAATTTGTGCGACTATAATGTATTTTGCGCGACGAAATTATGTTCGTCGCGCAAAGTGAAAAATGTAGTAGTGAAAGGTAGGCAAGCTCTAGAGCTCCTCCAAGGCCTATTTCAGTGGAGTCCTTACTTGCACGCATGATCAATACAAATCATACGTAATCTGTTCAATTTAATTTTATGGTAGCTAATACTCAGTAAGAGAATTTATGCAACTAAAGTAAATTGAACAGATTTTTTTGTAACAGAGTTGACGAAATTGGGCACAACTACAGAGAGAGAGTTCATGAGGGATCCGGTTTCTTTGTTTGGATTCTTTCTGTCATGATCTGTTTGACTTCTCCCCCTCCATGTGCCACCTCATTAAAATTTAATTCAAGGGATTTCAAGTTATACACATCCTCTTTAACATAAAACCTCAATTTCCTAATAATTATAAAAAAAAATAAATAAATAATAAATATATTAAAATAATAAAAAACCTAACTCTAAACTAACGTGAAACTTAACATGGTTGGTATCTCTTCTCCCTTATTTTTTAAAGTCTCTGTAAGCATTCATTTTCTGGATCCCTCCAAGATGAGTTAGAGTATTTGTTTTTAACGGGAAACATGGTGAGCTTGAAATTGGTAATTTATTAAAAGGATTCAATTTAATAATATTAAAACGAACAAAAGGAGACTAATATGCTTTCATCTTTAAATCCAAAACATGGTGAGCTTGAAATTGGTAATTTTGGTTTCTATTAACCTATTATTTTATTCCAGAGAAAGGAAGGAAGAAAGGTAATTTTTGGGGGAGACTTGGAAGAAAAGGAAGAAAAAAAAAAAAAAACCGATAGGATTGGTGGAGTAAAAGAGAAAGAACGAAACAAAACAAAAAAAAACTAAACTGATTGGGGGAGACGTTGTAGAGAAAATAAGTAGGGAATTGGGGGAGATGTTTGCAGATAGGAAGAAAGTTTCACGTTAGTTTAGTCAGAGTTTTTATTTCTAAATTATGAAGAAATTGTGTTTTTGTTTTAAAGATTATGTGTCTAACATAGGTCATCACTAAGAGAGGGCTAAACCCTCATTTTTACCCTTTCACATCCAAAACCCAAAATCCATCTCTAGTAAATGGGCTATATGTGCCATGTAATCGAGTCAAATCCAGTCAGCAAGCCGAAAGGGCTCTATGCTAGGGCAAATGTAGGATGGTTCTTGAGTGGGTTATATCTTATTTTATTATTATTTTTTCAAAAGCAAGCAAGCCTTTTGGATTCTTCAAAAGCCTACGACTCTTTCCCTTTTCTTGTTTCACCACCAGAACAACGTTGGCCAGCCATTCCGAGTAGGAGACCTCTTCAATGAAACCGGCAGCTAGGAGCTTGTCAATCTCGGCTTTAATGATCGCGACCCGCTCGGGAGCAAAGTTGCGTCTCTTTTGCACCACGGGCTTGCTAGCAGGGTTGACATGGAGCCGGTGGCAGATGATGTTTGGGTCGATCCCTGGCATGTCAGATGGTGACCACGCAAACATGTCTTTGTTGTTATGGAGGAAGATGGTCAGCTCCATTTCTCGTCTGGGCTTAGGCGCGAGCCGATCCGCGTTTTCTTGTCTGGCTAGTCAGGATCGAGGGGTACTAACTCAACGTCTTCCTCAGGCTTCCAACCTTCTTCAAGGGAGCCTTCCGGGCGGATTCCCTCATCCCGATCCTTCTTGTTTGGATTCTGGCGCGAGCCGATCTACGCTTCCTTGTCTGGCTGATCAGGATCAGGTGGTACTAACTCAACGTCTTCCTCAGGCTTCTAACCTTTTTCAAGGGAGCCTTCGGGGCGGATTCCCTCATCTCGATCCTTCTTGTTTGGATTCTGGCGTGAGCTGATCTGCGCTTCTTTGCTGATCAGGATCGGGGGGTACTAACTTAACGTCTTCCTCAGGCTTCTAACCTTCTTCAAGGGAGCCTTCCGGGCGGATTCCCTCGACTCGATCCTTCTTGTTTGGATTCTGGCGCGAGCCGATCTGCGCCCCTTTGTCTGGCCGGCCAAGATCAGGGGGTACTAACTCAACGTCATCCTCAAGCTTCCAACCCTTTTCAGGGGGGTCTTCCGGGCGGATTCCCTCACCTTGATCCTGGCTCCTTAACTGCTATTGTGAGGCAGCAACTCCCTTCCCTTTCGGGTTTACTGGTGTGAACTGCAACTGCTTGCTCTTCTTGAGCCCTTGGGCTGTGCATCTCCTTGCCATAGCTTGGTCACTGTTGATATGCCCGATCCCGCCACAGGGATGGGGTAGCGGATCTTCTAATGTAGAGCAGATGTGATGACCTCGATCTTCCTGATCCACGGTCGGCCCAAGATTCCCTTGTAGGGGGAAACCTCGTCGATGACCATGAAGGTTTGCGAGCAGACCACTGGGGGTGAGTGGAAATCATGGTCGATCCAACAGTGATTGATGTGGCCTCATTGAAGCCGGTGAGCAATCTGGCAAGTTTGCTAATCTTGGGCTCGAATCCCATCTGCTGGATAACAGATAGTTGCAGGATGTTGGCTGCGCTGCCCTCATCTACATGAACTCGCTCGATCACAGCATGTTCAAATTGGATGCAAATGACTAGGGCGTCATTATGTGGCAGGTCAAGCCCGATCAAGTCCTTATTCTGGAAGCTGATGATGGGCGTATCCAAAATGGCTGGTACTTCCGTTGTGACTTGGGAGACATAAGTTACTTGAGCGATCTTTCTCTTGCGCTCCTTGGTGGTCAGCCGACTCTTGGGAGTCAGCTAGAATGGTGTTGACTCGAATGACCTTTTGGGGAGGTTTCCTTGGCAGCTGCATCACGATCCTCGATCTGCTGGATGGCCTTCTTTGCAACGAACTCTGTGCAATGGCCTTCTCTGACCAGCTCCTCAAGGTGCCTTTTCTAAGCGTTGCAGTTGTTGGTGTAATGACCGTGCTCCCCGTGGAATGCGCAGTATTTACTGGTGTCCCTCATAGAGGGGTCTCCCTTCATGGGTGGTGGTCTCCTCACCCACGGCTTGTCCTTCACCTGAGCTAGGATCTGGTGGATTGGGATAGCGAACTCAGTGAAGGTCCCTGTTTCTGAGCTTCCCTCTTGGGGCCGCGATCTGCCCTTATCCCGGGCTTTTTACTTGAACTTGTTGCTCTTATGGCTTGCCTGCTTCGTCGGGTGGTCAACTTGCTTGTTGGCTTTCTTTGCGGCGATACGATCATCGTCCCAAAGTGCATAGCGCTCTGCCGTCTCGAACACTTCTGCCAAGGTTTGACTTGGAGTTATGGCCAGCTCCCGGTATAGCTGTGCTCGGTTGGCAAGCCCTTCTTGAAAGCTGAGGATGCAACTTGGTCATTACATCCTATGATGTTAGCCTTCTCAACCTTAAACCATCTTAGGTAGTATCATAGAGACTCGTCTGGCTTCTTGCGCAGGTAAAGGGCGAGCAGTCAACTCGATCAATTTCCTTGCACAGGGCCTCTTCGTGCTTCCTTTAAGTCGGAGACCTTGGAGTTGGTCATTTACTAGCTTCTCGACATCCTCTGCCCTCAGGGTTGGAGTTTCGGGCCGACGTCTTCGGTGCCTCTAGCGCGACTTGCTAACTTCTTCCTCGATTCCCAAGGGTCGATCCCCTCGGGTGCTCTGCTCGTGGGGTAGATTAAGAGATTGAGCTTGTGAGGATTCCTCTGTAGCTTGTTGCCGCGTGTTGGTCCTCGAGTGGGCTGGTGGGCGTCGATCGTCATCCTCTGCTCGCAAGGAAGGTCGTTCAGGTCGACATCTTCGGTGCCTCGAGCGTGATTGGCTAACTTCTTCTCCAACTCCCAAGGGTCGATCCCCTTGGTTGCCCTACCTGTGGGCAGGAGAGAAGGTTGAGTTTGGGAGGATCCCTCCACAGCTTGTTGCCGCGTGTTGGTCCTCGAGCGGGTTGGTGGGCGTCGATCGTCATCCTCTGCTCGCAAGGAAGGTCGTTCAGGTCGACGTCTTCGGTGCCTCGAGCGTGATTGGCTAACTTCTTCTCCAGCTCCCAAGGGTTGATCCCCTTGGTTGCCCTGCCCGTGGGGCAAGAGAGAAGGTTGAGTTTGGAAGGATCCCTCCACAGCTTGTCACCGCGTGTTGGACCTCGAGCGGGCTAGTGGGCATCGATCGTCATCCTCTGCTCGCAAGGAAGGTCGTTCAGGTCGACGTCTTCGGTGCCTCGAGTATGATTGGCTAACTTCTTCTCCAGCTCCCAAGGGTCGATCCCCTTGGTTGCCTGCCCGTGGGGCAGGAGAGAAGGTTGAGTTTGGGAAGATCCCTCCACAGCTTGTCGCCGCGACCGCTCACGAACTCAAGCTCCTCGTGGACTTAAGCGAGCATGAACATTGGATTGTGGGCCTAGCCTCTCGAGCACATTGGTCCTAGGACCTAACCTCGAACGGCTCAGAGTACGGCTTGCAGCTGCCTGTGTCTCGTCTGCACGATCTCGCTCTCCCCCTACCGATTTGCCCTTGTCTGACCAGCCTGGGACCTCTTGAACTACTCGCCAGCATGCTCGTGTGCCCTCCTCTCCTCGTCACGGGGTCCAAGGTTGAGTTGGGGAGGGCTTTGTTATGTAGATGAATTCAATCACGACATGGCTAATAGTGTGACACCACCCTTTGATAGCAAACAAAAGAAAATCTGGTTATGGCACCTGTTTGTGCAAATAATCTCGCTGGAGAATATTTGCTTCTAAATCCTTCAACCTTCGATCTTCCTTCTCTCTCTTCCTCGTTTCCTGTAAAAAAGACTGGAGTAAATAGACCACACCTGGGGGGTGTTGGCCAAAGGCCCTCCGATGCCTCAGTTAGTTCAAGTGTTTGTAGGAAAACAATAGCTAAGCAAAGGGTACGGAGTGTATGTATGGTGTGAACCGAGCGGCCGGATCCGTGTGGAGAAAATATGGAGAGTGGAGAGGTAGAGAGAGCTTTAGGTATTTTTCTCGGGTTTAGGAGTAGGTTTAGATGTACCTTGAATGATAAATGAGGTCGTCTATTTATAGGAGCCTCGGGGCTAGGGTTTCGTAGAGAATATGCTGAGTTTATTCTCTACCCAAATTCGTAGGGATCGAGTCGAACTTAGATAATATCTGATTTAATGATATTATCTTCTCTTTATTGAAGATAATATTTGAATTAAATGATATTATCTCTTTTTATGAAGATAATATATGAATTAATGATATTATCTTCTCTTTATTAGGATAATATCTAAATTAATGGTATTATCTTATTAAATAAAGATGATATCCTATTAATTAAGATATTTATCCCAATTAATTAATTGGCTAGATAAACTGGTTCAATTAATTAATTTAAGAGATAATCTTCTTTTCCACGTGGCGTGCCCTGATTGGATACGAAAATATATGCTCCCACAAATGCCCCCCCTCCTCGGCTTCTGCATGGCGCTTGTGTGGCGTGTAGGAGATGAAATTATTTTTTTTCGAGCTCTCCAACTGTGTCTGGGCTTTATTCTGTAAGTTGGACTCCTTTGCAGATCAAATTTCCAATTGGCGTAGACTTCTAACTGTTGTTGGAGTTGGATTCCTAGTAGAAATGAGCTTGTGATTCCTCCTTGATCCGGGTTGTCCAACCTGTATAAATATAGGGCTTCTCTTCACGCTTTCTCACATCGCAAACTTAACTTCTCTACTTTCTGGCTTGAGAAAGATCTTGGAGAATTTGTACTGCTTGTTGAAGAGAGGAGTTGCCGTGCATCCAAAGTAAGTCGAGCTCGTAAAAATATATATGCACATATATATATGTTTTCCAATTTTTGGCAGCAAGAAGGTGGTCTAGCATGGGTTGCAAGTTTGTGGATCTGACTGACAAAAGCTGGAGAATTCGTGCTGGAATCAAATGGAGCATGAGGCGCATGCTGGTCTTGGAGCTACCTGGCCTAGGCTGGAGCAGACGTGCGCCCAAGGGAAAGCATGGAAGAGCCGAGCCCAAGGCAGAAGGATGGAGGCGCTGGGCTTCAGAGCAGAGGCATTGAGCGCTGGGCCTTGTACGCGACACAGGCTTGCACTAGGCAAGCAGGCCACATGCGCTGGGCTAGACCACAAGGTGAGACACTGACTGACGCGGAGCAAGGGCCTCGTCGCTGCACGGGCTTGGCGTGATGGGCTCGAGCTGGACGGTGCGCTTGTATTGATAAACTCCCTCTCGAAGCAAGTAAAGGACGTCTTTCCCAATCTGTTAATCCAAATTGCATATCTCAGATCCCCCAAATTGCAGAAATCCCAAAAGTCATGCTCCGTCTTTCCCAATTTTCATTGATTTTTTGGTTCCTTAATTGGAATATTTGTGGGTTTTTTCTAATAATTACATATGGAATAACCCAAATTTGTTGGATTATCAGAAATGACGGCGTCCATTGAAGTATCTATATCCCAGGTAAATTCTATCAGTCAGCGTACGTTCATCCTTTTTCTATTATGGATTGTTCGTGATGGTTTCTGAGAGTGTTTGTTGTTTCTTTTCTCAATCATTGGTGAATGATTTTGCTGCAAATTCGTTTTGGCATATCCAACTTTATTTGCTGGCTTATGAATCTATAATAAAGAAATATCATAACTGGGTTTAATCATCAATTAGAACCTGCTGTATAGGTAATTTCCGATCCTGTACCTATGCTATAGGTATGTTGTGGTGAAATCCTCAACATCCTGTATTTTGGTTTGTTGCCGTCTGTTTTATTTGGTGTGAATGAAAATGAAATTCATTGTGTGGAATACAAGGAACAGAGCACAAGATGAACTGGTTTCTTCATCTTCTTCCTATGGTATAGGTAGAGGACAAATTCCCATGAGAGAGAATATGAAATTCGTCCAGGAAGCAGGTTTAGTTATCATCAAATATATAGTTGGGGTCCTCAATTAGAAAACGAAAACAAAAAGAAATTGGTTCAGGAAGCAGTAGTTATATATACAAATTCGTTCAAGAATCAGGTTTTGTTAACGTCAAATGTTTCCACCTACAAAAGAGGTAAATATACAACATACCTGAAACACAGGCACTGCAATTGATGGAGAAGCAAGATTAGAATCCCCAAACGACGGCAAATTCCACCGGCTGCAATTGAAGAAGACGAAAAGCAAATTCAACTCTAAAATGAAACCCAAAACCCTCGACAATTAAGAAGCATGAAATCTGCAGAAATCGGCTTGACAGGGCCATAATTGATTGTGGAAGATACGATTTCTGCGATTCTTTCTATTCTTGGCGTATGAAGATTGTTTAACCAATTTTTGATATTTTTCTGGCTTTTAGGTTATCTGATTTCTATCTTAGGGGCAAAATTGGAAGCACAACATATATTAAAAAATTAAGAAAATAAAATATAATCATAGAAATTAAAACAAGGTAAAATCATGCATCGCACAAAAGTCAGAAGACTTGAATTAGTAACAACAAATGTGTGGATTGCACCCAAATTTTGTCATAAGAATTGGACTTATACCAAATTTTTTTTTTTTATTGCTGCTAGCCCTTTTTTTTTGTTGGGATTATAACTTGTAGATTTTTTTACTTTTTTTATTATTTTTTGCATCTATTCGTTGACCAACCATGTCTTCCAGAGACGACAGCAAGGCTCCAAGCTCTCAGGTGCCTTTGTATTTGTGGGGAGGTTTCGAGGTGTACAAGAAGAGGTTTGTGGCCAACCTGCACCGCGTTACGAATGAAGGTCAATTCAAGAGGTGGTGGGCTGCTTATGCTTCTGCAATTCCCGATGACGTGCATATCAAGTTGGCGAAGCCTTTGACTGAAGTCGTGCCCTACGTGGATGCGAATGATCCAAATGCCCGAATCATCACTTTCCGTCCCTTTTACTTCTCCTTGGGCTTCAAATTCCCGATGTCAAAGCTCTTCAAGGAGGTGTTCTGCGCCATAGGGTGTGCTCCGAGTCAGTGTACTCCAAACGTCTATCGGGTCGTCATATGTTTTGAAAACCTGAGCCGTTTCTTCACGCTGGAGCTCCAGACGTCTTGGCTATACATTTTTCTTAGGATTTTGGCAAAAGCCAGGGTTCCCCCTTGAGGGACTCCAGACATTTTCTGCATTTTCCTTAGGACGCTGCTTATGGGCAACTGTTTGGTGATCCTGCCTCCCTTAGAAAACGGATAGGAACCTGGATATCTCCCGCAGGAAACATGGTGAACCCTTTTTAAGAAATTCCTGGGGCACCTTGTGTCTCCCTTAGGACGCTGTTTTGCGGGTTGTGTCTCCCGAAGGACGCTTCTGGTCGTCGCCCTGCTTCTCCCTTAGGACGCTTTTTATGGGCATATGTATGACTATTTTGCCCCCTTAGGAAACGGATAGGAACCTGGATACTTCCCTTAGGAAATTCCTGGCGCACCCTGCGTCTCCCTTCGGACGCTTCTTTACGGGCTGCGTCTCCCGAAGCACGCTTCTGGTCGTCACCCTGTGTCTTCCTTAAGACGTTTTTTGTGGGCAACTGTCTTTTGTTGTGGCACATTTTGGAATTTGCAGTAGTTGCTTCTCTTATTTAGAAATATGCAGTACTCAGTCATTTGCTAGAGACTAAGCAGGTAGGAAGAAGCGTCATGGATAGTATCTTTGGAGGTGGCAGGCATTCCACTGTCACGGAATGTCCTTCCCTTCCATGGTGTCCAGCGTATAGCTTCCTCTGCCCTCGGACTGGCTGATTACGTAAGGGCCTTCCCAATTGGGTTTAATCTTTTTAGACCCTTGTCTTTGTGCAGTGATGAAGGCCTTTCTTAATACAAGGTCGCCTGGTTGAAACTGTCTGATCTTGGCTCTTTTGTCGTAGTAAGACTTCAACTGCTGTTGATAGGAGACGACTCAGACAATGGCATATTTCCATTCACTAAGTAGTCGATGATAGGGTCTTGCCAGCTGGGGTCTTCATCGATTTGCATTGAGTCAACTGGCTCTATTTCTTCGATGCTTGGGCGGTCAAGGTGTTCAACTGGGATGGAGCGTCTGAACTGGGTGTCCAATGCTGATCCTAGGCTCGCCAATGCATCTGCATGAGTGTTCTCTGCCCGTGGAACTTGTTGGATGGTGAAAGTAGGGAATTCTTTCAAAAGTCCTGGGACTTTGTCGAGGTACTGGACCATTCCTGGATGCTTTGCCATGTACTCGCCTGAGGCTTGATTTGTGATCAGCTGGGAATTCGAGTAGATGGCCAATCTCTTGATCGACAGTTCTTTCGCTAGGCGCAGTCCTACAAGCAATGCCTCATATTCTGCCTCGTTGTTTGAAGCAGAAAAGCCTAGTGTGATAGCTTATTCCAACAAAGTTTCATCGGGGGTAATTATGACGACTCCTGCTCCCGCTCCTTTGTGATTTGATGCTCCGTCTACATGCAACTGCCACATGTCGTTAGGTAGGTTCGAATCGGTGGGGGAGGTGTTGTATGCTTTTCCCTTGCTTTTCGTGACCATCTTCTCTTCTTCGGCTGTCGGAATAAACTTTACAAAAAAATCTGCTAAATCTTGGGCTTTTATAGCAGTCTTCGCCCGGTAGAGGAGGTCGTATTGACTGAGTTCGATAGCCCATTTCATGAGTCGATGAGAAGTGTCGGGGCTATGGAGGATCAATCTCAAAGGAAATTCTGTCATGACAATTATCCGGTATGCTTGATAGTAGGGCCTTAGTTTTCTCGCAGACACGACAAGCGCTAAAATGAGCTTCTCCATTTTCAGATAGCGAGTCTCTGCATCGAGGAGAGCTTTTGAAGTGTAAAATACCGAATGTTGTGCCCCCAGCTCTTCTTGGATGAGGGCTAAGCTTACAGCTATCGAACACCGCTAGGTAAATGTACAAGTCTTCGCCTGGTATCATTTTGAAAGTAAGGGAGGTGAAGTGAGGTAGGTTTTCAAGTTTTGAAAATGGCCTGCACTTATCGGTAGATCTTGAGAGGAATCGGTTGAGAGATGCCACCCTACCTGTTAGATTTGTATCTCCTTTCTTGTGGTAGGTGACTTTATGTTGTATTTTTGGAGTAGGCTGAATGCCTCGACAAGGTTCTGGATGTGGTCTCCTCGCTCGGGAGCTTTGACAAGCATGTCGTCTACGTAGACCTCCATAGTCTTGCTGATTTACTCCTTGAAAATTTTGTTCACCAGCATTTGGTAGGTTGCTCCGGCATTCTTCAGCCCAAAGGGCATGACTTTGTAGCAGTATGTACCTCTTTCGATGATGAAAGAGGTCATTGCCTTGTCGTCTTCATGCATCATGATTTGGTTGTAGCCAGAGTAGGCGTCCATGAAGCTTAGCAGTTGGTTGCCGGAAGTTGAATCGACGAGCTGATCAACGAGAAGTTGTCTTTAGGGTATGCCTTGTTGAGGTCGGTGTAGTCGACGCACACTTTCCACAGACCTTTATCTTTCTTCGCTATTAGAACGATGTTCGCCAGCCATTATGCGTAGGAGACTTCTTCAATGAAACCGGTAGCTAGAAGCTTGTCGATCTCGGCTTCAATGATGGCTACCCTCTCGGGGACAAAGTTGCGTCTCTTCTGCATTACAAGCTTGATAGTTGGGTTGACATGTAGGCGATGGCAGATGATCTGGGGATCGATGCCAGGCATGTCAGATGGAGACCATGCAAATACGTCTTTGTTGTTCTGGAGGAAGGCTGCAAGCTCTGCCTTTTCCTCCTGGCTTAGGCGCGAGCCGATCCGCGCTTTTCTTTCTGGCTTGTCAGGATTAAGGGGTACTAGCTCAACGTCCTCCTTGGGCTTCCATCCTTCTTCAGGAGAGACCTCTGGATGGATTCCCTCAACTTGGTCCTGATTCTTTGATTGCTATTGGGGAGTAGTTATTCCTTTTCCTTTCTGGTCTGCTTGGTCGTTAAGAATGAGATCTGCTTTCTCCTCTGCTTGTTCTACTTCCTTTAGATCTGCTTGATTCACAGGGAGGAACTGCATTTGCTTGCCTTTCTTCAGCCCTTGAGCTGAGCATTTCCTCGCCATTGCTTGATCGCTGTTGATCTAGCTGATACCACCCCCAAGGATTGGGTAGCGAATCTTCTAATGTGTAGCGGAGGTGATGCCATTGTAGGGTGAGACTTCATCAATGATCATGAACGTTTGCGAGCTGATTATAGGTAGGGAGTAGACATCAAGATCTATTATACCCACAGTAACCGTTGTTATGCTATTGAAACCAGTCAGCGACTTGGCTGATTTATTAATCTTTGTCTCTAAGCCCATCTGTTGGATAACTATCAATTTTATGATGTTGGCTACACTGCCCCCGTCTGCATGGATTCGGTCGACCATGGCCTGAGCCATTTGAATGCTGATGACAAGGGCGTCATTGTGTGGTAGATCGAGGCCGATCTTTCTCCTGGAAGCCGATCACAGCATCGTCGTCTGCCAGTGGGAGACTAGTGGAGACGATCACAACATCGTCTTCTAATTGACGGTGCTGTGGGTGATCATGGTGACCTGTTTGATCTTTATCTTCTTTTCTTTGTTGGTCAGTCCGGACTCCTCGGAGTCAGCTAGGGTGGTTCCTTGGCAGTATCGCAGTCCTCTATCTGCTAGATGGTCTACTTCGCAATGAACTCCGTGTAATGACCAGCTCTCACGAGTTCTTCGAGGTGTGCTTTCCAAGCAAAGCAATTATTCGTATTGTGTCCGTGCGTCGCATGAAAGGCACAATACTTCCTGGTATCCTTCTTGTCCGGATCTCCTTTCAAGGGTAGCGGTCTTTTTACCCAAGGTTTGTCCTTCGCTTGGGCTAAAATGATGTATAGGGATGGAGAACTTGGTGTAGTTCTCTTTTGTCGTAGCATCCTTTTGTGGGAGTGGCCTGCGTTTGTCTTTGTCCCTGTTGCCAAGCTTATCGCTTCTTTGGTCTGCCCGCTTGGTCGGCCTATCTTCCTGCTCAGTAGACTTCTTCGCGGTGATTCGATCGTCATCCCAGAGCGCGTAGCGTTCCGCAGTCGCGAAGACCTCTGCCAGAGTCTTGTTGGGAATGATAGTCAGCTCGCGATATAAGTCATGTTCTGCTAGAAAACCTTTCTTGAATGCAGCTGATGCGATTAGGTCATCACATCCTATGATGTTGGCCTTTTCTGCTTTGAATCTCTTGATATAATCTTGAAGGGATTCGTCGGGCTTCTTGCGCAGGTTGTACAGGTGGTCAGGGTTCTTCTTGATCGTCCGATAAGAAGTGTATTCTTTAGTGAAGACGTAAGTAAGCTCCTTGAAGCTGCTGATCAACCCGGATGACAGGGTATGAAACCAGTCCTGAGCTGCTCCTCGCAAATTCATTGCAAACACCTTGCACATTAGCGCATCTTCGGCTTTGTAGAGGATCATAAGGCTCTTAAAATGCTTCAGATGGCTTTCGGGATCGGAATCGCCTTTGAAGCATGTAAAAGAGGGCATTGAGAATCGTTTCGAGGGAGCAGCCTGCTCGATTTCGGCGGTGAAAGGTGAGGAGTTTGCTCGGTCTACCTCAACACGCAGTGCATCTTCGAAGTTTCCGCCAATCTTTAAGTCTCGAAGTCGATTATTCACAAGCTTCTCAATGTCTTCCACACACATGGCTGGTCAGTCACGTCGATGACCTTTACGATTTGGGCGAGACTGAGTAACTTCCTCGTTGGTTTGCAATGGTCGACCTTCACGGCTGCGCTGCCTATGCAACGTGTTGGTGAACTGCACTTGCGAGGGATTTTCTATAACTTGGCGACGAGAATTGGTTCTTCGAGAATGAGTAGCAGAGCGCCTTTCTTCACGGTCCTCATTGTGAGGGTTATCAAATTGACCTCCCTGGGGGCCTAGCCTTTCGTGAATATTTCTCTGTGAGCGGGCAGCGAAGTGCCTTTCTTCACGATCCTCATTGCGATGGTTATCAGTTTGACGTCTCTAGGAGCCTAGCCTTTCATGAACATTTCCCTGCGGACCTAAGCGAGTGTGGATGTTGGATCTTGGGCCCAACCTATCACGCACGTTGTTCCTTAAACTCAATCTGGATGGGAGACTTCGTCTGCTCTGAGTGTGGCTTGCTGATGCTTGCGATATGTCGGCAAGCTGATCACGTTGTTGTGCATCTCTTTGTCTGCTTACTCCTGCTCGACCTGCTTGGTTCCCATCGAACTGCCTATCGGCGCGTTCGTCCATCCTTCTCTCTTCGCCCTGTTGTCCAAGGCCAAGGTGTTGAGCCAAGTTTATTGGTTGAGGAGCTGCTTCATCAAACTATTTTGGTCGTCCATTCTCTGAGTTAGCTGGTCAACTCTCAGATTAAGGTCTTCTTGACTTCATGGATCGGAAGGAGAGAAATGTGTGGAGCCCAATTGCACATGGGCTAGGGTTTCATTGGATGTGTATGCGGGAGCGTGCGTCGAGCATGGGGGCAATGAAGGGAATACTGGTGGTAGTGAGCCCACCTTGATGAGAGGTTCCACCATGCTCAACGGCGATGCTATGAAGGTGGCTAGATCCGGCCATGGGACCTTGAGATGGTACGACGACGGTAGAGGCTAGCGCGGTGGTTCCAGTCACACGGGGTGGATGCTGTGGTGCGGCAGCTAGGGTTTGCTGCGGGTTCACGGCGGCAAGAGGCGGTGAAGCCACCATGTCGATCGCGGGATCGTAGGAGGAGTAGCTTTGGGCCGTCAAGGATTGAGCCATCCCGGCGGTTTTGCTCCTTGTGCGCTTGCTTCCAACCATAATTGTTTGGAAGGCTTCAGTGGATTGGAAAATAGGAGGAACGGATTCCTTGAGCACGCGTTGAGTATAACTCGTGCTCTCAATGAAAGCACCAAATGTTTGTGCAAATAATCTCGCGGGAGAATATTCGCTTTTAGATCCTTAAACCTTCGATCTTCCTTCTCTCTCTTCCTTGTTTCCTGTAAAAAAGACTGGAGTAAATAGACCATACCCGAGGGGGGGAGGGGGTGTTGGCCAAAGGGTACGGAGTTGTATGTATGGTGTGAACCGGGCGGCCGGAGCAGTGTGGTGGCCGGAGCCGTGTGGAGAAAATATGGAGAGTGGAGAGGGAGAGAAAGCTTCAGGTATTTTTCTCAGGTTTAGGAGTAGGTTTAGATGTACCTTGAATGATAAATAAGGTCGTTTATTTATAGGAGCCTTGGGGCTAGGGTTTCATAGAGAATATGCTGAGTTTATTCTCTACCCAAATTCGTAGGGATCGAGTCGGACTTAGATAATATCTGATTTAATGATATTATCTTCTCTTTATTGAAGATAATATCTTAATTAAATGATATTATCTCTTTTTATGAAGATAATATCTGAATAAATGATATTATCTTCTCTTTATTATGATAATATCTAAATTAATGGTATTATCTTATTAAATAAAGATAATATCCCATTAATTAAGATATTTATCCCAATTAATTAATTGGCTAGATAAACTGGTTCAATTAATTAATTTAAGAGATAATCTTCTTTTCCACGTGGCATGCCCTGATTGGAGACGAAAATATATGCTCCCACAGCACCGTCAATTAGAACATCTGTCTTTTAGTTATCTGAAGCATCTTATACTAGATTTATTCTCAAGTTTCAAGGACTACGACTTCAAATGTAATACTTGTATATTGACCAAGAGTCATCGTGTGCCCTACTCGTTAAGTACGAGCCAGTCCGTTTACGTTAATTCACTATGATGTCTGGGGACCTTCACCTATCACGTAAACCCCGAAAAAAAAATCAAGGCGGACATTTATATTTCAATGAAAAATAATATTATAGTGAAAAATGATTATGGGTATTTTATCAAGACTATTGGATTAAGTGTGTAATTTCAAGTTGGATAAAAATGCCCTTACGTAACATTTTGTGAATTTTTCAAAGGACATTTAAGAAATTGAAGTGAGACCATTATAATTCTTAGGTAGGACGATAGTAGTCAACTCAACGAACGCGTAGGAAATTGTTTCTGAATTTTGGGCCAAAATGACCAAAATACCCCTATATGTGAAAATTACCAAAATACCTTTGTAGGCCAATATATATATATATATATATATATATAATCTGAAACGTGGAGGACATCAGCCCACCCTTCTCCCATTATTTCCCCCTTGCCTCAAGTTCTCAAATGAACAATTGTGATTATGATTCTTATCATATGCTCACACATGCTAAGGCAGGTATTTGTAAACCTAATCCTAAGTATGCTCATCTTACTATTGCTATTAATCATTTGGTTGAGCCCACATGTTTTAGTTAGGCCCAAAAATCTGAAGACTGGCGTAAGGCCATGGCCAATTTAATGCTTTACAGAAAGCTGGCACCTGGACTCTGGTTCCTTTCAAGCCCATTATGAATGTATTTCCCAACAAATAGGTCTTTCATATCAAAAACCGCTCTGATGGGTCCATTGAATGGTCTAAAGCCCGTTTGGTGGTCAATGGTTTTCATCAACAGAAGGGTTTGGATTATGCTGAGACCTTCAGCCCTGTGGTCAATCACTCCACCATTTGTCTTATCTTAGCCATCGCCGTTCACTTTGGGTGGCCCATTCGCTAGCTCGATGTCCGAAATGATTTCTCCATGGCTCCCTCACTGAAAAAGTCTACATGAAGCAACCTGTTGGGTTTCTTGATTCTCAATATCCTACACATGTTTGTAAGCTCAATCGTTCTTTATATGACCTTAAATAGGCTATGCAGGCTTGATTTCAGTGTTTTTCTACTCATCTTGAGCATTTGGGATTTGTTGCTTCCAAGACTGAAACCTCATTATTCATGTACTTTCATGGGTCTACTACTATCTACTTATTGATTTATGTTGATGACATTTTAGTTACAGGGAATATTGGGTCTCATTACTCAGCTAATTCTCGATTTGAGCCGTTAATTTTCTACGAAAGATCTTGGTCCCTTGCATTACTTCTTGGGCATGGAAGCGACATGGACCTCCACCGGCCTGCATTTATCTCAATCCAAATAGATCATGGATCTATTGACACGCACAAAGATGTTAGATTGCAAACCGCTGCCAACTCCTGCTGTTGGTGGCTGTCGGTTAAGCTTGCATGATGGTGACCCGTTATCTGATGTTTTCGAGTATCATAGTGTGGTTGGGGCTCTTCAATATCTTACGTTCACAAGTCCAAACATTGCCTTTTTTGTTAATCAAGTCTACTAATTTATGCACAAGCCCGCGAGGACTCATTTGGTTGCTGTCAAACAGATTCTTCGTTATCTGAAGTCTACCTCTGATGATGGCCTTGTATATAAGCCTAGTTCGTTAAGTCTTACTGCATATGCTGATGCTGATTATGCCGGTGATCCTGATGATCGTCACTCTACTGGAGGGTATTATATCTATCTTTGTGATAATCTTGTTTCCTAGAGCTCTAAGAAACAGCGAGGTGTTTCACACTCCATTATTAATCGTATTCCCACATCTCTCACCAAAGGCATATCTCCATTTGAAAGATTGTATGGTAACAGTCCTGATTATTTCTCATTGAAAATGTTTGGTTGTACTTGTTTTGTTCTTCGTCCTCCTGTTGAACATACAAAATTATCTGCTTGCTCTGCTATGTGTGTTTTTCTTGGTTGTGGCGAAGGACAAAAAGGTTATCGTTGTTATGATCCTAGTGCACAAAAATTGTATGTCTCTCGACATGTGTTTTTTCTTGAGCATATTCCTTTTTTCTCCATTCCTACTAGTTCTCCTACTTTATCGAATTCTGAGCTCATGTATATCGATCCTTTTTCACCTACTAATGATGATTTCTCTTATTCTAACAATGTTAACATTTCTCCTGTTTCTAGTTCCCCTTCTAATCCTTGTGTTACTTCTCCTCCTATTACTCAAGTGTATTCTCGCAGGAAACATGTCATCAGTTCTGACACTAATAATCCTTATTCTCCTTTGGTGCCTGCTTCAACTTCTGTGGATGTGGATCCAATAGCACCTCGTTATCCTTCGCGCACTCATAAGCCCCCTCGTCAGTTTGGTTATTCTTCTACTGATTTTAGTTATTCTTGTTATTCTCATGATTTCTCTTCTTTCTTATCTTCTATACATACTCTCTCTGAACCCACCTCCTACAAGGAGGCTATATGTAATTCTCTTTGGCAACAGGCTATGAATGAAGAACTTTCTGCTCTGCATAAAACTGGCACATGGGATTTGGTTCCTCTTCCTCCCGGTAAACATGCAGTTGGATGTCGATGGGTTTATAAAATTAAGACTAAGTCTGATGGTTCCCTTGAGAGATATAAGGCTCGTTTGGTTGCTAAGGGATTTACACAGGAATATGGCCTTGATTATGAAGAGACCTTTGCTCCAGTGGCCAAGATGACTTATGTTCGTACTTTACTTGCTGTTGCCTCAGTTCATCAATGGAGTTTATCACAGATGGATGTTAAAAATGCTTTTTTGAATGGGGATCTTTTCGAAGAGGTGTATATGGTTCCCCCTCCAGGTGTTCTTCATAATCCTAGGGAGGTGTGTCGTTTACGAAAAGCTTTGTATGGTCTTAAACAAGCTCCTCGTGCTTGGTTTGAGAAATTCTCTGCTGTTATTGGCTCTCTTGGTTTTCAATCAAGTGCTCATGATCCTGCCTTGTTTGTTCGTTCTACCTCTGTTGGTCGTATCCTTCTCCTCCTTTATGTTGATGACATGATTCTTACGGGTGATGATTTGGATGGTATCACCCAATTAAAATTGGCTTTACATGATCGATTTGAGATTAAGGATTTAGGTCCCTTACATTATTTCCTTGGCATTGAAGTTGCATCTTCCCCTAAAGGTTATCTCCTTTCTCAGTCTAAGTATGCCACTGACGTTCTTCAAAAAGCTCGTATTACAGATACTAGAGTGGCTGATATGCCTCTTGAGCTCAATGTGCATTATTCTCCATCTGATGGTACCCCTTTGGATGATCCTACTCTTTATCGCACTATTGTTGGGAGCTTGGTTTATCTCACTATTACTCGCCCTGATATTGCCTATGCTGTTCATATTGTTAGTCAGTTTGTCTCTTCTCCCACTACTCTTCACTGGGCTGCTGTGATTCGTATTTTACGCTATCTTCGAGGGACATTGTTTCAAAGCTTATTGCTTCCTTCCACCTCCACTTTGGAGCTTCGAGCCTTTTCTGATGCTAGTTGGGCTAGCGATCCTTTTGATCGGAAATCTACTACTGGTTATTGCATTTTTCTTGGTGATTCTCTTATCTCCTGGAAGAGTAAGAAACAATAAGTTGTTTCTCGTTCTTCTGCTGAGGCTGAGTATCGTGCTATGGCCTCTACTGCTGCTGAAATTGTTTGGCTTCGGTGGTTGCTTCAAGATATGGGTGTTTCTCTCTCTATGCCTACTCCTATGTATTGTGATAATAAAAGTGCCATTCAAATTGCTCACAACTCTGTCTTTCATGAGCGCACAAAGCACATCGAGTTGGACTGTCACTTTGTTCGCCATCATTTCCAGCAAGGCACTATCTCTCTTCCTTTTGTCTCCTCCACCATGCAATTGGCCGACTTCTTCACCAAGTCTCACACTCTTGCTCGCTTCCGCTTTCTTCTTAGCAAACTCTCGATGCTTAATACTGTAACATCGTGAGTTTGACAGGGGGTGTGACAATTGTATAGCCAATATTAATATATATTTGAGGGTAGTTAGGTCTTTTAATCATCTAGGGCATCTTTATATGCCTATATATTGTAAGCTTACAGCTGCTGTATTTTTTATTGTTTTGTGAATATATTGGCATTCTCTGCTTCTGCTTGAATTGTTCACAATACGGCTGTTGCCTTGTCCTTGGTACGTTCATTGTTTCATGATCTCTATCTTCCCCTCACTCCTCCACATATTTGGTGTGATAATGTCAGTGCAATCTCTCTTACTTCTAATCCGATATTTCAGTCCCACACTCGTCATAATGAGGTTGATTATCACTGTGTTCGGGAGAAAGTTATTCACAAGGAGCTCGAGGTTGATTACATTTCCTCTAAGGATCAGCTTGCTGATCTTCTCACCAAGGTTCCACTCTTCGGTTTCGTTACTTACTCTCCAAGCTTCCCCTTTTTTGTCTCCCTCTCAGCTTGCGGGGCATGATGAACCTAATCCAGACTTGACGTGATCTCCTGCTGCTAAGCCTTATTTGTGTTTACTATTATACGTTATAATTATCTTGTATAGGATAAATACCTTATTGATAATTATCTTGTAAAGAATTTGTCTCCATGTAAACTTATTAACCCTCTATACATGAGTTCTATATAATGAAAATTATTTAAGATAAAATGGGAAGTCTTACATTCTGCAATAAACGAGAGCAGGAGCAAAGTGAAATCTTTTATCATTGTTAATTACCTTAGATCATTTACCTGCACAAGCACCTTCCTTTCAACTATCCATGATTCAACATAAATAAGCACCTTCCTCTGATACCACATTCTATGCACACAACACCAAAAATATGTAACTTGGTACATGAACATGAAGCACTTCAATAATAATACACAGTACAGTCCCCAACTAATCACAGAAAGAATTCAACAAGGTCATTTAACTTGCCAATTTGCCATGCCCACTTAGCCAACTGCAGCACAAAAAATTCTTAGAATATATATATATATATATATATATATATATCGATTAGTATAGAAAACATACAACCCAAAAATGACATAACAGCAAATTGAATTAGAATCCAAACAACGAACCAAATCAACATCAATGGAGGGCTCTCTCCCCTTCAATAGAAAGAAAAAAAAAAATCGAGCTGCTTAGAAATCCCAATGTTAAGAATCTAAGATGTTGTAATTTTTGACCCAACTGAAATCCCAGGGTTGTATCATGTATGTAATATTGCTATATTTCCATTATCCGGTTTCTGTATTAACTATCAAGTATTCAAGTGTGGTGTGGTTCTCTTGTATCGTTTCTCTGTCTGTGGTTAAGGATTTTGTATCTGTTTCTTGGTTAAGCATGGTATTGTTGTTCGCCATGGCTGCTTTGTTTCTGTGCTTCGTTTCTGGTTAGTTGAGTTTGGGATTTGAAACTGTAATGCCATCCTGTACTTCTATTTGAGATGTATTCATATGTGGATTCTTAGTCTCTAGTAATGGTAGTTTCTTGTGCATGCTTGCTTGAATATTTAGGTCAAGATTGTACATTTCTGGTTTTCTGATTGTAGTCTGTTAATTCTCTGCCGTTGTACGTGTTATCTTTTTACATCATATGAATTGAAATATGACGCTTTATTCCATGTTAATTGCTCCGGATTAATGCTTCTCTCCTTTGTACATGGTCTACATGTTACTTATTTATTTATCTTGATACAAAGGAGAGATCATGTAGCACAAAAGCAAAGTAGAACACATAAATTTATGTATAGAGAACATTAATTAGTACTTTCTACTTCTTGGATAAAGGAAGAGGTGCCAAGGACGATGTAGCACAAGCAAGAGCCTTTTTCATGCCAGTAATTGTGGGCTTGACATAAGAACACAGAGAGGTAAGAGGGCCTTGGTCTCCACCGTAGGTGAGATCAATGTCAATCAACTTCACATTCTCACACGGTAGGCCCCTGCTACATACAAGCTTGACTGCAAGTGGAGTGAAAGATGAGCCCTTAATGTTCTTGAAGCTGACATTGTTGATCTTAACTTTTGACGGAGGCTTTTGGTCACACCGAGTATATGGGCAGTACAATTGGTCTATGAGGATAGGGTTACTAACATTAACCATGATAATATTCTCATAGTGTATATCTGAGGCAGTACTGCTAGAAGGAGAATCTGGCCATGTTTTGATTCTCACACCGTTCTGCGTATTAGTCAGGGTGCAATTCTTAACTATGATCCCGGTGACAGCCTTTTCTTCCTTATATCTTCCAAGGCTTCCAATGCTTATGCCATGGCCTGGCCCACAAGTAACATCAGTCACTGTGATTTGGTGGGAGTCATCACCAATAGAAACACAGTCATCTCCAGTTCTAATCTTTGCATGAGTAATGTTGATACCAGTCGAAGCCCCGATATGGATTCCATCTGTGTTTCTGCTCTCTTCAGGTGCTGTGATGGTAAGATGTTGAAATGTAGTGTGCTTGCATCTGAAAACATGCATGTGGAAATTTTTGCTATTAAGTGATGTTATGTCCTGAACTCTGGAATTGGTGATAAATTCGAACCTCAGATTAATGGGAATAGGTTTGCAATTTTTGTTTTTGTGGCAGTCATTTTGACCCCAAACAAGTGCTCCTTGGCCATCAAAAGTCCCACCACCTGATAAGGTGAGCTTGTCAATGTATTGAAAACCAACCCAAGTATCTGGTCTTGTGAATTGGCCAGCGTTTGCTGGAGCCTGCAATGTGCCTCGAACTTGCATCTCAATAGGAGCCTTACAGGGGCCTCTGAAAGTTGCTTCTTTTAACTTGTATGTCCCGCTCGGAACAACAACTTTACTTGCCGATGGAGATGCACATGCATCACTCCAAGCCTTGGCCAAGGCCTTTGTGACATCAGAGCCAGGCTTTGCACCGTATGTTGCACTTGTCACATCAAACACACTAGGATTAGCTTTAGCTGTAGATGCTAACAATAAGAACAAAAGCATTGCCAAGAATCTTAATTTCAGAGCCATTTTGATTTTCCTTCCACTTTGTTAATTTTCTTCTCTCTTTTTTCTTTGTAAGGATGATGCAACTCCATTTTGAGTTGAGGCCAATTTATAGTCCGATTGGGAAGGCTCAACACCATCAAACTATCCAACCAATCACTAACTATTTTTATACGAAGTTGCATTCTAGTTCAGCCTTACATCCTATAATTAGTAATCTATTTAGCCTTAAGAATATTCATCACTAAATCTCTATCTAGAACGTGCTAAGTTGTTTGTCGTATTGCTGTCCTCCTCATATACTTAAAATTTCTAGAAAAGGAGGACCAAAACCATGCATGCACACCTGGATAGAAACAGGAAAAGACCATGCCAATAATTGGCCCATTTACATATATACTTTTTCTAATCTAATTAGCCTGGGTGTAGGTGAAAGAGAGTGGTAGTTATTCATATGAAGCATGTGTTTTATTAAACTTCAATTTTAAACTACTTTAGTTTTATGTTTTTTAGGCTTAACTAATTAATGATTCTCCCGCCCCACCCTCCCAATATTATATAAGTTTAGTCTCACTTTATCTCATTTTATTGCCTCACCTAACACCCATGAACTCTCTGTGTAAAAAATATCCATTAAAGATTAAGAGGAAATTCATGGTATGAGAGCAAATGTTTCGGTTTCCAATCACAAGGCGCCACGTGGACAAGAAGAATATCACGTAGGTCATTAATTGGGCCCATTTATTTGGCCAATTAATTAAGACCAAGAATTGAAATATTATCTTTACTTGAGAATATAATCACCAATTAAAGATAATATCACCAATTTGGGATATTATCTTATTTTGGGGATATTATCATTAATTAGGGAATATTCTAATCTAATAGACTAATTAAGAGTAGTGCGATGGTTTAGGGACCCACTAGTGTAGTGTTTTGGAGCAATTGCTCCCATAGGGTCGTCTCCCATGGTTGCAAGGGCAAACCAAGGACCTCGAAGCCATTTCCAAGGTTGTCATGGGGCTCTTTTATAGACCCCGTGTGGTTGGTTGGGTAAGGTTTGCAACTTCTTCTTTTTTTCTTCTTTTTTTTTTTTTTTTTTTTTTTTTTTTTTTTTTTTCCTTTTCTTTTATATCTTATGAATTATCTAATAGGGTAATTTTCATTTTAGTACCTTGACAGTGTGTTGGATGAAGTAATTCTAATTTCCATAGAAACTGTAAATGATGGGATTTCCAATTACATCATTTAAAATTCCGTCAGTTACACATTTTAGTGTTTGGATGTCATGTATGTGGAATGTAAGAAATTATAGAAATTACAATTTCACCTGTTTAGATACTCATAAGAGAATTAGAATTTAATTAGAAGTAACAACATTTTTTTTTCTTCAACAATCTGATATTTTCTGCGTGTAATTTGGCAAATCCTGAGTTGATTTTTCCAAACTCTGAACTTTTCCTTTTCCACACTCTAAATCCCTCCTTTTGTTAAAATCCCGAGATATTTTACCTCATTCAAACACATTGTATAGTTCACCGAGTTTCACCCTTTAAATCATATTTTTTTTGGAAGGGAATAAAAAAAAACGTGGCACCATGCTATTTGTAGTTAATATTAAATGTTATTATATTTTTATTTCTACATGAAAAATAGAAAGAGAAAACGTATAAAAGCTCCCAAGAGCTTCCTGCTTCCTCCTCAATCTTGCCTTCCCCTATGTGTATTTTTCTTTCACTTTATGCCACGCATATGGCATAAAATGAGGAATAAAAAAAGGCAAGATGTGAAGGAAGTTAACATTCTTGATAACTTTTCATTACTAATACTGAACTAATCAAACATGGGAATGATAGATAATTACATTTCCCAGCATTCCCAAACGTGTGAATGAACATCCTCCATTCTCATCTTGTAGGATTAGACATGGAAAGTTTATTCTTAAGAAATTCAATCCGCGAACCAAACGGGCCACAAGATCAATAGTTAAGAAAACAATAAGCACAATGATTAAATTTCAACAAGAAGAAACTGTGGCATAACATAACTAAGCTTTGAATAATTAGAAAATGGCTACAATGTGTCTTAGTAAAAGAAAATTAGTTACTCATAGTCATGGGAACCAAGCAAAACTACATGGACAAAGAAATGAAAAAGGATAGAGAGTTACGACCACTCTTCCTTGCTCCAAGAGTGAATAGCGATTTTTCTATGATCCTTTGAGCAAAGTCGATCTCTCTTATTTTAAAGGAACCTAAACCCTATAGAAACTGGGCCTAAACAAGTGATCTTACACGAAAACTTAATTGCCAAGTTGTGTAATGGATATCTCAATTCATCATCAACCTAAAATTGATGAATTGAGCTATCAATTAGAGTTGGGTACCTCAAACCCCAAACTAATTATGTAAGAGATCCATTATTCCTTTTTAGGCCTTGTTCACCATATTTCATACTGAAAACTCTCCTCCCACATCACATTAAAGGTAGGCAAGCTGTAGAGCTCCTCCAAGGCCTATTTCAGTGGAGTCCTTACTTGCACGCCTGATCAATACAAATCATACGTAATCTGTTCAATTTAATTTTATGGTAGCTAATACTCAGTAAAAGAATTTATGCAACTAAAGTAAATTGAACAGATTTTTTTTGTAACAGAGTTGACGAAATTGGGCACAACTAGAGAGAGAGAGTTCATGAGAGATCCGGTTTCTTTGTTTGGATTCTTTCTGACATGATCTGTTTGACTTCTCCCCTCCATGTGCCACCTCATTAAAATTTAATCCAAGGGATTTCAAGTTATACACATCCTCTTTAACATAAAACCTCAATTTCCTAATAATTATAAAAAAAAATATATAAAAAAATAAAAAAAAACCTAACTCTAAACTAACGTGAAACTTAACATGGTTGGTCTCTCTTCTCCCTTATTTTTTAAAGTCTCTGTAAGCATTCATTTTCTGGATCCCTCCAAGATGAGTTAGAGTATTTGTTTTTAACGGGAAACATGGTGAGCTTGAAATTGGTAATTTATTAAAAGGATTCAATTTAATAATATTAAAACGAACAAAAGGAGACTAATATGCTTTCATCTTTAAATCCAAAACATGGTGAGCTTGAAATTGGTAATTTTGGTTTCTATTAACCTATTATTTTATTCCAGAGAAAGGAAGGAAGAAAGGTAAATTTTGGGGGAGACTTGGAAGGAAGAAGGAAAAAAAAAAAAAAAAAAAAAAGAAAGGATTGGTGGAGTAAAAGAGAAAGAACGAAACAAAACAAAAAAAAACTAAACTGATTGGGGGAGACGTTGTAGAGAAAATAAGTAGGGAATTGGGGGAGATGTTTGCAGATAGGAAGAAAGTTTCACGTTAGTTCAGTCAGAGTTTTTATTTCTAAATTATGAAGAAATTGTGTTTTTGTTTAAAAGATTATGTGTCTAACATAGGTCATCACTAAGAGAGGGCTAAATCCTCATTTTTACCCTTTCACATCCAAAACCCAAAATCCATCTCTAGTAAATGGGCTATATGTGCCATGTAACCGAGTCAAATCCAGTCAGCAAGCCGAAAGGGCTCTATGCTAGGGCAAATGTAGGATGGTTCTTGAGTGGGTTATATCTTATTTTATTATTATTTTTTCAAAAGAAAGCAAGCCTTTTGGATTCTTCAAAAGCCTACGGCTCTTTCCACCATAGTATGAAATATAGATAATATCAACGAAATATCGAGGATATTTCAGTTTTTTCGAATCACGGATATTTCGGAACATATCCATGTACATATCATATAAATATCAACAATATCGACAATAATATCGGAAAATATCGATGTCGATAATTTCGCTCACACTTCAACAATATTTTGTCAAAATATCGATATAATATCACTTATTCCTCCAACACCTTAACCATCATATATTACTTATGTTTTAGTGATAATATGCTAAAATATTTATATTTATATGGTAGCATGTTAACAATTACATGCAAAACTATTTTGGGGATTTATCATTTGATGAATACTCTTCACAATACACTTACTCTACACATAGAGATGATGAAGATAGTAAAAAAATTGAACCTCATAGGAACTCTACGTGGTACTAAGTCACTCATGTATCTTACCATGCAATGTATAAAGTGTAAAATATTGTACTAAATCATTGTATATAAATGATTATGGTGTGTTTAATCTTTTTTCATTAATTACTATATATTTTCTACATTCACAGTGTTTGCCAGCTCGCTGTATAATCAACTTAAATCAGTTAAATCCATCATGTAATGCATTTCCTTCTAATTTTTTTTAAAATAAACTAATAGATAATTTACTAAATAAACATTCTCCAAAGTTTCAATAAAAATTTCCAAGTTTTTCTTACAATTTCCGTGGTTTTTATTCAATTTTTATAGATATGGATAATATCCCGATATTTCCATTGAAATTTCTATGTTTTTAGACTACCGATATTTCCAATATCATCGATATTTTAGACCATGCTTTCCACAAATTATGCAATGCCTGCCCATGAGGTTCTCTCAGGCTGCTGACTCAAATGATGTCAGCTAGCCATTATATATATATATATATATATATATCAAAAAATCCTAAAAATTATTTTTTCTATATTTTAATTATAAAAAATCCTAATTTTTTTTCCATAAATACCAATCTCATTTCTACATAATTTCTCACATTCTTTTCATCCTTCTACATAATTTCCCACAATTTTTTCATCCATCCAACAATGCCAAGAGATGATGCTTATCTTTTCTAATTTGTTAGTTGTTTTAAAATTATACAATATATGTAAAGAACATACTAAAAACTAATTAAAAAATTGGGGCGGCTATGATTTAGCCTAACACTGCTTGTGACGGTAAAAATATAGCCCATCACTATTCCTTACGAAATTATAATTTTATGTGTGCTATATCGAGGGAAGAAGTCAAGCATATCATGGCAGAGAAAATCGAGTTGAGAATTCAGATCCGTTCAGGAGGATTAATTGAGGCAAAATGAGAACGAAGTTATAATTGGGGGCAAATCAATCGTTAAGCCTAAACAAAAGCATAAAACTAGAAGTAGTTAAGAAAACACGGAATACACGCTTCACATGTGAATCTTCATTTGTCCATCAGTCTCACGCCTGCAAATAACACACCACGTCTGATCTGTTCGAATTTAAACAAAGCGGCAAACTCAAAAATACATTTAAGTAAAATAACCGCAACATCATGAGCTGAAGCATCTTCCTCATAAACTATTACCATGTCATACTATCCCAAGCATGAAGAACTACCGTTCTCTTTTACCTACACTCACTTCGATTAGCATCAACACAACACCGGCAGAGCTAAATAATGTATGACCGTGATTCTACATTGTCTGCGAAACCCCCGCTTTTGCATTAATCCCAAAAAAAACAAAAACAAAAACAAACAAAGGTGCATATGTTAGGATCAACTTGTCCATAACAGAATGATAAATAAAAATTTAATATGTACGATAATTGTAATCTAATAGACTAATCAAGCAAGGGTGGTGTGAGCATTCTTTGGCCACAATGAAGGATCATATGAGACGAACAAACTTAAAAGACTAATTTCGCCACGCAGAGTGCATAAAAGAGAGGGGGGGGGGGGGGAAATTTAAAATTTGTCCTCTAATTCCTGAAGATTTTCCCTTATTATTTATTATTGATCATCTCTATTGAAAAAAAAAAAAAAAAAAAAAAAGAAAAGAAAAAAAAAAAAATCTTTTGATGGAGGGTGGAGTGTTAGACTGAGTGTATCTTGGAAACCTGCAGTTCCTAAGTTCTAGTTTTCCTGCTTCTGATATTTGGCCCTTTAACAGTTTTGTTCTACCCATCAGGCTTTGTATTTCCTTCACTGTGAAAGACGACTTCATCTCGAGAATGGCTTTGATTTGGCACGGGTGTGCCTCGATACCTCGTTGCGTCACTAAGTACCCCAGGAACTGGCTAGATGATACACTGAACGTGCATTTACTTGGATTCAGCTTCATGCGATATTTGAGGTGGTCTGCCCGCTTGGGGGCTTTAACCAGCATATCGTCCACGTACACCTCCATGGTTCTGCCGATCTGCTCATTAAAAATTTTATTCACGAGCCTTTGGTAGGTTGCTCCAGCGTTCTTCAGCCCAAAGGGCATGACCTTGTAGCAGTAGGTCCCTCTTTCGATAATGAAAGAGGTATTCGCCTTGTCATCATTGTACATCATAATTTGATTATAGCCGGAGTAAGCATCCATGAAGCTGAGCAGTTGATTGCCGGAAGTTGAATCCACGAGCTGGTCGATTCTCGGCAATGGGAAGTTGTCTTTAGGGCATGCTTTGTTGAGGTCGGTGTAATCGACGCATACTCTCCATTTTCCCTTTTCTTGTTTCACCACTAGAACAATGTTGGCCAACCATTCCGAGTAGGAGACCTCTTCAATGAAACCGACAGCTAGGAGCTTGTCAATCTCGGCTTCAATGATCGCGACCCGCTTGGGAGCAAAGTTGCGTCTCTTCTGCACCACGGGCTTGCTAGCAGGGTTGACATGGAGCCGGTGGCAGATGATGTTTGGGTCGATCCCAGGCATGTCAGATGGTGACCACGCAAACATGTCTTTGTTGTTCTGGAGGAAGATGGCCATCTCCATCTTCTCGTTTGGGCTTAGGCGCGAGCCGATCCACGCTTTCTTGTCTGGCTGGTCAGGATCGAGGGGTACTAACTCAACGTGTTCCTCAGGCTTCCAACCTTCTTCAAGGGAGCCTCCCGGGCGGATTCCCTCATCTCGATCCTTCTTGTTTGGATTCTGGCGCGAGCCGATCTGCGCTTCCTTGTCTGGCTGATCAGGATCAGGTGGTACTAACTCAACGTCTTCCTCAGGCTTCTAACCTTCTTCAAGGGAGCCTTCCGGGCGGATTCCCTCGTCTCGATCCTTCTTGTTTGGATTCTGGCGAGCTGATCTGCGCTTCCTTTTCTGGCTGATCAGGATCGGGGGTTACTAACTCAACGTCTTCCTCAACCTTCTTCAAGGGGAGCCTTCCTCGGCGGATTCCTCGTCTCGATCCTTCTTGTTTGGATTCTGGCACGAGCCGATCTGCGCCTCTTTGTCTGGCTGGCCAGGATCAGGGGGTACTAACTCAACGTCATCCTCAGGCTTCCAACCCTTTTCAGGGGAGTCTTCCGGGCGGATTCCCTCACCTTGATCCTGGTTCCTTAACTGCTATTGTGAGGCAGCAACTTCCTTCCCTTTCGGGTTTGCTTGTCTGCTAAGAGCGCTTCCTGCCTCGTTGGCAGCTTGCATTACTGGTGTGAACTGCAGCTGCTTGCTCTTCTTGAGCCCTTGGGCTGTGCATCTCCTTGCCATGGCTTGGTCACTGTTGATCTGCCCGATCCCGCCCCCAGGGATGGGATAGCGGATCTTCTGATGTAGAGCAGATGTGATGGCCTCGATCTTGCTGATCCACGGTCGGCCCAAGATTCCGTTGTAGGGGGAAACCTCGTCGATGACCATGAAGGTTTGCGAGCAGACCACTGGGGGTGAGTGGACATCAAGGTCGATCGTTCCAACAGTGATTGATGTGGCCCCATTGAAGCCGGTGAGCGATCTGGCAAGTTTGCTAATCTTGGGCTCGAACCCCATCTGTTGGATAACAGATAGTTGCAGGATGTTGGCTGCGCTGCCCTCATCTACATGAACTCGCTCGATCACAGCTTGTTCAATTTGGATGCAGATGACTAGGGCGTCATTATGTGGCAGGTCAAGCCCGATCAAGTCCTTCTTCTGGAAGCCGATGATGGGTGTATCCACAATGGCTGGTACTCCCGTTGTGACTTGGGAGGCATAAGTTACTTGAGCGATCTTTCTCTTGCGCTCCTTGGTGGTCAGCCTGACTCTTGGGAGTCGGCTAGAATGGTGTTGATTCGAATGACCTTTTGGGGAGGTTCCTTGGCAGCTGCATCACGATCCTCGATCTGCTGGATGCCTTCTTTGCAACGAACTCTGTGGAATGGCCTTCTCTGACCAGCTCCTCAAGGTGCCTTTTCCAAGCGTTGCAGTTGTTGGTGTAATGACCGTGCTCCCCGTGGAATGCGCAGTTGGTGTCCCTTATAGAGGGGTCTCCCTTCATGGGTGGTGGTCTCCTCACCCACGGCTTGTCCTTCACCTGAGCTAGGATCTGGTGGATTGGGATAGCGAACTCAGTGAAGGTCCCTGTTTCTGAGTTTCCCTCTTGGGGCCGCGATCTGCCCTTATCCCGGCTTTTTGCTTGAACTTGTTGCTCTTTTGGCTTGCCTGCTTCGTCAGGTGGTCAACTTGCTTGCTGGCTTTCTTTGCGGCGATACGATCATCGTCCCAAAGTGCATAGCGCTCTGCCGTCGCGAACACCTCTGCCAAGGTTTGACTTGGAGTTATGGCCAGCTCCCAGTATAGCTGTGCTCGGTTGGCAAGCCCTTCTTGAAAGCTGAGGATGCAACTTGGTCATGACATCCTATGATGTTAGCCTTCTCAGCCTTAAACCGTCTTAGGTAGTGTCGTAGAGACTCGTCTGGCTTCTTGCGCAGGTAAAGGGCGAGCAGTCAACTCGATCAATTTCCTTGCACAGGGCCTCCTTCGTGCTTCCTTAAGTCGGAGACCTCAGAGTTGGTCATTTACTAGCTTCTCGACATCCTCTGCCCGCAGGGTTGGAGTTTCGGGCCGACGTCTTTGGTGCCTCTAGCGCGACCTGCTAACTTCTTCCTTGGTTCCCAAGGGTCGATCCCCTCGGGTGCTCTGCCCGTGGGGTAGATTAGGAGATTGAGCTTGTGAGGATTCCTCTGTAGCTTGTTTCCGCGTGTTGGTCCTCGAGCGGGCTGGTGGGCGTCGATCATCATCCTCTGCTCGTAAGGAAGGTCGTTCAAGTCGACATCTTCGGTGCCTCGAGCATGATTGGCTAACTTCTTCTCCAGCTCCCAAGGGTCGATCCCCTTGGTTGCCCTACCTGTGGGCAGGAGAGAAGGTTGAGTTTGGGAGGATCCTTCCACAGCTTGTTGCCGCGTGTTGGTCCTCGAGCAAGCTGGTGGGCGTCAATCGTCATCCTCTGCTCGCAAGGAAGGTCGTTCAGGTCGACGTCTTCGGTGCCTCGAGCGTGATTGGCAAACTTCTTCTCCAGCTCCCAAGGGTCGATCCCCTTGGTTGCCCTGCCGTGGGGCAGGAGAGAAGGTTGAGTTTGGAAGGATCCCTCCACAGATTGTCACCGCGTGTTGGACCTCGAGCGGGCTAGTGGGCGTCGATCGTCATCCTCTGCTCGCAAGGAAGGTATTTCAGATCGACATCTTCGGTGCCTCGAGTGATTGGCTAACTTCTTCTCCAGCTCCCAAGGGTCGATCCCCTTGGTTGCCCTGCCCGTGGGGCAGGAGAGAAGGTTGAGTTTGGGAAGATCCCTCCACAGCTTGTCGCCGCGACCGCTCACGAACTCGAGCTCCTGTGGACCTAAGCGAGCACCAACATTGGATTGTGGGCCTAGCCTCTCGAGCACATTGGTCCTGGGACCTAACCTCGAACGGTTCAGAGTACGGCTTGTAGCTGTCTTCGTCTCGTTTGCACGATCTCGCTCTCCCCCCTGCCAGTTTGCCCTTGTCTGACCAGCCTGGGACCTCTTGAACTGCTCGCCAGCATGCTCGTGTGCCCTCCTCTCCTCATCACGGGGTCCAAGGTTGAGTTTGGGAGGGCTCTAGATGAATTCAATCACGGCATGGCTAATAGTGTGACACATCCCTTTGATAGCAAACAAAAGAAAATCTGGTTGTGGCACCTGTTTGTGCAAATAATCTCGCTGGAGAATATTTGCTTCTAAATCCTTCAACCTTCGATCTTCCTTCTCTCTCTTCCTCGTTTCCTATAAAAAAGACTGGAGTAAATAGACCACACCTGGGGGGTGTTGGCCAAAGGCCCTCCGATGCCTCAGTTAGTTCAAGTGTTTGTAGGAAAACAATAGCTAAGCAAAGGGTACGGAGTTGTATGTATGGTGTGAACCGGGCGGCGGGATCCGTGTGGAGAAAATATGGAGAGTGGAGAGGTAGAGAGAGCTTTAGGTATTTTTCTCGGGTTTAGGAGTTTAGGTTTAGATGTACCTTGAATGATAAATGAGGTCGTCTATTTAGTCAGGAGGGGCTAGGGGGTTGCGTAGAGAGAGAATATGCTGAGTTTATTCTCTACCCAAATTCGTAGGGATCGAGTCGAACTTAGATAATATCTGATTTAATGATATTATCTTCTCTTTATTGAAGATAATATTTGAATTAAATGATATTATCTCTTTTTATGAAGATAATATCTGAATTAATGATATTATCTTCTCTTTATTAGGATAATATCTAAATTAATGGTATTATCTTATTAAATAAAGATAATATCCTATTGATTAAGATTAATTAATTAATTGATTAAACTGGTTCAATTAATTAATTTAAGAGATAATCTTCTTTTCCACGTGGCGTGCCCTGATTGGATACGAAAATATATGCTCCCACAAATGCCCCCCCTCCCCGGCTTCTGCATGGCGCTTGTGTGGCATGTAGGAGATGAAATTATTTTTTTTCGAGCTCTCCAACTGTGTCTGGGCTTTATTCTGTAAGTTGGACTCCTTTGCAGATCAAATTTCCAATTGGTGTAGGCTTCTGATTGTTGTTGGAGTTGGATTCCTAGTAGAAATGAGCTTGTGATTCCTCCCTGATCCGGGTTGTCCAACCTGTATAAATATAGGGCTTCTCTTCACTCTTTCTCACATCGCAAACTTAACTTCTCTACTTTCTGGCTTGAGAAAGATCTTGGAGAATTTGTACTACTTGTTGAAGAGAGGAGTTGTCGTGCATCCAAAGTAAGTTGAGCTCGTAAAAATATATATGCACATATATATATTTTTCCAATTTTTGGCAGCAAGGAGGTGGTCCAGCATGGGTTGCAAGTTTGTGGATCTGACTGACAAAAGCTGGAGAATTCGTGCTGGAATCAAATGGAGCATGAGGCGCATGCTAGTCTTGGAGCTACCTGGCCTAGGCTGGAGTAGACGTGTGCCCAAGGGAGAGCATGGAAGAGCCGAGCCCAAGGCAGAAGGATGGAGGCGCTGGGCTTCAGAGCAGAGGCATTGAGCGCTGGGCCTTGTACGCGACACAGGGTTGCGCTAGGCAAGCAGGCCACATGCGCTGGGCTAGACCACAAGGTGAGCGCTGACGCGGAGCAAGGGCCTCGTCGCTGCACGGGCTTGGCGTGATGGGCTCGAGCTCGAGGAGTATGCCCAAGTTCGCATCTACAAGGTCAAGCTATTTGACAGTCTTAGTCAAGGACGGTGGGAGGGCGACGTTGGTGACGGCCCACTGTTCCCATCACCTATTGCGATGGTATGTCTTTTTGCAGCTTTTTTGATATGTTCATTTTTATTTGAACTTCTTGAAGTGTGGCTGACTAACTTCTGTCTTCTGCTTTTAGTGAACAATATCAGCAAGCAATTGGCGCTTGGGCCTAACATGCCTAAGGTCCGTCGTGCTTTGAACATCCCCCGAAAGTTTCGTGAGTGGCACTGGCTGTTGAGTGAGCATCGGGAGGAAGACAGTGGTCTGCCCCCTACCGAGGATGTCGAGAGATGGAAGCAGAATGGTCCGGACCCTGATGATCTATCCGCTGAACATGAGGAGTGCTCTGTTGAACAAGAGGAGTGCTCTGCTAACCCCCATAAAAAAGGAAGGCTAATATCAAGTCTTCGAGAACTCAAGCTACTTCTTCACGGGCGAGGAATGTGTCTCCATTGAGGAAGAAGCCAAAGCTCCCTTCTACTGAGAAGACCCAAGTAGGACTTATTCCCGCATCATTTGCTAGGTCAAGCATCTTGTTGGTGCAGATAGCAAGAAGATTGGTGGTCATGATTTGCTCCGCGAAGTGGTCCGTGAGCCCTCTAGCTCACCTGTTGAGAGGCAAAGAGATGCAGATTTTCCTCTCCAAAGTTCAGGTCACTTATACCAGTCGAAGAGTGGAGGTCGATGTGGGAGGTCTGCTCACTCAACCAACCATCATGATCCAACTGTTGAGTCACGTGTAGTCAAGCGTGGAGTTGATTCGTCGCCGCAAATTCCTTTGGAAGTGAGGTTGGCATAGGCTAGGAAAGCAAGAGAGTCATCTGCCCAGGCGAAAGGTTCTTCTGCAACGTCAGGGGTTGATCCAAAGGTGGACAAGTCTAGCTCTGCAGGGGATGCGGGCGTGTCTGATCTGCTCAAGATGCACTTTCTATCAAGTCCATCCTCTTGTGCTGAGCTGGTTGATCAAATCCGTCAGGCTGGCGATCCTGGTACTTTTTCAAGTCTTTCCTTAGAAAAACAAAGGGAAGCAACACTTCATCTACTTCAAAAAGGAGTAGTTTTTGCTGCTGAGACCATTTGGAACTGGTCTGCTGTTGCCCATCTTCTGCTCAGCACAGTGAGTTAGAGAAGAAGAATGCCAAGCTAGTTAGCAAACTTTCTACCGAGCAGACCCGTTATGAGAAGAAGACGTCTGATTTGCGGGCGATGATATCTGAGCTCAAGAGTTCCTTTGCTGAGAAGGATTCTGAGCTTAATTCTTCCGCTGCTGACTTGGCAAGTCGAAAAGATGCTTACTTCCACCTTGAGCGCAAGAATGCTAACATCTCTCATAGCTACGACAAGCTTTTAGCTGAATTTCACGCCTATCATGAGTCTGCTGAGGAATCCAAGTCCGAAGTTGCCATGGATGCGTACAAGTTAGGCTACTTGGACTGCACAAATGGACATGATCCCTTCTATGCCATTGGAGATGAAGACATCAAGGTGCTCTATCCTGACTTGCCCATTGTGCAAAGTGAGGAGGCTAATGTTGTGAACACAAAAGGAGCTGAAGAGCAGGTGGCTGAAGAAGCGGTAGCCGAAGAGGATGAAGCAAAAGAGGATGCAGCTGATGATGTGGTGGCAGACATCATAGATCAGGCCTGCGGAGCTGCTGAGAGCGTGGTTGATCAAGTGATGCTGAAGAGGCTGCAAATCAGGGATCTCCTATAGGCGTTTCGGAGTAGACGAAAACTCCTTTATTTCTTTCATCTTTTGCAGTATGCTTTTTGTTTAAATAATTGGTCTTGTTTGACCATCTTCTTTTTGTTGAACTTGGCCGGTTGGTCACTTTGCTATGGAAATTTCAGTCTTTGTTTTTCAATTTCAATTTGCATATTGTCTTGTGAACTGCTTGAGTAATCGGCTAGTGTCTTGGCTATACATTTTTCTTAGGATTTTGGCAAAAGCCAGGGTCCCCCTTAAGGGACTCCAGACGTTTTCTGCATTTTCCTTAGGACGTTGCTTATGGGCAACTATTTGGTGATCCTGCCTCCCTTAGAAAACGGATAGGAACCTGGATATCTCCCGCAAGAAGCATGGTGACCCCCTTTTAAAAAATTCCTGGGGCACCTTACGTCTCCCTTAGGACGCTGTTTTGCGGGCTGTGTCTCCCGAAGGACGCTTCTGGTCGTCGCCCTGCTTCTCCCTTAGAACGCTTTTTATGGGCAATTGTATGGCTATTTTGCCCCCTTAGGAAATGGATAGGAACCTGGATACTTCCCTTAGGAAATTCCTGGCGCACCCTAAGCCTCCCTTCAGACGCTTCTTTACGGGCTGCGTCTCTCGAAGCACGCTTCTGGTCATCACCCTGTGTCTTCCTTAAGACGTTTTTTGTGGGCAACCGTCTTTTGTTGTGGCACATTTTGGAATTTGCAGTAGTTGGTTCTCTTATTTAGAAATATGCAGTACTCAGTCATTTGCTAGAGACTAAGCAGGTAGGAAGAAGCATCATGGATAGTATCTTTGGAGGTGGCAGGCATTCCACTGTCGTGGAATGTCCTTCCCTTCCATGGTGTCCAGCATATAGCTTCCTCTGCCCTTGGATTGGCTGTTTACGTAAGGGCCTTCCCAATTTGGTTTCATCTTTTTAGACCCTTGTCTTTGTGCAGTGATGAAGGCCTTTCTTAATACAAGGTGGCCTAGTTGAAACTGTCTGATCTGGCTCTTTTGTCGTAGTAAGACTTCAACTGATGTTGATAGGAGACGACTCGGACAATGGCCCTTCTCGCGCTCGCCTCCATTCACTAAGTAGTCGATGATATGGTCTTGCAGCTGGGGTCTTCATCGATTTGCATTGAGTCATCTGGCTCTATTTCTTCGATGCTTGGGCGGTCAAGGTGTTCAACTGGGATGGAGCGTTTGAATTAGGTGTCCAATGTTGATCCTAGGCTCGCCAATGCATCTGCATGAGTGTTCTCTGCTCGTGGAACTGATAGGAGCATATTTATGCGACTTTGGTATCTTATTTCTTTGCATTTACTTAGTTAATTCCCATTTATTAGAGTGATTTAGCTTATTTTCGTACTATTGTAGGTCCAGATGGCAAGATTGGCAAGAAAGGGCATTTTGGAGCATTTTAGAGCAGTTTTGGACTTGGAATGGGTAGCATATGCATGGGCCAAGATGGATGGACGTTTTTGAAGTTCGAAGAGGCTAGGAATGTGCTAAAAAGATGGGGAAATTAATTCAAGAATCAGCTTCTGGGAAGTAAAAAACCCTAACTGATTTTATTTTATTTTACCTTATCCTAATCCTATTCGACCTAAATTCCAGCTGTAAAAGGGGGGGATTAATTTCAGATTAGGAAACCTAAAAACCCTAATTTCGTGGGTTTCTATTGGGCCCTATTATTCCTAAAGAAATCTTCCAAACAAAACCCTAATTTCGTGGGTTTCTGCTGGGCCCTTTTACCCTAGATCTATCACATATATAAAGGAGGGGTTGCCGCAGGAGAAGGGAGTTCTTTTGGTGCCGTAGCAAGAAAGGAGAAAGGGAGAAGAAGAACTTGGAGCCGGAACCTGCTGCATCCATTGGGTTTTTCAGAGTTCTTCCCTTGATTAGTTCAAATGTTTATTCTATATTGCTTTTCAATTATTATGAACATGTGTAACTGAATTTCTTCTTAGTTAGAGGTGAATTCGAAGCCATGGACATATGTTTTACATGAATTGATTACTTCCAGTTATGGTTTCATAAAGTATGAATGTGATTTACTTTTCTGTTTTTATTGAGGACTTATTCTTGCATGTTTATTAAGGATGCATACTTAGTTTGTATGCAGGGATTTGATGCTAGAATATAAGGGAATTTCACCTAATCGTTATGAACTTATATTCACAAGTAGTAAAAGTCACTAGTCATGATTGTGTTAAGTAAATTCTTGGCAAGAGTATCATGCTTTTCATAGTTACAATTGTTTTGTCAAGGCTTATGATTTTCATAGAACTTAATGATCTTTGATATGTATCTCTATCATGCTGTTCATATAGGGAACTTGATAAGGATAATTTGATTGCGTCGCTGAGTCCAATTCAATGAACTTAGGAAAATCTGAGAGTTAATTAGTGCATTCACAATTAATTTGGGGCTTTGTCATTCATACTTTATAGAAAGAGTAACTGGAGATCGATTTGTGTGCATATGTTCCATGTGTGGAGAAGAATCCTCTAGCTATCCCTTAATCCATATTTCATTCACAACTTAGTTGTTTGCTGCTGTCAGTCTTACTTTAGTCTAAATCGTCAGAATTCCCCCCAATCATTGTTCCCTTAACTTAGTTTCCAGTTTAATAAGTTTAATTTGTGTTGATTAGCATCCCTCCCAATCCCCGGAATAGAACGATCCCTACTTACTCGTACTACGATTGCATGATTTATAGGGTTTAATTTGTGCGTTAGTTATTTCTCACGCCAAATTTTGGCGCCGTTGCCGGGGATTAGCAAAATTGCTAATCTTCCGTTTGTTTTCGTTTTTCTTGTGTTTCTGATTTTATTTTGTTTTCTTTGTTTTAGGTACTAGTTTATGACTCGAAGTTCACACCCTGTTCATGCGCACATATTGGACTTTGACGACGATTTCGAACGAACTTTGAGAAGGAAGAGGAAGCAGCCAGAACTCAATCCCTCTAGTTCTAGTTCCGAACCTGAATCTGAAGCTGAAACGGACTTTGAAGAGGAACAAGACATGGCTGTAGACAATCGAACAATCAAGGAACTTTCAGCCTCTGGATTGGACACTGCAGTCCCTCTTTGCATTCAATACCCTAGGGCAGCTGTAGGTAAGACCGATGAGTTTGAATTGAAGTCGAGTTTGCTACATCACATTCCCAAATACCATGGGCTGTCCATGGAAGATCCAAACAAGCATTTGAAGGAATTTGAAGTAGTATGTTCAAGCATGACACCCATTAACGTGGATGGGAATATTTTGAAGATGAAAGCCTTCCCATTCTCTCTTATGGACAAGGCTAAAGATTGGCTCTATGAACTAGCACCTGGAAACCGTTACTTCTTGGGAAAGTATGAAGAAAGCATTCTTAGAGAAATTCTTCCCAACTTCAAGAGTCATTCTTTTGAGGAAGAAAATTAGTGGAATTCAACAAGGCCCGGGAGAATCCTTTCCAGGGTACTATGAGCGTTTTAAGAAGTTAGTTGCATCCTGCCCACAACATCAAATGAAGGAAGAGCTTTTAATTCAATATTTCTATGAAGGACTACTTCCACTGGAGAGACAAATGCTTGATGCTTCAGCGGGAGGTGCTTTGGTTGACAAAACACCAGTTGCTGCGAAGATCTTAATAGCAAACCGAGCTTTGAATGCACAACAATACGAAGGAGTTGGAGGGAGAGATCATACACGGCCAAGTCCAGTTAATGAGGTAAGTGCTATTTCGGAACTTCAATCTCAAATGGCTAATCTCTCTACTCTTATTTCGCAGGTTGTTGAAGGATCCAAAGTGCAAAGTACAGCCACTTGTAGCGTGTGCTCTATGCATGGACACCCCACTGATCAATGTCCTCAATTAATAGAGAATGGGGGATGGGAAAGTGCCAATGCCGTAGGTTATCAAGGCCAAAATCAACCTAGGTATGACCCATTTTCAAACACCTACAATCCGGGCTGGAGAGATCATCCAAATTTGAAGTGGAGGGAGCCTCAACAACAACAAGGCGGATATAGACAGCCACCTCCGGGGCTCTATCAAAGGCCGTTCGCACCAGCACAACCTCAACCACAAACTGCCCAATCAAATTCAGGTTCGCCATTGGATAATGATAAAATGCTTCAAGTACTAACTTCTTTGACTCAGGGTTTACAAAATCAAGCCAAAGAGATGAGCGAAGTGAAGAAGCAAATTGGGCAGATGGCGGAATTCATGGGACAGTTTAGAGAAGAAGGCAAACTACCTAGCTCAACCATTGTCAATCCAAAAGGAGGTTTTTGAAATGGTAAAGAGATTGGAACTAATCCCAAAATGTCCAAACAAAGCCCAAAAGAGAACGAAAAGCTGCTGCTCAAAGAGAAGGAGGTGGACAAAGCCACGGCAAGGGAGGAACAACCCTTGCTGCAGTCCCCCAAAGCTCCTACACAACCAAACTCAGGTAAGGTTGTTCCAAATTCAACTCATTCTAACCCTATCCCACCAAATGTGCCTTTTCCTCGCAGGTTTATGCAATCTAAGAAAGAAGAGAATGAAAAAGACATCTTAGAGACTTTCAGGAAGGTACAAGTTAATATCCCACTTCTTGACGCAATAAAGCAAGTTCCAAGGTATGCTAAATTCTTGAAAGAGCTTTGTACAACAAGGAGGAGGATTTCAAACAAAGAAGTGGTAAGGGTAAGTGAGAATGTTTCCGCAGTTTTGCAACGAAAACTGCCACCTAAATGCAAAGATCCAGGTAGTTTCACAATCCCTTGTGTTATTGGTAACACCAAGTTTGAACATGCCATGTTAGATTTAGGTGCTTCCATTAATGTCATGCCATACTCTATTTATGCATCTATGAACTTAGGAGAGCTTAAAAATGATGGCGTTATAATTCAATTAGCCGATCGTTCTAATGCATATCCGAAAGGAGTTTTGGAAGATGTTTTGGTGCAGGTTAACCACTTGATATTTCCAGCAGATTTTTATGTGCTTGAGATGGAGGATTCGGCCCATTCTACACCATTGCCAATCTTACTTGGACGACCTTTCATGAAAACAGCCCGAACCAAGATCGATGTGTTCAAGGGGACGTTGACAATGGAATTTGATGGCAATATCATTGATTTCAATATTTCTGAAGCTATAAGGTACCCTATTGATGATCACTCCTGTTTCTCTATTGATGCATTTGATTCTTTGGCGCAGGAATATCTCGAATCCCTAGATAGGGATGTCCTTGAAACCACCATTGTTCAAGGAATTGAACTCATCAAAAATGGGGCCGAACCTAATCATGAAGAAATTGGCGAGATGGTGGCTGCCCTTGAGTCACTGCCACAATATGTTGGTAAGTCTCCAATCCCAATCCCAATTCCCGTTTCTACTAACAAGTTGTTACCTTCGGTGATTCAGGCACCCACTCTCGAGCTTAAACCGTTACCGAATCATTTGAAGTATGTCTTCTTGGGAGATAAAGAGACTTTGCCCGTCATAATCTCTTCATCACTCACGGCAGTGGAGGAGGAAAAACTAGTTCGGGTGTTGCAAGAGTACAAAACAGCTATTGGATGGACTTTAGCCGACATCAAGGGACTTAGTCCTACAACATGCATGCATCGCATACTTCTAGAGGAGGGGGCTAAACCAACTCGAGAGGCTCAACGCCGACTCAACCCTCCAATGATGGAAGTTGTGAAAAAGGAGATCATTAAGCTTCTTGATTGTGGGGTCATTTATCCAATTTCGGATAGTCGATGGGTTTCACCGGTTCAAGTTGTACCAAAGAAATCAGGAGTCACTGTGGTAAAAAATGAAGAGAATGAACTTGTCCCCACTCGTATCCAAACAAGTTGGAGAGTTTGCATTGATTATAGGAAGCTCAACGCCACCACAAGGAAAGATCACTTCCCTTTGCCGTTCATTGATCAAATGCTTGAAAGGTTAGCTGGTCATTCTTTTTATTGCTTTCTTGATGGCTATTCGGGATATAATCAGATTGTTATAGCCCCAGATGACCAAGAAAAGACTACTTTTACTTGTCCGTTTGGTACTTTTGCTTATCGACGAATGCCATTTGGTTTATGTAATGCACCAGCCACCTTTCAAAGATGCATGGTAAGTATCTTTTCCGATTTCGTTGAGAAGATTATTGAGGTTTTCATGGATGATTTTAGTGTCTTTGGTGACTCTTTTGATGGCTGTTTAACTAATCTCACGTTGATATTAAAACGTTGCATTGAAACCAACCTTGTTTTAAATTGGGAAAAAAGTCACTTCATGGTAAAACAAGGCATAGTTTTAGGACATATAGTTTCAGAAAAGGGAATTGAAGTTGATAAATCAAAAATAGGTCTTGTACGCCACTCTACCTTCGGTGAGAGAGGTTCGTTCTTTCCTTGGACATGCAGGGTTCTATAGACGTTTTATCAAAGATTTCTCGAAGATTTCAACACCCTTGTGCCGACTTCTACAAAAGGATGTGCCGTTTGTGTTTGATGACAAATGTGAGAAGGCGTTCAATCACCTCAAAGAATTGTTAACTTCGGCACCTATCATTGTTCCACCAGATTGGAGCCTTCCGTTTGAGCTTATGTGTGATGCTTCAGATTATGCTTTAGGGGCTGTTTTGGGACAACGGAAAGACAAGAAGCCACACGTCATCTACTACGCATCCCGAACCTTGAATGATGCTCAATTGAATTACTCCACAACTGAAAAAAAAACTTCTTGCTGTTGTGTTTGCTTTAGATAAGTTTCGTTCTTATTTACTTGGTACTAAAGTTATAATTTACTCTGACCATGCAGCTTTGAAGTACTTACTCACAAAGAAAGAAGCCAAACCAAGGCTTATTCGCTGGATGCTTCTTCTTTAGGAGTTTGACGTGGAAATTAGGGACAAAAGAGGATGTGAAAATGTAGTGGCTGACCACTTGAGCCGTTTGGTACATGAAGAAGACCTTCTACCTATTCCAGAGGCATTCCCAGATGAACAATTGCTGACCATTGAGGTAAGTGAGCCATGGTATGCTGATATTGTGAATTATATTGTGTCTAAACAAGTTCCAAGCACCATAACTAGGCACCAACGCGATAAACTTAAAAAAATTGCACGGTTTTATGTGTGGGATGACCCTTATTTGTGGAAATATTGCCCTGATCAAATTATTCGTAGATGTGTGCATGATTCTGAGTTTAATTCAATCTTAACCTTCTGTCACACTTATGCATGTGGGGGTCACTTTGGTACACAACGCACAGCACTTAAGGTTTTAGAATGTGGATTTTATTGGCCTACTATCTTTAAGGATGCTAGAACTTTTTGTATGACTTGTGATCGTTGTCAAAGAACGGGCAATATAGGTGCAAAAGATCAAATGCCGCAAACCCCTATCTTTTCTGTTGAGATTTTTGATGTTTGGGGTATTGATTTCATGGGCCCTTTTCCTTCTTCACATGGTTTTAATTATATCTTACTTGCTGTGGATTATGTTTCAAAATGGGTGGAAGCAAAAGCCACCCGTACCAATGATTCCAAAGTGGTTGCAGATTTTATTAAAACTAACATATTTGCAAGATTTGGAATGCCACGAGTACTTATAAGTGATGGGGGCTCTCACTTTTGTAATCGGACCATAGAGGCACTACTTAAGAAGTATAATGTCATGCATAAGGTTTCAACACCTTATCATCCCCAAACAAGTGGACAAGCCGAAGTTTCCAACCAGGAAATCAAGCAGATCTTGGAAAAGACAGTTGGACCAACTCGAAAGGATTGGAGCTTGCGTTTGAATGATGCATTGTGGGCATATCGTACTGCCTACAAAACACCAATTGGAATGTCTCCTTTTCGGCTCATTTATGGGAAACCATGCCATCTTCCAATTGAGTTGGAGCATCATGCACATTGGGCAGTCAAGACTTTCAACATGAACATTGATGCCGCTGGACTTCATAGGAAATTGCAATTGAATGAGCTTGAGGAAATTCGGACTGAAGCTTATGAGAACGCTCATATTTACAAGGAGAAAACAAAGGCTGCCCATGACAAGATGATTCGTAGTAAAACGTTTTCTGTGGGGCAGAAAGTGTTACTTTTCAACTCTCGCCTTCGTTTGTTTCCAGGTAAGTTGCGTTCTAAATGGATTGGTCCTTTTGTTGTTACTAATGTTTTTCCCTATGGTGCAGTCCAAATTCAAAGTTTTAAGACGGGACATGAATTCAAAGTGAATGGACACCGTTTGAAGCCATACTATGAGTCTTTTGAGGAGCATGTAGTGGAGGATGTACCCCTCCATGCCATTGGCCCTAGTGAAGCTTAAAGGGAGGTACCGTCCGGTTGGAAGACGTTAAAGCAAGCGCTTCTTGGGAGGCAACCCATGTGTTCAAATAGAAAGACAACGGAATCTCCGGGCTCTACAACCAGATTTGCTCTCTTTTACTCTTCTCTTTATTATTTTTACTTTGCTATAATTGTCTTGTTTGCTAGTTGTCTCTTATTGCTTTCTTGTTTAAAGTTTTCTTTTGAAACATTGAGGACAATGTTTAGTTTAAGTGTGGGGGGGTAAACAGAGTGCTTTTCGTGATTTATTTTCAAAATACACCACCTATCACTACTAATGTTGTTATTCACTGTTTTAAAAAGTGTTTTCATGCTTTATTAAATTTTAAATAAAAAAAAAAAAAAAAAAAAAGAGTCAAGAGTCGTTTTTGTTGTTTATTTGTGTCTTAGGGTACCTTCCAACACAATGATGAGGATTTGGTTTTTAATTGCATGACTTTTAAAGAAAGTTACAAACATGGGTGGAAGTCTGATATGCTCTTTGGTTAATACTTAGTTATAGTTGTCAATTACGAATTCACATGTAATCACACAAAAAAAAAAAAAAAAAAAAGATAATCAGTTTTTGTAACATGCTGGAAGGAAGGAACTCAAACTAACGCTGCAACCCTGAGAGACTTGAGCCTGTTCTTTGTTTGGAGAGTTATTAATCTTGATATTCTTGTTTTCTAAAGTCGTTGCATGATCTCATTATTTCTTTGCTTGGTTGCTACTTAGAATGCTTTTTCATCTCTTTAGTTCCAAATACTAGAACTCATGCCCGTTCCATTCAAAGCATCAAATTGATTGCGTAACAAATAACAAGATGAAGTTGTTTAGTTACCATCAGAGCCAAAAAGCCTTATCCCTTGCATATGCATTGTAGGTTTAACCATTTTGAAGCCTTATTTAGCTTATTTTCTTTGTTAGCTTGCATTATCCCTACCTATCCTAGTATAAGAATATCCATACCCTTGTTCTTAAAGAATAGTCAAGCATGACTTGTTGGGAATTCCTTTTGATTTACGATTTGCAGAAAAAAAAAAAAAAACAAAAAAAAACAAGTGTGGGGGAAGGATTTGTTCCTTTGGATTAGTGTTGTCCAAAAAAACAAAAAAAAACAAAAAAAAAGAGAGAGAAAAAAAAGAAGGGATATGTGAATCTGAATAAATCTCCCCTTTGTGCTAAAAATTGGGTGCTGCAATCACAAGTTGAATTCCAAGTGTTGATTTCATTGCTCTGTTTACTATTACTTTAAGAACCTTTGTTTATCCTTAACCTTTCTTTGTTAGCCAATACCTTAGCCCCAATACAACCCTTAGACTTCTATCTTGATTGTTATGTGTTTCAATATGTGGAGTTTGAAATTGGTATGAGCTTATGGAATCCCTGGTTCTCGCTTCTAAGTAGTAGCATTCTGTTCATGAGATCATATACATGTTCGTATTAATAATTCCAGAAAGTGCTTTCTTTGTTATAACATATGTGAGTGCTAGTCTACACATTTACATCAATCTTCTCACATATACTTAGTATAGGGAGTGTGGTCAGAAAATCTGTGTGAAAATAGAGAGTATATCGGGTGAGGAATTGAGTGAATTCTCTAAGGCATGTTACCACTTTCAAATGTTGTTTTAATTGATTAAATGTGAGCTAGTGAGTGTTTACTGTGATTAAGTATGAGCTCGAGGGTAAGGATGGCTCAAATCTGTGTGAGTAGTGATTTTTAACATGTCATGTTTCATTGGAAATCCCTGAGGCAATTGTTGGAAGGTTTAGGTTTTGTTTTGTTTTCTTTGTTCTGCTAGGGACTAGCAGAAGCTAAGTGTGGGGGAATTTGATAGGAGCATATTTATGCGACTTTGGTATCTTATTTCTTTGCATTTACTTAGTTAATTCCCATTTATTAGAGTGATTTAGCTTATTTTCGTACTATTGTAGGTCCAGATGGCAAGATTGGCAAGAAAGGGCATTTTGGAGCATTTTAGAGCAGTTTTGGACTTGGAATGGGTAGCATATGCATGGGCCAAGATGGATGGACGTTTTTGAAGTTCGAAGAGGCTAGGAATGTGCTAAAAAGATGGGGAAATTAATTCAAGAATCAGCTTCTGGGAAGTAAAAAACCCTAACTGATTTTATTTTATTTTACCTTATCCTAATCCTATTCGACCTAAATTCCAGCTGTAAAAGGGGGGGATTAATTTCAGATTAGGAAACCTAAAACCCTAATTTCGTGGGTTTCTATTGGGCCATATTATTCCTAAAGAAATCTTCCAAACAAAACCCTAATTTCGTGGGTTTCTGCTGGGCCCTTTTACCCTAGATCTATCACATATATAAAGGAGGGGTTGCCGCAGGAGAAGGGAGTTCTTTTGGTGCCGTAGCAAGAAAGGAGAAAGGGAGAAGAAGAACTTGGAGCCGGAACCTGCTGCATCCATTGGGTTTTTCAGAGTTCTTCCCTTGATTAGTTCAAATGTTTATTATATTGCTTTCAATTATTATGAACATGTGTAACTGAATTTCTTCTTAGTTAGAGGTGAATTCGAAGCCATGGACATATGTTTTACATGAATTGATTACTTCCAGTTATGGTTTCATAAAGTATGAATGTGATTTACTTTTCTGTTTTATTGAGGACTTATTCTTGCATGTTTATTAAGGATGCATACTTAGTTTGTATGCAGGGATTTGATGCTAGAATATAAGGGAATTTCACCTAATCGTTATGAACTTATATTCACAAGTAGTAAAAGTCACTAGTCATGATTGTGTTAAGTAAATTCTTGGCAAGAGTATCATGCTTTTCATAGTTACAATTGTCTTGTCAAGGCTTATGATTTTCATAGAACTTAATGATCTTTGATATGTATCTCTATCATGCTGTTCATATAGGGAACTTGATAAGGATAATTTGATTGCGTCGCTGAGTCCAATTCAATGAACTTAGGAAAATCTGAGAGTTAATTAGTGCATTCACAATTAATTTGGGGCTTTGTCATTCATACTTTATAGAAAGAGTAACTGGAGATCGATTTGTGTGCATATGTTCCATGTGTGGAGAAGAATCCTCTAGCTATCCCTTAATCCATATTTCATTCACAACTTAGTTGTTTGCTGCTGTCAGTCTTACTTTAGTCTAAATCGTCAGAATTCCCCCCAATCATTGTTCCCTTAACTTAGTTTCCAGTTTAATAAGTTTAATTTGTGTTGATTAGCATCCCTCCTAATTCCCGGAATAGAACGATCCCTACTTACTCGTACTACGATTGCATGATTTATAGGGTTTAATTTGTGCGTTAGTTATTTCTCACGCCAGGAACTTGTTGGATGGTGAAAGTAGGGAATTCTTTCAAAAGTCCTAGGACTTTGTCGAGGTACTGTACCATTCTTGGATGCTTTGCCATGTACTCGCCTGAGGCTTGATTTGTGATCAGTTGGGAATTCGAGTAGATGACCAATCTCTTGATCGACAGTTCTTTCGCTAGGCGCAGTCCTGCAAGCAATGCCTCATATTCTGCCTCGTTGTTTGAAGCAGAAAAGCCTAGTGTGATAGCTTGTTCCAACAAAGTTTCAACTGGGGTGATTATGACGACTCCTGCTCCCGCTCCTTTGTGATTTGATGCTCCGTCTACATGCAACTGCCACATGTCGTTAGGTAGGTTCGAATCGATGGGGGAGGTGTCGTATGCTTTTTCCTTGCTTTTCGTGACCATCTTCTCTTCTTCGGCTATCCGAATAAACTCTACAAAAAAATCTGCTAAATCTTAGGCTTTTATAGCAGTCTTCGCCAGGTAGAGGAGGTCGTATTGACTGAGTTCGATAGCCCATTTCATGAGTCGATGAGAAGCGTCGAGGCTGTGGAGGATCGATCTCAAAGGAAATTCTATCATGACAATTATCCGGTATGCTTGATAGTAGGGCCTTAGTTTTCTCGCAGACACGACAAGCGCTAAAATGAGCTTCCCCATTTTCGGATAGCGAGTCTCTGCATCGAGGAGAGCTTTTGAAGTGTAAAATACCGAATGTTGTGCCCCCAGCTCTTCTTGGATGAGGGCTAAGCTGACAGCTATCGGACACCGCCAGGTAAATGTACAAGTCTTTGCCTGGTATCGATTTTGAAAGTAAGGGAGGTGAAGTGAGGTAGGATTTCAAGTTTTGAAGTACTCGTCATCCCACTTGTCTTTGTGTCCTTTCTTCAAGGCTTTGAAAATGGCCTGCACTTATCGGTAGATCTTGAGAGGAATCGGTTGAGAGCTGCCACCCTACCCGTTAGACTTTGTATCTCCTTTGTTTTGGAGTAGGCTGAATGCCTCGAGAAGGTTTTGGATGTGGTCTCCTCGCTCGGGAGCTTTGACAAGCATGTCGTCTACGTAGACCTCCATAGTCTTGCTGATTTACTCCTTGAAAATTTTGTTCACCAGCATTTGGTAAGTTGCTCCAGCATTCTTCAGCCCAAAGGGCATGACTTTGTAGCAGTATGTACCTCTTTCGATGATGAAAGAGGTCATTGCCTTGTCGTCTTCATGCATCATGATTTGGTTGTAGCCAGAGTAGGCGTCCATGAAGCTTAGCAGTTGGTTGCCGGAAGTTGAATCGACAAGCTGATCAACGAGAAGTTGTCTTTACGGTATGCCTTGTTGAGGTCGGTGTAGTCGACGCACACTTTCCACAGACCTTTATCTTTCTTCGCTACTAGAACGACGTTCGCCAGCCATTATGCGTAGGAGACTTCTTCAATGAAACCGATAGCTAGAAGCTTGTCGATCTCGACTTCAATGATGGCTACCCTCTTGGGGGCGAAGTTGCGTCTCTTCTGCGCTACAAGCTTGATAGTTGGGTTGACGTGTAGGCGATGGCAGATGATCTGGGGATCGATGCCAGGCATGTCAGATGGAGACCATGCAAATACGTCTTTGTTGTTCTGGAGGAAGGCTGCAAGCTCTGCCTTTTCCTCCTGGCTTAGGCGCGAGCCGATCCGCGCTTTTCTTTCTGGCTTGTCAGGATTAAGGGGTACTAGCTCAACGTCCTCCTCGGGCTTCCATCCTTCTTCAGGAGAGACCTCTGGACGGATTCCCTCAACTTGGTCCTGATTCTTTGATTGCTATTGGGGAGTAGTTATTCCCTTTCCTTTCTGGTTTGCTCGGTCGTTAAGAATGAGATTTGCTTTCTCCTCTGCTTGTTCTACTTCCTTTAGATCTGCTTGATTCACAGGGAGGAACTGCATTTGCTTGCCTTTCCTCAGCCCTTGAGCTGAACATTTCCTCGGCATTGCTTGATCGCTGTTGATCTAGCCGATACCACCCCCAAGGATTGGGTAGCGAATCTTCTGATGTGTAGCGGAGGTGATGGCGTTGGTCTTGCTGATCCATGGTCTGCCTAGAATGCCATTGTAGGGTGAGACTTCATCAATGATCATGAACGTTTGCGAGCTGATTATAGGTAGGGAGTAGACATCGAGATCTATTATACCCACAGTAACCGTTGTTATGCTATTGAAACCAGTCAGCGACTTGGCTGATTTATTAATCTTTGTCTCTAAGCCCATCTGTTGGATAACTATCAATTGTATGATGTTGGCTACACTGCCCTCGTCTGCATGGATTCGGTCGACCATGGCCTGAGCAATTTGAATGCTGATGACAAGGGCGTCATTGTGTGGTAGATCGAGGCCGATCTTTCTTCTGGAAGCCGATCACAGCATCGTCTTCTGCCAGTGGGAGACTAGTGGAGACGATCACAACATCGTCTTCTAATTGACGATGTTGTGGGAGATCATGGTGACCTGTTTGATCTTTATCTTCTTTTCTTTGTTGGTCAGTCCGGACTCCTCGGAGTCGGCTAGGATTGTGTTAATCCTCCGTGTAATGACCAGCTCTCACGAGTTCTTCGAGGTGTGCTTTCCAAGCAAAGCAATTATTCGTATTGTGTCCGTGCGTCGCATGAAAGGCACAATACTTCCTGGTATCCTTCTTGTCGGATCTCCTTTCAAGGGTGGCGGTCTTTTTACCCAAGGTTTGTCCTTCGCTTGGGCTAAAATTTGATGTATAGGGATGGAGAACTTGGTGTAGTTCTCTTTTGTCGTACCATCCTTTTGTGGGCGTGGCCTGCGTTTGTCTTTGTCCCTGCTGCCAAGCTTATCGCTTCTTTGGTCTGCCCGCTTGGTCAGCCGATCTTCCTGCTCAGTAGACTTCTTCGCGGGGATTCGATCGTCATCCCAGAGCGCGTAGCGTTCCGCAGTCGCGAAGACCTCTGCCAGAGTCTTGTTGGGAATGATAGTCAGCTCGCGGTATAAGTCATGTTCTGCTGGAAAACCTTTCTTGAATGCAGCTGATGCGATTAGGTCATCACATCCTATGATGTTTGCCTTTTCTGCTTTGAATATCTTGATGTAATCTCGAAGGGATTCGTCGGGCTTCTTGCGCAGGTTGTACAGGTGGTCAGGGTTCTTCTTGATCGTCCGATAAGAAGTGTATTCTTTAGTGAAGACGTAAGTAAGCTCCTTGAAGCTGCTGATCAACCCGGATGACAGGGTATGGAACCAGTCCTGAGCTGCTCCTCGCAAATTCATTGCAAACACCTTGCACATTAGCGCATCTTCGGCTTTGTAGAGGATCATAAGGCTCTTAAAATGCTTCAGATGGCTTTTGAGATCGGAATCGCCTTTAAAGCATGTAAAAGAGGGCATTGAGAATCGTTTCGAGGGAGCAGCTTGCTCGATTTCGGCGGTGAAAGGTGAGGAGTTTGCTCGGTTCACCTCAACACGCAGTGCATCTTCAAAGTTTTCGCCAATCTTTAAGTCTCCAAGTTGGTTATTCACAAGCTTCTCAACGTCTTCCACACACATGGCTGGTCGGTCACGTCGATGACCTTTACGATTTGGGCGAGACTGAGTAACTTCCTCGTTGGTTTGCAATGGTCGACCTTCTCGGCTGCGCTGCCTATGCAACGTGTTGGTGGACTGCACTTGCGAGGGATTTTCTATAACTTGGCGAGGAGAATTGGTTCTTCGAGAACGAGTAGCAGAGCGCCTTTCTTCACGGTCCTCATTGTGAGGGTTATCAAGTTGACCTCCCTGGGGGCCTAGCCTTTCGTGAATATTTCTCTGTGAGCGGGCAGCGAAGTGCCTTTCTTCACGATCCTCATTGCGATGGTTATCAGTTTGACATCCCTAGGAGCCTAGCCTTTCATGAACATTTCCCTGCGGACCTAAGCGAGCGTGGATGTCGGATCTTGGGCCCAACCTATCACGCACGTTGTTCCTTAAACTCAATCTGGATGGGAGACTTCGTCTGCTCTGAGTGTGGCTTGCTGATGCTTGCGATATGTCGGCAAGCTGATCACGTTGTTGTGCATCTCTTTGTCTGCTTACTCCTGCTCGACCTGCTTGGTTCCCATCGAACTGCCTATCGGCGCGTTCGTCCATCCTTCTCTCTTCGCCCTGTTATCCAAGGCCAAGGTGTTGAGCCAAGTTTATTTGGTTGAGGAGCTGCTTCATCAAACTATTTTGGTCGTCCATTCTCTGAGTTAGCTGGTCAACTCTCAGATTAAGGTCTTCTTGACTTCATGGATCGGAAGGAGAGAAATGTGTGGAGCCCAATTGCACACAGGCTAGGGTTTCATTGGATGTGTATGTGGGAGCGTGAGTCGAGCATGGGGGCAATGAAGGGAATGCTTGAAGTTGCTCCAAGATTGGGCCAAAGTGACTGGTAGTAGTGAGCCCACCTTGATGAGAGGTTCCACTATGCTCGACGGCGATGCTATGAATGTGCTTGGTCCCTTGCATTACTTCTTGGGCATGGAAGCGACATGGACCTCCACCGGCCTGCATTTATCTCAATCCAAATAGATCCTGCATCTATTGACACGCACAAAGATGTTAGATGCAAACCGTTGCCAACTCCTGCTGTTGGTGGCTTTCGGTTAAGCTTGCATGATGGTGACCCGTTATCTGATGTTTTCGAGTATCATAGTGTGGTTGGGCTCTTCAATATCTTACGTTCACAAGTCCAAACATTGGGGAAAAAAAAAAAAAAAAAAAAAAAAAAAAAAAAAAAAAAAAAAAAAAAAAAAAAAAAAAAAAAAAAAAAAAAAAAAAAAAAAAAAAAAAAAAAAAAAAAAAAAAAAAAAAAAAAAAAAAAAAAAAAAAAAAAAAAAAAAAAAAAAAAAAAAAAAAAAAAAAAAAAAAAAAAAAAAAAAAAAAAAAAAAAAAAAAAAAAAAAAAAAAAAAAAAAAAAAAAAAAAAAAAAAAAAAAAAAAAAAAAAAAAAAAAAAAAAAAAAAAAAAAAAAAAAAAAAAAAAAAAAAAAAAAAAAAAAAAAAAAAAAAAAAAAAAAAAAAAAAAAAAAAAAAAAAAAAAAAAAAAAAAAAAAAAAAAAAAAAAAAAAAAAAAAAAAAAAAAAAAAAAAAAAATCTTCATCACTATCTTCTCTATTCTCTCACACAAAACAAAACAAAACAAAACAAAACTGATTGGGGGAGACGTTGTAGAGAAAATAAGTAGGGAATTGGGGGAGATGTTTGCAGATAGGAAGAAAGTTTCACGTTAGTTCAGTCAGAGTTTTTATTTCTAAATTATGAAGAAATTGTGTTTTTGTTTTAAAGATTATGTGTCTAACATAGGTCATCACTAAGAGAGGGCTAAACCCTCATTTTTACCCTTTCACATCCAAAACCCAAAATCCATCTCTAGTAAATGGGCTATATGTGCCATGTAATCGAATCAAATCCAGTCAGCAAGCCAAAAGGGCTCTATGCTAGGGCAAATGTAGGATGGTTCTTGAGTGGGTTATATCTTATTTTATTATTATTTTTTCAAAAGCAAGCAAGCCTTTTGGATTCTTCAAAAGCCTACGACTCTTTCCCTTTTCTTGTTTCACCACCAGAACAACGTTGGCCAGCCATTCCGAGTAGGAGACCTCTTCAATGAAACCGGCAGCTAGGAGCTTGTCAATCTCGGCTTTAATGATCGTGACCCGCTCGGGAGCAAAGTTGCGTCTCTTTTGCACCACGGGCTTGCTAGCAGGGTTGACATGGAGCCGGTGGCAGATGATGTTTGGGTCGATCCCTGGCATGTCAGATGGTGACCACGCGAACATGTTTTTGTTGTTCTTGAGGAAGATGGTCAGCTCCATCTTCTCGTCTGGGCTTAGGCGCGAGCCGATCCGCGCTTTCTTGTCTGGCTAGTCAGGATCGAGGGGTACTAACTCAACGTCTTCCTCAGGCTTCCAACCTTCTTCAAGGGAGCCTTCCGGGCGGATTTCCTCATCTCGATCCTTCTTGTTTGGATTCTGGCGCGAGCCGATCTACGCTTCCTTGTCTGGTTGATCAGGATCAGGTGGTACTAACTCAACGTCTTCCTCAAGCTTCCAACCCTTTTCAGGGGGGTCTTCCGGGCGGATTCCCTCACCTTGATCCTGGCTCCTTAACTGCTATTGTGAGGCAGCAACTCCCTTCCCTTTCGGGTTTACTGGTGTGAACTGCAACTGCTTGCTCTTCTTGAGCCCTTGGGTTGTGCATCTCCTTGCCATAGCTTGGTCACTGTTGATATGCCCAATCCCGCCCCAGGGATGGGGTAGCGGATCTTCTAATGTAGAGCAGATGTGATGACCTCGATCTTCTTGATCCACGGTCGGCCCAAGATTCCGTTGTAGGGGGAAACCTCGTCGATGACCATGAAGGTTTGCGAGCAGACCACTGGGGGTGAGTGGAAATCATGGTCGATCCAACAGTGATTGATGTGGCCCCATTGAAGCCGGTGAGCAATCTGGCAAGTTTGCTAATCTTGGGCTCGAATCCCATCCGCTGGATAACAGATAATTGCAGTATGTTGGCTGCGCTGCCCTCATCTACATGAACTCGCTCGATCACAGCATGTTCAATTTGGATGCAAATGACTAGGGCGTCATTATGTGGCAGGTCAAGCCCGATCAAGTCCTTATTCTGGAAGCTGATGATGGGCGTATCCAAAATGGCTGGTACTTCCGTTGTGACTTGGGAGACATAAGTTACTTGAGCGATCTTTCTCTTGCGCTCCTTGGTGGTCAGCCCGACTCTTGGGAGTCAGCTAGAATGGTGTTGACTCGAATGACCTTTTGGGGAGGTTCCTTGGCAGCTGCATCACGATCCTCGATCTGCTGGATGGCCTTCTTTGCAACGAACTCTGTGCAATGGCCTTTGATGAGTCGATTTTATATTATATATTTAGCCTCATTCTTAGTATATTTTGGTTAATATTTTGGAAGAATTTTGATACTTTGAATTATATTTCCAATATAGGACTTTCGACTTCCTCTGGAGCAAAACATAATCAAATGGACGAATTTTGGAGTAATTCCAGTTGGAGGACGTTCGTGAGCCACTTAGCTTGATCGTATCAAAATATCAGACTTTTCCACCAAGCGATGATTTCCTGGTGAATAAATGAAGGAGCAGTGCACTGTGCTGGAATAGTGACGTTTTGGGCTTGTATTGCGTTTTTGGAGCCCAAGATGACCTCGGATGGGTTCATGGCCTTCTGGAGAAGTGTTCGGAATATTTTTATCTTTAAAACGAGCTATCTTGGGCCAGATTTGGAGGAGATTTGAGACCAAAACGTGGCTGACCAGATTATTGGCAGATTCTCCTAATCCAATTTGGACTTTATTTCCTAGTCTTATTTTATTTTAACTTAGTTTCCTTGTGGGGATTGGGTAGCTAGGTTTTAGGAGGTATTTAAGCTCCTTTTCACAGCAATTTAGAAAACTACTTCCTTTTTACTTCTTTTTGGCTTTTGGAGCAATTGCTAGGGTTTTGGATTTTCGCGACTTTCAGGTGTTTTCATTCTTATTCTTCTTAATGATATTTTCTTGGATTTCAATTGTGAACATGCGTAACTAACTCTCTTTTGCTAGGGTGAGGCCACGAGCCTTAGCAAGAATATGTAGTTTCTGTCCAATTTGCTTATGATTATATGCATGCAGGTTTTCGAATTATTCATCACTGGGTTAAACTATCTAAGTGTCTTGATGCTTGATCACCATTAGGATGTTTAGAAAAGTAATTTGATGCAGTTTTGGTCGGAGGTCGGTCCCTGAAATTGACGAAGGCTTCTTGTGATTAATATGTGCAAGTTCACTTAGGATGAATACCACGTCTTAAGGGTTGCATGGTTTTTCAAAAGGTTTCACAGAACTTAATGAGTCATGTATGTTTAGATTTGATCTGAATACCACAGACGGATTGCATGTGTGATATACGCTCTATGTTGGGGGTCCAAGTAGGCATATATTAGGAATACCTAACCTTCGAAATATGCATGTATAGGTCATAAGTAATTGGGGGAACTATATAGAATTGTTAAGGTGACGGCGGATCCCTAGTGCTTTCTTAATTTGATTTCTAAAAACACAACTTCTTCTCTTGCTCTTAGCTTTAATTTTGCATATTGCCTTATTTTTATTAGTTAAATTCCTTTTAATTTAAGGTCTTCAAATCAAACATCTCAACTTTCTCTTTTGCAATAATTAATTAGAATTTGGTTGCTACGAGTTATTTAATAATCCCTGCGGAGAACGACCTTGCTTGAATCATTTATACTACAATAACCTTGTCATTCTTGCAAGTTTTGTAGGAGTTTTAACCCTGTTTGCGCAGGTACTAAAAAGCCTATCAAGAAATTGGCGCCGTTGCCGGGGATTATTTAAAATAATTCGTTCAAATCAGATTCTGCATTAATTATTGCATATACAAAAAAAAAATAATTTCGTTTTTATTTATTTTTGCAGATCACAGCAAGGCAGTGCAGATTACAATCTGTGCATGGTCAGCACACGTTCAGCAGTTCAGCAATTGTTTCCGTTTGATCCAGAACCTGAGCAATCTTTAAGGAGGAGACACAGGGAGCAAAATTTGCTGCGGGTTCCTTCACTGCAAGGGACTTTTCTGCAGTCTTTATATTCTGAGGACCTGCACAGTACAGAAACAATGGCTTTTGTTATTCCAGAGGCTGGTGATCCTTTGGGTAATTCTTTAACAGCTCATGCCACTAACATACCAGGTTGCATTACATATCCAGCAGTGGAAGAAGGGTCTACATTCGAAATCAAGCATCACATGTTGAGTATTCTACCTACATTTCATGGGTTATCAACCGATGATCCTAACATGCACATTGCAGAATTTTTAATGGGATGCAAGAATATTTTGGTGAAAGGATTCTCAGCTGAATCTATTAAGCTTCGTCTATTTCCTTACACATTGAAAGATCAAGCAAGGAGATGGCTCCTCACACTTCCATCTGGAAGCATTAGCACTTGGAACCAACTCAGTGAAAAATTCTTAAACAAATATTATCCAGCTTCAAAGACTCTCGACATGAGAACTCAAATTTTATCTTTTGCCCAAAAACCAAATGAAGAGTTTCATGAGGCGTGGGAACGGTTTAAAGAGTTGAATAGAAAATGTCCACATTCTAGTATTAGCAGTACGGATCAAGTGCATATATTTTTCAGAGGGTTAAATATGACAACAAAAACTCTTGTCAACGCTTCATGCGGAGGATCATACAGGATAAAAATGCACAAGAGGCTTGTTTATTATTTGAAAAAATGGCAGCAGATACACAGCAATGGGCAGTTGAGCAGCCACAATCAAGGTCTGTTTTTGAGATATCTAATGGTTCTCCATATATGTCGGCACAAATTGAAAAAATGGAGAAAAAGCTTGAAAGATTTGATGCAAAATTTGACATGTTATTACAAAGAATTCCAGGTTCACAGGTTGCTGTACAGCAACCTTACCAGCTGCCTGTAGCATTTGCAATGTGGCAACCCATGATTTTTTGAGCTGTCCGCATAAAGATGCTTATCCGGAATTTGCAGCGGAACAAGTTAATGCATTTAATAATTTTCAGCGTCCACGATATGACCCGTATTCAAATGTTTACAACCCGGGTTGGAGAGATCATCCTAATTTTAAGTGGGACAGAGATCAGCCTGCAAGGCCACAATTTCAACAACAGGTACAGCAAACTGCTGCGCCTAAGGCTGCTTGGGAGGTTGCAATTGAAAAATTAGCAAATGCCACCAGTCAAGAATTCCAAAATCTGCAGGCAACAGTGAAAAACATAGAAAAACAAATGGGGCAGATTGCATTCCAAGTTTCAGAAAGAGCACCAGGTACATTTCCTAGCCAAACGGAACATAATCCAAGGGGAGGCGCAGATTGTAAGGCAGTTCGAGTTCTACGTTCGGGTAAAAGTTATGACAATAGAGGTGAAATTTGTGTTGGAAATTCGCAGGCAGCATCACAGCCACAAACAGATTCAGGAAATTTTGCAGAATCTGATATTGTTACAGATTCTACAGAGTCTATGGGCAGATCTGAAAACAGTGCAAAAATTGCTGCAGAAACTGCAGAACGTGTTTATGTGCCTCCAATGCCTTATCCCGAAAGGTTGAAGCCCAAAGTTAAAGATCAACAGTTGACAGATTTTATGAAGACGTTGGCCAAAGTTCAGATCAATCTCCCATTGATTGATGCAATTAAGAACATTCCATCTTATGCCAAGTTTTTAAAGGATGTTTGCACAAAGAAAAAGAAGCTCGTGGATTTTGAAAAAGTTATTCTTACAGAACAGTGCAGCGCAGTTTTATTACACAAACTGCCTCCAAAGAAACAAGACCCAGGGAGTTTTACAATTTCATGCACAATTGGAAATTCTAATTTTAAACGTGCTTTAATTGATTTGGGTGCCAGTATTAATTTAATGCCTTTTTCTGTTTTTCAGAGACTAGGACAAGGAGAAATCAAGCCTACATCAGTTATTCTACAACTGGCGGACCGTTCAGTTGCTTACCCTAGGGGAATTATTGAAGACCTCATTATTAAAGTGGATAATCTCTACCTTCCTGCAGATTTTGTGGTCTTGGATATGGATGAAGATATGCAAACACCGATTATTTTGGGGCGTCCATTCATGGCTACTGCTCGAACCTTAATTGATGTTGAGGCTGGAACACTTACACTTAGAGTGCAAGATCAGTCCGTTGTTTTCAGTTTATTCGAAATAACCAAAAGGCCAACTGATGTGCAAGATTGTATGCGTGTTGACATGTTAGACAGCTTAATGCATGCTGAAATTATGCCCCGTTTGACATCAGATCCATTGTTAAAGGTGTTGCATGGGTTGGAGAATAGAAACACTGAAGATGAAGAGGTTTTTGAGTATGTTTCAGCTTTGGAAAGTGTTCCTTTTCTACACCCCCGTTGGAGGCACGTTTTTGAGAGTTTAGGGGAACCGAAAAAACCATTGCAGCCCTCTAAAGTACAGCCACCTAAACTGGACTTAAAAGTACTGCCAGGACACTTGAAATACGCTTATCTGGGTGCAAATTCTTCGCTGCCAGTTATTATAGCTGCTGACTTATCATCAACAGAAGAAGAAAAATTGCTGCGTATTTTAAGAAATTATCAAGATGCAATCGGTTGGACTATAGCAGACATTAAAGGGATCAGCCCTACAATTTGCATGCACCGAATTCTGATGGAAGATGGAGTAAAGCCCACCATTGATGCTCAACGTCGTTTGAATCCAATTATGAAAGAAGTTGTTCGTACTGAGGTTATGAAGCTTCTAGATGCTGGGATGATCTATCCCCATTTCAGATAGTAAGTGGGTTAGTGCAACTCAAGTGGTGCCCAAGCGTTCTGGAATTACAGTTGTGAAGAATGACAATAATGAACTTGTGCCTACACGTTTGACTACTGGGTGGCGTATGTGTGTTGATTACAGAAAGATCAATACGGGCACTAGAAAGGATCATTTTCCATTGCCTTTCACTGATCAAATGTTGGAAAGGTTGGCTGGTCGTGCGTTCTATTGTTTCTTGGATGGATATTCAGGGTACAACCAGATTCCAGTTGCACCTGAAGATCAAGAGAAGACAACCTTTACATGTCCTTTTGGGACTTTTGCATATCGAAGAATGCCCTTTGGTTTGTGCAATGCTCCTGCAACGTTTCAACGATGCATGATGAGCATATTTTCCGGATTGGTTGAACAGGTAGTTGAAGTGTTTATGGATGACTTTTCTGTTTTTGGGGATTCTTTTGATGAATGTTTGAACAATTTATCCTTAGTTCTTGACAGATGCATTAAGACAAACCTTGTTTTAAATTGGGAAAAGTGTCATTTCATGGTTAAGCAGGGGATTGTCCTAGGCCACTTGATTTCTAACAGGGGTATTGAGGTTGATAAGGCCAAAATTGATGTAATTGCAAAGCTGCCACCACCGACAGCTGTTAAAAGTGTTCGATCTTTTCTTGGTCATGCTGGGTTTTACAGACGGTTTATCAAGGATTTCTCCAAGATTAGCCGACCATTGTGTAATTTGTTGGCTAAGGATGCTCCTTTTGTCTTTGATGATGCTTGTTTGGAGGCTTTCAACAAGTTAAAGACACTCCTCACTACAGCACCCATTATTGCAGCACCTAATTGGAGTTTACCTTTCGAATTGATGTGTGATGCTTCAGATTACGCAGTAGGAGCGGTTCTTGGACAGCGGAAAGATAAGCTTCCCCAAGTCATTCATTATGCTAGTCGAACTCTCAATGACGCACAGCTAAACTATGCGACCACAGAGAAGGAATTGTTGGCAGTTGTTTTTGCATTAGAAAAATTTCGGTCTTACTTAGTTGGGGCTAAGGTGATTGTTTACACAGATCATGCAGCTTTGAAGTATTTGTTGTCGAAGAAAGACGCTAAGCCTCGATTAATTCGTTGGATTCTTTTACTGCAAGAGTTTGACTTAGAAATCAGGGATAAGAAGGGTAGTGAAAATGTTGTGGCTGATCATTTGTCCAGGTTGATTGTGCCAATTTCTGCTGAAGATGACTTGCTGCCTTTAAATGAAAGTTTTCCGGATGAACAGCTGTTTGCTGCCCATATCATTTCACCATGGTTTGCTGATTTAGTTAATTATTTGGCTAGAGGGGTACTTCATCCAGATTTTACTTTCCAGCAGAAAAAGAAATTTTTGGCAGAAGCAAAGTATTATTTTTGGGATGAACCATATTTATACAAATATTGTTCCGACCAAGTTATTCGCAGGTGTATTCCAGAAGAAGAGCATGAAAGTGTTTTAAAGTTTGCACATCAGTATGCTTGTGGGGGACATTTTGGCCCTAAACGGACAGCAGCTAAAATTTTGCAGAGTGGATTGTTTTGGCCTACTCTCTTCAGGGATGCTAATAGTTGGTGTAGATCTTGTGATCGTTGTCAAAGGGTGGGTAATCAGTCCAAAAGAAACGAAATGCCACAACAAAGTATATTAGTCGTTGAATTGTTTGATGTTTGGGGTATTGATTTCATGGGACCATTCCCAATGTCCCATGGCAATCAGTATATTTTGGTGGCTGTTGAATATGTCTCTAAATGGGTCGAGGCAATTGCAGCACCAACCAATCAAGGATCAGTTGTTCTGAAATTCCTCCAGGGGGTAATTTTTCCACGATTTGGAACACCGCGTGTCATTCTAAGTGATGGGGGTAAGCACTTTGTTAATAGATCGTTTGCTACGTTGCTAGCTAAGTATGGGATCACCCATCGTGTTGCTACTCCTTATCATCCACAAACATCAGGACAGGTTGAAGTTTCAAATAGAGAAATCAAGCGAATTCTTGAAAAAACAGTTAGCTCGACTCGAAAAGACTGGAGTTTGAAATTGAGTGATGCTCTCTGGGCGTACAGAACAGCATTTAAAGGCCCAATTGGGATGTCCCCATTTCGGCTGGTTTATGGTAAGGCTTGTCATTTACCTATGGAGCTAGAGCATAAGGCATTTTGGGCTATTAAAGAGTTGAATTTTTCTTATGATTCTGCTGGAGAAAAACGTAAATTGCAGATTAATGAGCTTGAGGAAATTCGTAATGATGCTTATGAGAGCTCGCGCATTTACAAAGAAAAAACCAAGGCATTTCATGACAATCAGATTCTCAGAAAGAATTTTCATCCAGGGCAAAAAGTTTTGTTATTCAGTTCAAGGTTGAAGTTGTTTCCAGGGAAGTTAAAGTCTCGTTGGAATGGCCCATATTTGGTTACTAAGGTTTATCCTCATGGGGCGGTTGATATTACAAGTGAAATTAATGGCAACACATTCAAAGTGAACGGTCACAGGCTGAAACCATATTTGGAGTCACCCTTCGATATTGCACGCGAGTCACTGACTCTGAAGGAACCAGTGATTTGACCACCAGGCTTCTGCAAACGTCTAGCTACAGACTTAAAATAAAGCGCTTATTGGGAGGCAACCCAATTTTTCTATACTCTTTACTTCTTTTATTTTTAAAAACTAAACAAAAAAAAATACAAAAAATATTTGTTTCTGTTTTTCCTTTTCTAGTTATTTTCTTTCTACTCCTAACACATATTTGATTCAATGCAGGACACCAACAATCAGCAGCCAACATCAAAAGCAAAAAATCCTAGCTGGAATCCTGCACCCAGCAGCAAGTCTACACTGGGAAAGACACAACATCAGCAGCAACATCAAAGCAAAAAAATCCTAGGCTGGAATCCTGCACCCAGCAGCAAGTCTACACTGGGAAAGACACAACATTCAGCAGCACACATCAAATGCAGAAAAATCCTAGGCTGGAATCCTGCACCCAGCAGCAAGTCTACCAAATTTCCAACAACACAATTTGCAGGGATTCGAAATTATACCTATGAGATGCACGGATTGGGGGTCCTCAGGGCTTTGTGCTGTTTTGTCCTTTGAGCTTGTGTGCTGACTGCCGTCTCTTGGATCTGCAACTTTCCTACACTGTGCACATGTCGAAATTATACACACTCATCTATACATCAACCACAGCTCCCAAATCAGGACCCAAAACAAATTCTGGAATTAATCTTACCTTCGAATGGATATTGGATCTTGAAATCATCCTTGCAAGATTAGTGGTCAAGTGGTTCTTGGGTGACTCAATGTTCTTTTTGGACGAAATCCCATTAGACAACGTTCTTCTCCAGCAGCTTTTTGAAGTCACCAATCTCAACTTCAAGCTTGGCCACATGGGATTCCAATTCTTTGACAATTCAAGTGGAGCATCCCATAGCTGGTGTCATTTCCAATTTGGGTTGGGAATCAAACAGATGGCGTAATTTATATTCTAGGGTTCGAAATCATACCTACAAGATGCACCGATCTGGGGTCCTTACTGGTGGAGAATGGACTCTGGTTCGGATTCAACTTGCTTTCATCTTGGAACAGGTTAGCATCTGGTGACATGGATGGAGATATATCTGAAATTGAGGAGTCAAGAAATTCAAAAAAAAACATATAGAGATTCAAGTGCATCAGATAATTCCACCCCACAGAGAGATAAGGCCCTTGCGTTCTTGAGAAAAATGAAGAAGGGCGAGAGCGCAAACCTGCGTTTTCTGAGCGAACTGAAGAAGTGAGAGCGTTGAGATGAATGGGTCTACAACCTCCAGTTTTCTCGCAACCAACAGAGATGCAATTAGATCTGTCCACATGACACCCGCTGCGGCTACACCAATTATGTTGTCGAAATTGCTTGGACTTGACACAAGTCTGCCCTTGTCCGTGTTGGTCAGTGCGCTCGGCAATTCCCAGCTACTGGTCCTGCGTTCGAAACCTCCCAGGTGTGTTCGTTTTCTTGCTTTTTGTTCTTATTGTTTTTATTTCTTTATTTCTTTTTAATTTTTATTTATTTATTTATGTATTTTTCTCTCTTAGGGTATTTTCTTTATTTTTGTTGTCACATCTATTTATTTTCCACACCTTGAGGACAACGTGTGATTTAAGTTTGGGGGTGGGAAAGTAAATTTTAGATTTTTAGTCTCGTCTAAAATTTTCATTTTTAAGTTAATATCCATAGATTATTTTAAACTTTAGAACAAATAGACATGGTGAAGATTAGTCCCACAATAGAGTCTTTTCTGTTTATTATTGTTTAGACACTAATTCTTGAATTGTACTTTGAAATTTGCACATCACACCAACATGGTTTGTGGGGAGTGAGATTGAAATACTTATTGTTTGTCCCAGTGTGTTTTAATTTTTGTTCTATATAAATAAAGTTAGTATGTGTTATAAAGTAATAATTGCCTCACCCAAAGCTTTGTTAGTAACCGGGCCAGTCCTGCCTAATCAGCAGTGATTCTCGAGACAAACGGTAGAGTTTTGGCATGAGGCAGGGTGGTTAGTTGGTTTCGTAGCCTTTCCAGCTTGAGTTAATAAGTCCTTAGGGGTGTTCTACACCTAGTGCCCTAAAGCCTTAGTGGTTTGGGAGTCATTGACTTAAAGCTCGCTACATGGGGTGGATCGAAAGCTTAAGGGAACCGACATTGCACAACCGCTACTGTTACTGAAAAAAAAAAAAAAAAAAAAAAAGTGTGTGAAGAATAAAAAGGATGAGAGATAAAGGTTTTAGTCGAGTTTCCTTAACTATGATGGTTCACTTTACATCGAAGGAAGTTTGTGAATTTTTTTCTAATTGATTCTAAATAGCTTAGACTCTGTGGTGGGATTAGTTGAATCTATTGAACAGATGTTCTAGTTTTTAAAATTTGCTATGGATTGCAACTTGAAGGTGGAAATTTTGTTCTGGTTAAAGTGATAGCCAAATGTTTAGTTTGTTAAGCTTTTATTTTTGTTTGAGTCTTGTTTTGCTTGAGGACAAGCAAAAAGCTAAGTTTGGGGGTATTTTGATGAGTCGATTTTATATTATATATTTAGCCTCATTCTTAGTATATTTTGGTTAATATTTTGGAAGAATTTTGATACTTTGAATTATATTTCCAATATAGGACTTTCGACTTCCTCTGGAGCAAAACATAATCAAATGGACGAATTTTGGAGTAATTCCAGTTGGAGGACGTTCGTGAGCCACTTAGCTTGATCGTATCAAAATATCAGACTTTTCCACCAAGCGATGATTTCCTGGTGAATAAATGAAGGAGCAGTGCACTGTGCTGGAATAGTGACGTTTTGGGCTTGTATTGCGTTTTTGGAGCCCAAGATGACCTCGGATGGGTTCATGGCCTTCTGGAGAAGTGTTCGGAATATTTTTATCTTTAAAACGAGCTATCTTGGGCCAGATTTGGAGGAGATTTGAGACCAAAACGTGGCTGACCAGATTATTGGCAGATTCTCCTAATCCAATTTGGACTTTATTTCCTAGTCTTATTTTATTTTAACTTAGTTTCCTTGTGGGGATTGGGTAGCTAGGTTTTAGGAGGTATTTAAGCTCCTTTTCACAGCAATTTAGAAAACTACTTCCTTTTTACTTCTTTTTGGCTTTTGGAGCAATTGCTAGGGTTTTGGATTTTCGCGACTTTCAGGTGTTTTTATTCTTATTCTTCTTAATGATATTTTCTTGGATTTCAATTGTGAACATGCGTAACTAACTCTCTTTTGCTAGGGTGAGGCCACGAGCCTTAGCAAGAATATGTAGTTTCTGTCCAATTTGCTTATGATTATATGCATGCAGGTTTTCGAATTATTCATCACTGAGTTAAACTATCTAAGTGTCTTGATGCTTGATCACCATTAGGATGTTTAGAAAAGTAATTTGATGCAGTTTTGGTCGGAGGTCGGTCCCTGAAATTGACGAAGGCTTCTTGTGATTAATATGTGCAAGTTCACTTATGATGAATACCACGTCTTAAGGGTTGCATGGTTTTTCAAAAGGTTTCACAGAACTTAATGAGTCATGTATGTTTAGATTTGATCTGAATACCACAGACGGATTGCATGTGTGATATACGCTCTATGTTGGGGGTCCAAGTAGGCATATATTAGGAATACCTAACCTTCGAAATATGCATGTATAGGTCATAAGTAATTGGGGGAACTATATAGAATTGTTAAGGTGACGGCGGATCCCTAGTGCTTTAGTAATTTGATTTCTAAAAACACAACTTCTTCTCTTGCTCTTAGCTTTAATTTTGCATATTGCCTTATTTTTATTAGTTAAATTCCTTTTAATTTAAGGTCTTCAAATCAAACATCTCAACTTTCTCTTTTGCAATAATTAATTAGAATTTGGTTGCTACGAGTTATTTAATAATCCCTGCGGAGAACGACCTTGCTTGAATCATTTATACTACAATAACCTTGTCATTCTTGCAAGTTTTGTAGGAGTTTTAACCCTGTTTGCGCAGGTACTAAAAAGCTTATCAGCCTTCTCTGACCAGCTCCTCAAGGTGCCTTTTATAAGCGTTGCAGTTGTTGGTGTAATGACCGTGCTCCCCGTGGAATGCGCAGTATTTACTGGTGTCCCTCATAGAGGGGTCTCCCTTCATGGGTGGTGGTCTCCTCACCCACTGCTTGTCCTTCACCTGAGCTAGGATCTGGTGGATTGGGATAGCAAACTCAGTGAAGGTCCCTGTTTCTGAGCTTCCCTCTTGGGGCCGCGATCTGCCCTTATCCCGGGCTTTTTACTTGAACTTGTTGCTCTTATGGCTTGCCTGCTTCGTCGGGTGGTCAACTTGCTTGTTGGCTTTCTTTGCGGTGATACGATCATCGTCCCAAAGTGCATAGCGCTCTGCCGTCTCGAACACTTCTGCCAAGGTTTGACTTGGAGTTATGGCCAGCTCCCGGTATAGCTGTGCTCGGTTGGCAAGCCCTTCTTGAAAGCTGAGGATGCAACTTGGTCATTACATCCTATGATGTTAGCCTTCTCAACCTTAAACCATCTTAGGTAGTATCATAGAGACTCGTCTGGCTTCTTGCGCAGGTAAAGGGCGAGCAGTCAACTCGATCAATTTCCTTGCACAGGGCCTCTTTCGTGCTTCCTTTAAGTCGGAGACCTTGGAGTTGGTCATTTACTAGCTTCTCGACATCCTCTGCCCTCAGGGTTGGAGTTTCGGGCCGACGTCTTCGGTGCCTCTAGCGCGACTTGCTAACTTCTTCCTCGATTCCCAAGGGTCGATCCCCTCGGGTGCTCTGCTCGTGGGGTAGATTAAAAGATTGAGCTTGTGAGGATTCCTCTGTAGCTTGTTGCCGCGTGTTGGTCCTCGAGTGGGCTGGTGGGCGTCGATCGTCATCCTCTGCTCGCAAGGAAGGTCGTTCAGGTCGACATCTTCGGTGCCTCGAGCGTGATTGGCTAACTTCTTCTCCAACTCCCAAGGGTCGATCCCCTTGGTTGCCCTACCTGTGGGCAGGAGAGAAGGTTGAGTTTGGGAGGATCCCTCCACAGCTTGTTGCCGCGTGTTGGTCCTTGAGCGGGTTGGTGGGCGTCGATCGTCATCCTCTGCTCGCAAGGAAGGTCGTTCAGGTCGACGTCTTCGGTGCCTCGAGCGTGATGGGCTAACTTCTTCTCCAGCTCCCAAGGGTTGATCCCCTTGGTTGCCCTGCCCGTGGGGCAAGAGAGAAGGTTGAGTTTGGAAGGATCCCTCCACAGCTTGTCATCGCGTGTTGGACCTCGAGCGGGCTAGTGGGCATCGATCGTCATCCTCTGCTCGCAAGGAAGGTCGTTCAGGTCGACGTCTTCGGTGCCTCGAGTATGATTGGCTAACTTCTTCTCCAGCTCCCAAGGGTCGATCCCCTTGGTTGCCTTGCCCGTGGGGCAGGAGAGAAGGTTGAGTTTGGGAAGATCCCTCCACAGCTTGTCGCCGCGACCGCTCACGAACTCAAGCTCCTCGTGGACTTAAGCGAGCATGAACATTGGATTGTGGGCCTAGCCTCTCGAGCACATTGGTCCTAGGACCTAACCTCGAACGGCTCAGAGTACGGCTTGCAGCTGCCTGTGTCTCGTCTACACGATCTCGCTCTCCCCCTACCGATTTGCCCTTGTCTGACCAGCCTGGGACCTCTTGAACTACTCGCCAGCATGCTCGTGTGCCCTCCTCTCCTCGTCACGGGGTCCAAGGTTGAGTTGGGGAGGGCTTTCTTATGTAGATGAATTCAATCACGACATGGCTAATAGTGTGACACCACCCTTTGATAGCAAACAAAAGAAAATCTGGTTATGGCACCTGTTTGTGCAAATAATCTCGCTGGAGAATATTTGCTTCTAAATCCTTCAACCTTCGATCTTCCTTCTCTCTCTTCCTCGTTTCCTGTAAAAAAGACTGGAGTAAATAGACCACACCTGGGGGGTGTTGGCCAAAGGCCCTCCGATGCCTCAGTTAGTTCAAGTGTTTGTAGGAAAACAATAGCTAAGCAAAGGGTACGGATGTATGGTGTGAACCGAGCGGCCGGATTCGTGTGGAGAAAATATGGAGAGTGGAGAGGTAGAGAGAGCTTTAGGTATTTTTCTCGGGTTTAGGAGTAGGTTTAGATGTACCTTGAATGATAAATGAGGTCGTCTATTTATAGGAGCCTCGGGGCTAGGGTTTCGTAGAGAATATGCTGAGTTTATTCTCTACCCAAATTCGTAGGGATCGAGTCGAACTTAGATAATATCTGATTTAATGATATTATCTTCTCTTTATTGAAGATAATATTTGAATTAAATGATATTATCTCTTTTTATGAAGATAATATATGAATTAATGATATTATCTTCTCTTTATTAGGATAATATCTAAATTAATGGTATTATCTTATTAAATAAAGATGATATCCTATTAATTAAGATATTTATCCCAATTAATTAATTGGCTAGATAAACTGGTTCAATTAATTAATTTAAGAGATAATCTTCTTTTCCACGTGGCGTGCCCTGATTGGATACGAAAATATATGCTCCCACAAATGCCCCCCCCTCCTCGGCTTCTGCATGGCGCTTGTGTGGCGTGTAGGAGATGAAATTATTTTTTTTCGAGCTCTCCAACTGTGTCTGGGCTTTATTCTGTAAGTTGGACTCCTTTGCAGATCAAATTTCCAATTGGCGTAGACTTCTAACTGTTGTTGGAGTTGGATTCCTAGTAGAAATGAGCTTGTGATTCCTCCTTGATCCGGGTTGTCCAACCTGTATAAATATAGGGCTTCTCTTCACGCTTTCTCACATCGCAAACTTAACTTCTCTACTTTCTGGCTTGAGAAAGATCTTGGAGAATTTGTACTGCTTGTTGAAGAGAGGAGTTGCCGTGCATCCAAAGTAAGTCGAGCTCGTAAAAATATATATGCACATATATATATGTTTTCCAATTTTTGGCAGCAAGAAGGTGGTCTAGCATGGGTTGCAAGTTTGTGGATCTGACTGACAAAAGCTGGAGAATTCGTGCTGGAATCAAATGGAGCATGAGGCGCATGCTGGTCTTGGAGCTACCTGGCCTAGGCTGGAGCAGACGTGCGCCCAAGGGAAAGCATGGAAGAGCCGAGCCCAAGGCAGAAGGATGGAGGCGCTGGGCTTCAGAGCAGAGGCATTGAGCGCTGGGCCTTGTACGCGACACAGGCTTGCACTAGGCAAGCAGACCACATGCGCTGGGCTAGACCACATGCGCTGGGCTAGACCACAAGGTGAGCACTGACGCGGAGCAAGGGCCTCGTCGCTGCACGGGCTTGGCGTGATGGGCTCGAGCTCGAGGAGTATGCCCAAGTTCGCATCTACAAGGTCAAGCTATTTGACAGTCTTAGTCAAGGACGGTGGGAGGGCGACGTTGGTGACGGCCCACTTGTTCCCATCACCTATTGCGATGGTATGTCTTTTTTGCAGCTTTTTTGATATGTTCATTTTTATTTGAACTTCTTGAAGTGTGGCTGACTAACTTCTGTCTTCTGCTTTTAGTGAACAATATCAGCAAGCAATTGGCGCTTGGGCCTAACATGCCTAAGGTCCGTCGTGCTTTGAACATCCCCCGAAAGTTTCGTGAGTGGCACTGGCTGTTGAGTGAGCATCGGGAGGAAGACAGTGGTCTGCCCCCTACCGAGGATGTCGAGAGATGGAAGCAGAATGGTCCGGACCCTGATGATCTATCCGCTGAACATGAGGATGCTCTGTTGAACAAGAGGAGTGCTCTGCTAACCCCCATAAAAAAGGAAGGCTAATATCAAGTCTTCGAGAACTCAAGCTACTTCTTCACGGGCGAGGAATGTGTCTCCATTGAGGAAGAAGCCAAAGCTCCCTTCTACTGAGAAGACCCAAGTAGGACTTATTCCCGCATCATTTGCTAGGTCAAGCATCTTGTTGGTGCAGATAGCAAGAAGATTGGTGGTCATGATTTGCTCCGCGAAGTGGTCCGTGAGCCCTCTAGCTCACCTGTTGAGAGGCAAAGAGATGCAGATTTTCCTCTCCAAAGTTCAGGTCACTTATACCAGTCGAAGAGTGGAGGTCGATGTGGGAGGTCTGCTCACTCAACCAACCATCATGATCCAACTGTTGAGTCACGTGTAGTCAAGCGTGGAGTTGATTCGTCGCCGCAAATTCCTTTGGAAGTGAGGTTGGCATAGGCTAGGAAAGCAAGAGAGTCATCTGCCCAGGCGAAAGGTTTCTTCTGCAACGTCAGGGGTTGATCCAAAGGTGGACAAGTCTAGCTCTGCAGGGGATGCGGGCGTGTCTGATCTGCTCAAGATGCACTTTCTATCAAGTCCATCCTCTTGTGCTGAGCTGGTTGATCAAATCCGTCAGGCTGGCGATCCTGGTACTTTTTCAAGTCTTTCCTTAGAAAAACAAAGGGAAGCAACACTTCATCTACTTCAAAAAGGAGTAGTTTTTGCTGCTGAGACCCATTTGGAACTGGTCTGCTGTTGCCCCATCTTCTGCTCAGCACAGTGAGTTGAGAAGAAGAATGCCAAGCTAGTTAGCAAACTTTCTACCGAGCAGACCCGTTATGAGAAGAAGACGTCTGATTTGCGGGCGATGATATCTGAGCTCAAGAGTTCCTTTGCTGAGAAGGATTCTGAGCTTAATTCTTCCGCTGCTGACTTGGCAAGTCGAAAAAGATGCTTACTTCCACCTTGAGCGCAAGAATGCTACATCTCTCATAGCTACGACAAGCTTTTAGCTGGATTTCACGCCTATCATGAGTCTGCTGAGGAATCCAAGTCCGAAGTTGCCATGGATGCGTACAAGTTAGGCTACTTGGACTGCACAAATGGACATGATCCCTTCTATGCCATTGGAGATGAAGACATCAAGGTGCTCTATCCTGACTTGCCCATTGTGCAAAGTGAGGAGGCTAATGTTGTGAACACAAAAGGAGCTGAAGAGCAGGTGGCTGAAGAAGCGGTAGCCGAAGAGGATGAAGCAAAGAGGATGCAGCTGATGATGTGGTGGCAGACATCATAGATCAGGCCTGCGGAGCTGCTGAGAGCGTGGTTGATCAGTGGATGCTGAAGAGGCTGCAAATCAGGGATCTCCTATAGGCGTTTCGGAGTAGACGAAAACTCCTTTATTTCTTTTCATCTTTTGCAGTATGCTTTTTGTTTAAAATAATTGGTCTTGTTTTGACCATCTTCTTTTTGTTTGAACTTGGCCGGTTGGTCACTTTGCTATGGAAATTTCAGTCTTTGTTTTTCAATTTCAATTTGCATATTGTCTTGTGAACTGCTTGAGTAATCGGCTAGTGTCTTGGCTATACATTTTTCTTAGGATTTTGGCAAAAGCCAGGGTCCCCCTTAAGGGACTCCAGACGTTTTCTGCATTTTCCTTAGGACGTTGCTTATGGGCAACTATTTGGTGATCCTGCCTCCCTTAGAAAACGGATAGGAACCTGGATATCTCCCGCAAGAAGCATGGTGACCCCCTTTTAAAAATTCCTGGGGCACCTTACGTCTCCCTTAGGACGCTGTTTTGCGGGCTGTGTCTCCCGAAGGACGCTTCTGGTCGTCGCCCTGCTTCTCCCTTAGAACGCTTTTTATGGGCAATTGTATGGCTATTTTTGCCCCCTTAGGAAATGGATAGGAACCTGGATACTTCCCTTAGGAAATTCCTGGCGCACCCTAAGCCTCCCTTCAGACGCTTCTTTACGGGCTGCGTCTCTCGAAGCACGCTTCTGGTCATCACCCTGTGTCTTCCTTAAGACGTTTTTTGTGGGCAACCGTCTTTTGTTGTGGCACATTTTGGAATTTGCAGTAGTTTGGTTCTCTTATTTAGAAATATGCAGTACTCAGTCATTTGCTAGAGACTAAGCAGGTAGGAAGAAGCATCATGGATAGTATCTTTGGAGGTGGCAGGCATTCCACTGTCGTGGAATGTCCTTCCCTTCCATGGTGTCCAGCATATAGCTTCCTCTGCCCTTGGATTGGCTGTTTACGTAAGGGCCTTCCCAATTTGGTTTCATCTTTTTAGACCCTTGTCTTTGTGCAGTGATGAAGGCCTTTCTTAATACAAGGTGGCCTAGTTGAAACTGTCTGATCTTGGCTCTTTTGTCGTAGTAAGACTTCAACTGATGTTGATAGGAGACGACTCGGACAATGGCCTTCTCGCGCTCGCCTCCATTCACTAAGTAGTCGATGATATGGTCTTGCAGCTGGGGTCTTCATCGATTTGCATTGAGTCATCTGGCTCTATTTTTCGATGCTTGGGCGGTCAAGGTGTTCAACTGGGATGGAGCGTTTGAATTAGGTGTCCAATGTTGATCCTAGGCTCGCCAATGCATCTGCATGAGTGTTCTCTGCTCGTGGAACTGATGGAGCCTGTAAAAAAAAAAAAAAAAAAAAAAAAAAAAAAAAAAAAAAAAAAAAAAAAAAAAAAAAAAAAAAAAAAAAAAAAAAAAAAAAAAAAAAAAAAAAAAAAAAAAAAAAAAAAAAAAAAAAAAAAAAAAAAAAAAAAAAAAAAAAAAAAAAAAAAAAAAAAAAAAAAAAAAAAAAAAAAAAAAAAAAAAAAAAAAAAAAAAAAAAAAAAAAAAAAAAAAAAAAAAAAAAAAAAAAAAAAAAAAAAAAAAAAAAAAAAAAAAAAAAAAAAAAAAAAAAAAAAAAAAAAAAAAAAAAAAAAAAAAAAAAAAAAAAAAAAAAAAAAAAAAAAAAAAAAAAAAAAAAAAAAAAAAAAAAAAAAAAAAAAAAAAAAAAAAAAAAAAAAAAAAAAAAAAAAAAACAAATTTTTAAATTTTTATGGTGATGCTTGTTATTCTTTTCTCGGTCATCCAGTTTTACATGAAGTCATTTACACTTATATAGCCTTTGCTCTATCTTTTACTCATCTGAATTTGTATACATCCAGTTCTTTGCATAATTTCTACTTTTTGAGGACTCTTATACCGAATTGGAAGAGCATTTGAAATGTTTGGTCTGCTTTCATTCACTGATATGAATTCGATGTTTATGGGTGTTCAATTTTTTTATGTATCCAGGGTTCTATTGCTTGCAAAAGGGATTGCTGTTCAAAATCATTTTCTTGTTCCATTATTTGCTCTACAAGCACCAGCTATTGTAATCTCGTGGTTTAAATAAGCCTTTCAGGTTTTTTTTCTTGGTAACCTATGGATCACATTTGCCATTTAGGTTTAAATGCATAACTTTGCTTGATGAGAAGAATATGTGAATATTACTCTTAAGGTATTTTCTTTAATTAGAAAACCTACTTTATTGAGATTGATTTTGGAAGCTTGTTATGATTGATTTTTTCCTTATGTCAGTATTCTATAAATGCTTGTGAAGGTTGCCTCTTTTTTGGGGTTTTAATGAAAGCTAATTAACAATCAAACTATAAAAGCCTCTGTTAGTTTCTTTAATTTCCCTTTAGTGTCTGCAATTTTTTATGTTTACTGGTTCTCTATTACTTTCTAGTCTATAGATTCATTCACCTTTTTCTTTTGCTTTGTTTGATATTTTGGTTGAACCATTGGCAAGTGTTATTATTTTCTAGTTGAATTCCATAACATGTGGTCAAAATGTAGGTTTTTTAATTTGTATGGAGATTGTTTTAATAGCCAATTTAGTCCTTGTAGCCTTTTCCCAAACTCTTTGTAGTCGTGAGGAATCTGGATCATGTGGATAGCCTCTCCCTATCACTCCCTACCTCTTACCATTTCCTTTTCCTCAAAACAATCCAAGCCTATGTTTGAATACTCTAAATTAGTATAAGTGACTTCATGTTATTTTGCATGTACAAGTTTATGCAAATCTCTATCTCGAACAAAGTACAGGTTGCTTGACATCTATGTATTTGGATAGAATCCTTGGTAGAAAGTCAATCAATGTGCTCATATTTGACATATGTTTTTTTGATCCTATAGGAAAGAAATAACTAAATGGGTTGGCGCTTGGACAGAATAATCTCATAGTTTGGTTTAATTTGGATTTGTGCATTTGTTATGTTCTAAAGGCGTATTGCTGCTGCATTTCTTATATTTTAAATGTTTACGTATTTGTGATTTCCACTGCCTCTTTCTCTCTGTCCTGTGTCGCCTCTTTCGTCCTATTCTTTCTTCACTCTTACTTTTCCTTTCTATTCTTCTTGATTCTTTAGTGTTTTCTGTTGTCTAACACTTCCTATTTCTTCTTCAAATCCTTCAGCTCCTCAGCATGCACAATCACAACAACGTAACCTTCATCGGCCTTGACCTTGCTTAACGATTATGCCTTCTTCTTGCTTTAGTCTTCAGTCCTTTTCTTTTTTTTTCTGTGTTCATGTTTATAGATCTTTTTATTTTTTATTTTTATGTCTTCATGTTTATATAACTAATTTTTCATTTTGATGCATATCTCTTCTTGATTCTCAGTGTTTTGGACAGAGTTGGGGTTAGATTCTTCTTTTCATGCTGGGTACTATTGTTGTTGATATATTTTTCACGAATTTCAGTTCTGTTATTTGTTTTTTAAATTTCCAAGGTCTTGCTGGGAAGGCAACAAATCAATATTATGGAAATGATTTGAGGTAATCCCTAATGCCTTACAGGAAACGTGTTTATTTCTCACAATTTATTATGTTTTAGATCTGGTTCCATTTCCTCTTTTACTCTTAGTTCTCATTCTTTTTTTTTCTTTTTTTTTCTTCTAAGTTTTCATTCTTTGTTGGGTCCAACAAGTATATGGCTGATAATTGAAATTGTTTAAGTTTGGTATGTGATTTTGCATTTTGTGGTATAATAGGGAGAGTCATAAAAGCCTCTGTTAGTTTCTTTAATTTCCCTTTGGTTGTATCTCTTAATTCTTTAAATTCATGTCTTACCTATACTGGCAGATTGATGTGTACATGGAGGCTTAAACTACAAACACAAGTGCTACGGAAAGTGAAGCTTCTAAGTTAGAAGTTCTACGTTTTACTATACTAGATAGTTTGGTTTATTTCAGCACGTATTGTTTTCAATGTAATTTTTTTAATGTTTTTTTAATATCATTTCTCAAGATAGTTAACATGTTATTACGAGTTTTTGAATGTTTGTATCTAAATATTATATTTTAGTGGATATTAAATTTCAGCTTGTTATTTTTTTAATATATTCATTTAGCTACTAAATTCTTTGAAACTTTAGTTGTCTAGGAAGCCTTTTTTTTTCTTCTTTTTTTAAATTTTAGTTATACAGCTCTTGACGGCTAAGAATCGTCAAGAAAGATTTATTAAATGTCAGGAAATATATTTGTTGATACTTATTAAGTGACAAGAAAAGCTTTCGTCGATTGTTTTTCACTATTTCATGATGCTTTTTTCCCGTCAGGAAACACTATTTTTTGACGGATACTAAGTGTCAAGTATGGTGGTGCCCTTTCCTGACAGTGGCATCCCTGACGCTTTTGGAACCATCATCTAATGGCTATAGTGATGCTTTTTAGCCGTTAGTAAAGGGCGTTTTTCTTGTAGTGAGGCCTATGACACTTAGGCCACAAGTCTTCACTTGTCATTGGATGAACCATTGGACTATAAGCTCTCATAAAGGCTTTCTTTTTGTAACAAGTATCAACATAAGCAATATGATCCCCATTTAATTGGCCAATAGCAACACAAGCATGCTTGCATGGGATCCCAGTGATATCTCATCTCTTACATGAACAACTATTCCTTGCCAAATCAACCACAACCTGACTTCCATCATGGTTTTTGACCTCATATAAACTCTTCCTAGCAAGCTTTGGAATGCATCAAGCTGATTCTTTCTTCGTTTTCTCCAAAATCCCAAAAATCCTTGGACCAATGTCATGTTTCCATCTCTCACAAGCTGCTCTTCTAGTTGCCATCAACAACATAATATAGTATCTAATCCTCTCTAGCGTGGTTAAAATGGGTTTGTCTCGGACTTCTACAAGAGCACCATTAAAAGCCTCACACATATTATTCAAAAGGATGTCACACTTGGAATGAGTTTTAAAGTGAGCTCTATACCATTGTAATGGATCTAAGGTTGCCACCCAATCAAATGTAGCTTGGCTCAGCTGTCTCATATTTTTCATCTCAGCATCCCACCATGGGATAGTTGTGCTTCTTGCAATTTTCTCCATTTGCAATTTTAACACCAATCCTCTATGACCAGTAAGCAAAAAATTTGCTTCTAAGGGCCAGTTTAGCATTGCTGTGCTGTAAAAATAATCGCTGTCAGATTTGCTGTGAGAGAAATAAGCTGTGAGAGAAATCAGTTTGGCGTTTGGTAAAATTTTTGTTAAAAGTGTTGTTGGTATTGATTTTATGCAAAATCAGAAAATGATTGCCGCATAATCATTAAACCCAGCACCTCTTCGAAACTGATTCCTCAATAATCAAAAAATGAAAGCACCTCATTAGCTGCTTTCCCTTATAGCTTTCTCTCACAACAATTTGTAATAATAAATGATTTTCTCACAGTTTACCAAACGGGTCGGGCTTCTCAAAATTTTTTAAAAATCACTTATCACCCCAAATAAGCAATGCCAAACTGGCACTAAGTGGTTGAGGCATTGTTTATGCTCAGCGATTGGAAAATTATCATGTACTGCATCAATCAAGCCTTTTGCTTGTCTGTGATAAGGATGTCTCCTGTGCTGTTTCGATTCCAAGATCCTCTGCCAATAGTTAACAAGATCATGACCAAGTTTCATAATTCTCCACCTCAGCCACTGCATACGCAATCGGATACATGCCATTGTTATGATCCACACCAACAGCAGATAACAATTGTCCAGGGTGATGACCTTTTATATGGCAAGCATCAAATCCTATCACTGGCCTACATCCCTACAAAGACCTTTGTTAACTGCAGCCAAGCAAATGTAAATCCTCTTAAACCTTGGCCTTTCACCCTCCAACTCACATTTGATAATGACTGTGCTAGCCACATTTGTCCTTCTTAGTTTAGAAGCATAATCCCATAATAATTCATACTATTTTTCATAAGTCCCCTCAGTTATGGATGTTGCCTTTTGCCTTGCCCTATATATTTGGGATTTAAAAGCTAGCACTGACAAATCTTCTTGTACCTGCTGCTTAAAAGTTCCCATATCCCAATTATGCTGTCTAGATAGTTAAGTAGCATATCTCTAAGCTAACCATGTTGAGTTAGCATGAAAGTTGTGGTCAACTGTCCCATAATCATGTATGTCAACCAACTTCTTCACTTAAACCCATTCACTACCATTCACTGCTGAAGCAAAACAAACCCAGTTACAATTCCCTGCACACACTGCCCTCACCCTATCACGATCATTGCATTTGAATTTAACCATCCTCTTGTTCACAATTGAATAGTTCCTAATTGCTTTCCTAAATAGGCAATGGCTGCAAATCTTAAACCCAACTTAAACACAGGGTTGCGCATGTCTATTTCAGGCCTAAATTCTTGAAAATAGGCAATTTCCTCTTCCTTTTCTTTTGCTTCCCATCATCCTCATCACACGAGCTACTAGTCAAGCTCTGAATATCACTTTTAGCTACATCAGTTGACTCCTCATCTTCATCTACAGGGGCATTTGGGTCTTCAACTACTTCAGGCTAGTCTACATAATTTTCAAATGCTTTATTGTCCTTTTTCAACAAATCACATTCATTTTCACTTTGCTCATAAGCACTGTCAACAAAATCAAGGTTATCTTCCTTGTCTTCTTCTTCATTGTCTTCATTCCTCTCTTCCACATCAGTCTCACATATATTAGCCCTATTACCCTCATTGTTCAGGGGACCATCATCATCACTTGAAACCCAGTCTTCAACTCTGCAAGCAGGCCCATGATCCTCAGTAAAATGACGGCCCTCTTTATTATTGTTCAGTGGTCTATTTTGGAAAGTGAAAGCCCCATTTTCATCAGTAACAGGCCCAATATCCTCATTCAAAGCCGCATCTTCCTCTTCACTATCCTCATTCAATGCCAGACCTTCCTCTTCACTATCCTTATTCAAAGCCACACCTACCTCTTCACAATCCTCATTCACTATAACACCTTCTTCTTCAATGTGTTGTACATAAATTAGCACCACTGTCTCATAAGAAAGTGGTACCTTATCACACAAACTTAACAGCTCACCATCTGTGTCTATATCCAGTAACTCATCATTTACTACTCCTTTAAGTGATACTTTCCCCATATGCCTAAGTAGTTTCACTTACTCCCACATTTCTAACATATTTATATACTCTACAGTACATCAATCCAAATATCCTACAAACCCACCAGTATGACACCACTTATTCTGTTTGTTTTTCACAATTTTACTACCATGATGCACTTCAAAAGCGACTAATTCTTTGTCCTATACACAGAAACAAAAAGGGTTTGTCTTTAAGAACAGCAAAATAGTATTCTAAGCCACTAATTAAAAGTAAGACAACAAACATGGTTTGATTAACATATTCAAAGCCAACTAGAAGAAAACAAAAACGAGACCACATCAAGAAAGGTATACTGCATTAGAACCCACTCTCCTGACAGCACATAACACAAAAAAACCTAAAGACTATCAATTTGTACACAACACACATCACTATCATGTCAAGATTCTTTTCCACATCACATGACAAGATTCCTTTTCAGAAAACAAGTTCCTTTTCAGAAGAATCACTTACTGTACACAGGTTGCCCTGCTCCTGCATCTCGCCAAATAGTCATCGTCGTCGAGTCACGTCGCTTCTTCTTGCCGTCAAGTTTTCAAAACCAACTGACAGCGCTCTCCCTCTCTCAATCCTTATTCTCAAACCCTAGCTCTAAAATCCCCAAATCTTAATTTTCCCTCCCAATCTGATTTTCTGTTTTCATTTTTTAGTTTTCACAGATTATAGTGGCTGTTTTGTTAGATATGGGGTCCACAAATCCACATCAGCAGCCAATTTGATCGTTTTAGCTATATCAGATGTTAAAGGTGGGGTCCACAAGTACACGTCACAACCTCAGATTGGTGGGAAAAATCCCAGCTCAGTTGAATTGACCAATATACCCCTGCCACATCATCATTTTAACAGAACTTGGAATGGCGTTGACGGAAAGTGGTTAAGTGACACATGAAACCTTGGTCAAGGGGGCAAAGTGGGTCACTTTAACTTTGAGAGGGTAAAGTGAGAATTGACCAATGTTCCAGCGGACATTATAGCAGTTAAGCCTAAAATTTATTATAAGGACTAAATTGGCTGAAAAATTAATTCATGGTGGACATTTCGACAAGCGTTATAGTTCAGGGGGGGTTTTCGGCACTTTACCCCATTAATAATGTATCGATATCATGTCACCAACTAAGTTAACTTATGTTACTCGATCAACTTTTAACTCATTGTTCTTGATCAACTATAATCTTATCCTGCTTTTGCCCACTAAGAAGAAGTGTACAGTGAAGAAGTTTTTATTCTCTAACTTTTCTTTACACACAATCGATGGAGGTTGATTCTACCTAACCCCGCTAACATCCACAAATCTTCAAAGGCAAAAGTACCAAGGGTGTGGGAACCCTCTACCTGACCTACCCAATTTATCTGATCAAAAACCAGAGTAGCACCAGAGAGAGCTCGAGAAAGCTCCAGTTTTTCTTCGAAAATTTCATCGTCATTTCCAACAATTTCGGCCACCATTTGTGTCGATCCAGGTATGCTTCTCCACCTACTCAACGTGATCTAGTTGACGGTTTGGTTGGTTATGATAGATTTTGAAGTTTTGAAACTTAATCTAGAACCTAAGTTTTGACCCGTTTTTTAATGCATTTTTCGGCCACTTCAAGGCCAAATTGGGGGTGGGCTGAAGACCACAAGTTGCTCCCCTAGTTGTCCTGATTACGTAGGTATGGGTATTGTCGAGTGTTTTGAGAATTTTCTAGTTGTTGGAATTTTCTCAAGACAACCACATTCTGCCTGCGCGTGGGCTATGGTGTGGTGGCCCATTTTGTCCTAAAATGTTTCCCATGTCGTCCCAAGCACGACGGTATGCTCGGATTCGAATTTGGTTATCGTTTGACGGTCGAATGGATTTACACATATTAAGCAATATGTTCAGACCATTGGATTGGCTCCATTTTCATGTATGTTGATCTATGTACCTCTAGGATAGTGTAGGAACTCATAGATCAATAATCAGAGTCCCAGATACTTTGAATTAATGATTCAAAGATTACATAAAATGGTGACTGTCCGATCTAGAGCGATCCGATCGCTCAATCGAGACCAAACTTGCATAATGGGTTTGGTAGGCTTGGTTGAACTCATAGGAACGTTCAGATTGGAAATATAAGGTCGTGGGCCTGGTTGACCAAAAATGGGAAGTTTGACCAACTGTTGACCACATGTCTTGTGAGACCGTCTCATCCTTTGGGAAGGTACTAGAATGGCTTTAGGACCTTTCCAAGGTTGTGTATACACATTAAGTTTCTGGGAATTATGGTTTTGGGTGTATGTTTTGATTGTGGCCTTACAGTACTTGAAATGTTCGCCAATGATAAATATGTGGAATTTTGAATGGTGATTATGGCGTATTGTTGAAAACTTGGATTTGTTTTGATGTTGTGATATTGATGGGAAATTGATTTGTTTGGTAATGGGTATTTTAGTTAATGAGGTTATGAAAGTGGGCTATCGATTCAGTTTCGACCTTTACCATGTGACACGAGACCTTCCGTTTATGTATTGTTATTATTATTATTATTATTATTATTATTATTATTATTATTATTATTATTATTATCGTTTTATTTTAATGATTGTTATTATAAATCACTTATGACTTGATAGAGGGGTTTGGTGTCAGTAAAGATCTAATTAAATATTGATTATATGTTTATACTCAAATATATGTCTATGTGTTTGAGTTATGGGTACATTGGAATTTTGCATCAAGATATGTACCTTTCCTGGTTACTATACCCACACGTGGCGTTCGATTTTCTGATGTGTGGGCTGTGACACCCCAACCCTATTTTTATTGTCCATTTAAAATTAATTAATTAACTTAATTATGAAATTACAATTTTGCCCTTGGGGATTGAGTTATTTTGGTCACTTTTTAATATGGTAAGATTTTGGGGAACTGAATGACACCATGATGTAGATCGCATCGATACGAGTTCGTAGACACGTAGTTGGCATAAATCAGAGTTGTAACGGAGAAGTTACGATGTACAAAAGCCTAGTGGCACAATCGTAAATATTTCAAAAAGTCAGATTTTTAAGTGACCAATCAGACCTCTCTCTTCTCTCTCATGCGTCACCCCTTTTCCTCTCTACATTCCCTTTGTATTTTCCCTCAAAGACCCGATCAAATTCCAAGTGAAAATCATTGAATCTGAAGCCAAAACTTTCTAGGTTTTTCGACAAGAAAACAGTGCGTTCGAGGACTTTAACGGCTGAATTGATCTCTGAGCAAAGGTATGTGCTTGATCTGTTGGTATGATAATTGACCAGTAGTTTGGAGTTTTCCGATCACTGGAAAAATTACTCTAAACACCCGCCGGCGGTGGCGGCGCGTCAGCGGGTTGTCAAGGTTGGATTTCTGAGCTACAATGTCCCCCATGTCGTCCCAAGCACGACGGTATGCTCAGATTTGAATTTGGTTACCGTTTGACTGTCGATCGAATATACGCATATTAGGATTTATCCGGGGTCGATATGTTTGGACTGTTGGATCGACTCCATTACAAAATATGTTGATCTAGATACCTCTAGAATCGTGTAGGAATTCGCGGATCGTGAATCAGAGTCCTGGATGCTTCGATTCAATGATTCAAAGATTAGGTTAAACGGTAACTGTCCAATCATGCAATCGCGAGCGATTCGACCGTTCGATTCAGACCAAACTTGCAAGACATGTATAATAAACCTTGTTGATCCCATAGGAACTTTCGGATCAGAAATCAGAGGTCGTGGGCCCTATGGGCCGGGTTGACCAAATTTGGGAAGTTTGACCACTCAGTTGACTGAGCGTCTTTCGAGGCTAGTTCACCATTCGAAACACGTAGTTGGACCTTAGGAACGTCTCGTTCGTCGTACACACACTTTGAATCCTAGGAAACTAGGAATTTATTTTAAAGTTATTGTCTGAAGTATTTAAATTAATTTAGTCTTTGTATTCTTAAATAGGTACCCAGGCACCTCGTACTCAGCAAGCCGAACCCTATCAGGGTCACGCAACATCAGACTTCCTGTGAGTGGACTTTGTTTTGAAATAGCATTATTTTTATCGATTAAATTACCATGCATCTAATATGAATTTTTATGAATATGATTATATATATATATATATCGTTTAATTATGGATATTTCGGCTATCTCGATATTTGAAGTTCATTATTATTTGGAATATGGATTATATATGTTGAGAAATTGCTATTTACTTTTTTATTATATAAATGGGCACGAGATTAATATGAATTAGGGTACTTTGTGGATTGTTATGTGAATATGTGATTACACCATGCTAAGTACCCTCCTCTGGTTACTTTACCCACACGTGGCGTTGGATTATCCAGCGTGTGGGCACATTTGGTTATGTTGTACTTTATCACACGTGGCGTTGGATCATCTGGTGTGTGATAAAGCAGTCTGCACCATAAGACTTAGTGGTTGGATTTGGCCACACGTGACGTTGGAATTTCCGGCATGTGTGATGTAGAGTGTTAGTTCCCCGGTTGGACAGCTCATCCCTAGATGCATGGTAGAAAGTTGAAACCCTGCGGGTTAGTCAAACAATCCCCCTGTTGGATTGTTTCCCTGGTACTCGAATTGGTGTGATACTATGTTTCAGGAATGGTTTGGGTTGGAGTCAAAGGATTTGATTTGGATATTATTATATGATATCGGGGAAGTGAGAATACTTTGATTTCACAATGATTACATAGGAATAGTATCAATTGCATGTTTTAGCATTATTTTCCAAACTGTGGGGTCTAGTATGTTGTTTCCAAATATAACCAAACTTTGTTTTTATCCACTCACATGTTTTCTATTTTGCACCCCTAGGCAGTAGATAGACTCGTACCGAGTGGCCGAGCCGAGATCCTAACTTCTGAGCTCAATCTCTTGTAGGATGACTTTTCTTCGTTTTATTTCCGTTGAACATTATGTTTCACCTGTAAACTGAGTTTTACTATATATGCTCTGTTATGGCCCATGTTAGGGTTTATTGTAAGGCCGGAGGGCCTATTATGTAAATTGCATGTTATTATCTTGTGCATGCTATCGGTTGAGAATTATCACACATGACGTTGGATTTTCTGGCATGTGGTAAAGCAGTCCACGCGCGTAAGATATGGTTTGGTTTAGCCACACGTGGTATTGGATTTTCCGTCGTGTGAGCTCACTTGGTTGTGTTAGTACTTTATCACACGTGGCATTTGATTTTCCAGCGTATGGTAAAGCAGTCTGTGCGCGTAAGACATGGTTTGGTTGGACCACACGTGGCATTAGATTTTCCTGGGTGTGTGCTCACTTGGATACTGGTTCCTTTACCACACGTGGCGTTGGATTTTTTCAGCATGCAGTAAAGGATCAGGACACTTTGGTTACTGTTACTTTACTACGCGTGATATTGGACTCTCCGGCGTATAGTAAAGTAATAGGTAGAGGGAACATGGATTATTATACTATGTCGAGAGAGAGATTAACGTTTAAAAGAATTATGTTTAGCATATGTGAATTGTCATAGGGAAAGGGTTGTTGAGTTATGAGTCTTAAGAATGAAGTGAATAAAGAAAAATGGGTTTGTGTTCATGGGCTGAGATACTATGATTATACTTAAAGGGAAAAGATGATTCTAGAATTAACTTGTTGGTATTATTGAAAATAATTGCATATTATCTGGTTCATGATTATTAATGTAAGAACTACGTGTGGCTTAATCCCTCATCAATGGGTACGTAGGTAGCCTAGGGTTTCACCTAGGTGCAGCCGCAAATTAAACTCTTACTTTCGTTGAGTTGGTTTTGAAAATGTCGGTGGGTTGGAAGCCAATCGAGACGAGATTAAATGCTTGTTTATATTTCAGTTTTACTGAATGGTTGCTGTTAAAAGGTGTTTGTGGTTATGACGGGTCTGAAACCCGTTCGGATCGATGAATGAATTTGGCTTGTTCTGTAAACTGGGTACTTTTACTTTGTGTGTGCTGTTGGTTGGAATTTTATTATTCTCTGTTTAGACAGGTTGAAAATTTGGGAAAAGTCCGTTTTTCATGGGAGACTCTGCCGAAATTTCAGTAGAGTCTCAACCCTCTCTTCTTGTGTTTTTGGAGAAGAGGATATTGTTAGTAAGTAGGCCCGGCATTGGATAGATGTTGGAAAAATCACAAGGTTCGTCACGGATTTCGAGGAATTCGGGGCAGGTCTTGTCACATTTTCCTCAAAATTAAAAGAAGTTATAAGTTTTTATATCCTTCTCTGAAAGAGCGTAAAATTAGATTTCATTAGCATACCCCTAGAGTGGTTCAAGGATAGTATTTATCCAGACAAAGCACAACATAGTATTATTATTTCTTATAATGAACTGCTTAGTCTAGCAAAATCAGCAAAGACATGGATCCCTACCAAGCAAGACATTCAAAAATATAGAGGAGCAATAATAGTTGAGCAACAATTATTCAATGATGATTTTTTAAACCTCCTTCACCAATCTAATTTTATCAAGATTTATTCAGAGTCTACATCCAAGAGACCAGATGACACATATGAATTCAGGATACGCACAGCAGGAGCAAATTTTTTTGATGAAATCTATAGCCAGATAGCAGCACAAATTGAAGCAGAAGACAACGACAACTTATACTGGAATAGCTTAGGAGAAGAAGAGCTACACAATACAGACAACATGATAGAAGCATGATAAAACCATAGCAGCAAACACAAGAAGACCATGTAAAGCCAAGCATCAATTTTCTTTTTTTCTGAGTAAAGCCAAGCATCATCAACCTCATTTTCACGTGAGGAGATCATCCCAACAACATAGTAGCAAATGCAACATCAATCCAAAAACTATCAAAGCAAGTTTTTAGCTCCATACGGCAATCAAGTTTTTAGCTCCTTTTGCATCATTTGAAAAGCAGAAAAATGATTCATTAAGCAATCCAAAAATGAATAAGGGCACTATTGTCCAAACACTTTAATTTTGTCATTCTTTATAAATACTACACCCATTTTTGGTTTATTTATAAGTTCCCTTTATAAGTGCAGAGTTTTTTTTTGAATTCCGAAATCTTTTTATATTTGCCTTAATACTCGAGAGTACATACAATCCGTGTCATTGGCAAGAGCATATGATTGAGAGGGTTCTTCAATTGGTTATTGGCTCTACCCCTAGCCCCTTCATATTCCGCATCCTGCTGCTTCTTTGCTTGCTTTTCTCGATCAAGCATTCCTGTGCTTAGCAAAGAGGTAGTAGCATTTTTTCTGACAATATTTCTTCACGGGTTTTGGGAATTGGAAAGTGAAATTTATGAAAGAAAAAAAAAAAGAGACAACTTTTGGCGCCAAGAGGCTATTAATTTAACGTGTTCCAGCTCCAGACTCGTTAATAACTTAGGGCAGAAAAGGCAGTTGAAAATTGGAAAAAGCGTCAGCCCATTTTCTTTGGGACAAAAGCAGAGCAAGAAATGGAGGAGGCATCGAATATCGCCGAGTCACTGCCAAGGGTTAACCTGAAAGACACTATTGAAGAGCTCTTGAAGTTCACGCTCCAATCTTGCACAAACGGAACCCTAGAAATCGATCTAGGGCTGCCCAAGGAATTTTGCTCCCGCCTCCTCAAATCCGAGCCAAACGACCTCTCCTCCCCTTCCCACTCCGATTCTTCTACTGGTACAAAAATTAATTCATCCTTCATTTTCCATTGCTTTGCAGGAAAATTCTTGGATACTATGCCCAAATTTTTATAGCTTTTCATTGTAAGTTTTGATTTTGAATTTCCGGTGGGTTTATGCATGTAATATGCATGTAATGTATGTATGTGCGTGAGGCCAGAAATGTATATATGCATTGTATGATTGAGATTTACAGGCTTTAGGTGACTTGTCATCTGAATTTGATTCATGGACTCTTTGGATTGCATTGTATTAAAATATACCCGTTATGCAGGTATTTTTGAAGGGGTTCCACCATACCCTTTATACAAGCGTCTCGCATTGGCTTTGCATGAATCCATAGCTTCTGGTACCCTTTTCGGTACATGCAACAATATGTCCATTATTTATCAAGAAAGTTCCTTGAAGGAGAAAGAAAATGAATGGCAGAAGCTGATCTCGGAGAAGGGATCTGAATTAGTAAATGTAAACTACAATTAGCGGTGTCATTTTTGCTACATTTAATCTTGATGTTTTCATATTTAAAGTAGCTTCATTATTTAAAGAAAAAATTTGTTGCTTTTCACCAGGTATTGAAGACTGTTAAAATTGATCTTCATGTTCAGGAGCCTTTCTTTTCGCAGCTTAAAGGTAATAATGAGTTTCTATTCTAAAATTCCATGTTTCCAGGCACGTCTCTAGATTTTTATTTTTGTAATAAATAGGATGGTTGAAAATCTTTTGATATAATTTTCTATCCTCTACGAAGTGAAGCTAATTCTATCAATTTATTTGGCATTATCCATAGATGGCCTCAAAACAATTGAAGGGAGGTGTGCTTTGGGTAATTGCAGTAGGTACGACGATTCGAGTTTCATGCATATACCAGTATGTATGTAGGCTTGTTGGTATATTTTTAACAGCGGTTTTTGTTTAAGTAGTATATAATTTCTTATTCTCAATTTAATATTAGCCATTCAGTTAAAGTTTTTAAACAAAGGCCTGCGTAGGTTACATTGTCTAACATTGATGCCAAGAGTCTCATTTAACTACCTAAATGCATTGCTATGTTTATTTTTCATGCATTCTGTACATAGCATTCCATTTTATTTATTTATTTTGTCTGTTTATTTCCATTAAATAAAAACTGAACTGAATTTTCTCACCCCATCAATTTATGGGAGGAAAGCCCTACAACAATATCTTAATAAGTGTGAGAATCATGTAGCATCACAAGGACAATGCGTGTACAAGATAAACATATCCATAAATTCTAGTCCTTCCTCTTCATACAGGTGAGCTTTATGAATGGGGGTTCCTGTTAAGTAAAAAGAAAAAAGGGTTGGGGGGACTTAGATCATAGTACAGTCTTGAGTCAGTATCTAACGAAGGAAGAGGTTTTTAGGAAGTACCTATCCTTTGGCTAGGGCTTTCTTCAACTGGTTGGATTGCTACTCATGGAAGGGTGAATATTTAGTGAGGTTCTTCAACTGAAGGGGCCACATTGTTGTTTGTCCTCTCACTGGTGCCCTATGTGTGAGGGGATGCTGAGACCATTGATCATCTGTTCATTCATTGTTTGGTGGCTTTTTGGCTGGAGTATAATTGTTTTCAGCGGTATGGGTTGAGTTGGTTGCTGCCTTATCATGTAAATCTTTATTTTTAGAGTTTTCGTGCTTTTAAAGGTGGAGCCTATTAAAAGTTTTGTGGACAGTGCTGTAGCTATTTTATGGTGATATGGATGGTAAGGAAAGGAACAGTTTAATCTTTGAGAGCAAAGTTGTGGAAGTTATGGGATATGGCTAGATTTTGGGCCTCTATGAACTTTGGTCTCTTCCGTCTTTCGTGATTGTCATGTGGATTGAGAAGCTGGTCTATCATAGTTCTCCTGATTGTTGTTTGGGCATCTTTTGTTTCTATTTTATGCATGGTTGGATTCTGCATTTCATATACTGTTTTCAGTCTCTTGTTTATTGGAGGATGAGGGTTGTATGTTTTGTGAACTGCTGGTCCCTTTGATTGTACAACCCATTCTTATTAATATAATCATTATGCTTCTTCTCGGGGGGGGAAAAGAAAAAGAAAGATGCATGAGCAGTGATGGATCATTGTTCTGATTATGATTGGTGGCTGAGTTTATTATGTTGATAGTGTTTTGTAGTTATTCCTTGTCCACTATGAACTTTTATGTTTCTTTCAACCTTCATAGTACACTTTTTGAAGGCTTATTTACTGTTTTACCCCCTGAAACGGACACTCGATCTCACTTTACCCCTTTAAACTGAAATTTTCTCACTTTACCAAGTCTGTCCATTTCTGTCTACAAAACCGTAAGGGTGCTGACATGGTATAGGCATTCTAGTAATTTTGGCTATCTATCTTATCTCTTCTCTCTGCCTCTCACTGCTCTCCCCTCCCCCACCCAACCCCCATCGGACCCCACCCCTCCCCTTCTTCTCTCTTCTCTCTGCCTCTCTGTCTCTCTCAAACTCTCTGCATCTCTCTTCTCTCCCATCCCCTGCCTAGACCCAACCCCATCACACTGCACTCCTCCCCCTCTTCTTTCTTCTATTGCCTCTCTCTCTCTCTCTCTCTCTCTCTCTGCCAAGAGAGAATATGGGGAGTGGCAGTCGAGGAGATTTTTTAAAATTTTTGAATGGTGGTGGTGGTTTGGGTGTGTTGAGTAATTCCATGGAGGATTAGGTCTGGGGTGGGGGTTGGATTTGGCGAGGGGAGGGGAGAGAAAAGAGAGACAGAGAGGAGAAAGAGGCAGAGAGAAGAGAGAAGAGAGGAGAGAGAGGAGGGGGAGGGTGCGATTGGGGTGTGATGGAGGTTGGGTCCTGGAAGGGAGAGAAGAGAGAGGCAGAGGGAGAGAAAGAAGAAAGAAGATAATAAGGAGCTAAAATTACTAGAATGCCCATGCCATGTCATCACATTTAACGGTTTTGTGGATGGAAATGGACGAAAGTGGTAAAGCAAGAAAATTTCAGCAATTTTTAGAGATTCAAGGGGTTAAATAAGAAAATTTCAGTTTGAGAGGGTAAAGTGAGACTGAGTGTCCGTTCCAGGGGGTGAAACAGTAAATAAGCCTTTTTAAAAAAAATTTATTGTTTATCTATACAAAATATCTCATGCTTGCAGCACATTATGCTTCCATGGTTACTGTGATGTAGGATATGGGTGAATTGTAGATTTAGGTAGTTTAGCGGAAGCAAAAACAATGAAAACAGAAAATTAAATGAAGAAGGATAGATCTGGAATCACTCCAGGGGCACACCCGACCTTAGCTTCACACCAGAACTCTCCAATCCCTGGAATAATAAACTTTTCTGATAACTCAAATCTAATCTCTAATGAATTACATGGGGGTTTATTTATAGCAAACTAAAACCTAGAGACAATAGGATAAAAATCCCTTACTAAAACAGAAATCATAACCCAAATAAAATAGGAAACTTAGAAATCTGGAAAAAACTAGAAGTCCTACTGAAATCTGGAAAACTTAGAGAACCTAAGAAACTAACAAAAGAAAAAAGGAAACTAATCAATGATGTCTGCATCATACTGTTTCGGAGGTTCAAGATTGGAAAGACCATGCTAAAAAAGAAGAGTAGAGATAATGCTTCTTGTTAACTGGCACTGGCTTTAATGTGGGCATGAGATTTTGTTCAAGAATTGCATTATTGATTCCCATTCTTTTTTTGTTTTACTTCCATCTCAATTTTCCAATGTAATCATAATTATAATATATTATTTTTTTTTTTTTTTTTTTTTTTTTTTTTTTTGGGGTGTGTATATGAACATATCTTTCATGTGTTTTCATTTTCTGGTTGCAGAATTGACTCAGGATCTTTGATTCTCTTCAATAAATGTCTACTATTTGAAGTTCAGGTGCCAATGCTTTTGTGTTATTAGTTTCTGTTTTTGTATATCCATGTGGCTGCAGTTTGACTTAATGCATTCACAGGATATTCGCAGTTATTCTTCATTCTCTGATATGATGGAGGCAGAGGGTCTTTCTAAAGTCCTTCCTGGAGTTGAAACCATTGAACAAGGTAGCTGCTTTTTAATTTTTAGGTACCATGCCAGTTTGTAACATGATTTATCAGCTCATACGGTACCAAGTTAATAAGGGTTTGACGTATAGCTAAAAAGATTTCTCTTGTTGTATGGTTATCTTGATTATAAGATTTCGAACTGGATATAAGGGCTTTTGAGAAACAAAATCTGGCATTTTGTTAATATATTCAAAAGACAAACTTTAAAGTACTATGGATAATATAATCATTTGCTCATATAAAAACGGGAGTGCAAGAACACTGGTTGGTTCCTGATAATGAGAACACTGTCTGCACACATTACCTAAGTGGTCGTAATTGTGGTCAGCACTACGATCAGGCTATATCGTGATGCAGTGGTAGGTTATCAACTGTCAAATGAGCATATTAGAAATACCTAAAAATGCGGAAGATTTTTCATAATGCGCAAACTGGGTTTGGTGCAAAGTTGATCATATCCCTGGCACTCATATTCACAACTTTGAGTTGTGACAGAAATATTTAAGCTTATTTTCTGTGTTCGAAGAAGAGTCATAAGTTTTTTATTTGTTGGATTTTTCCAACTATACATTGACTGAAGGAAGGACCTTTCTATTCAGCATATAACCTTACCCATATTTCAACCTATCTTGCTACTCTAGAATTTTCTCTGCATCTTACACTCATCATTGTCAACTATAGTTGTTGGATCTTCAATCTATTTAGTGCCTTTTATCTCCTAAGTTACTCGTATAAGGGGTTGAGCGGAGAATATTGAGATCACAATCAGTCATGAATGTTAGGAAAATATGTTTTCAATCACCCTAATATGTATTTTTAGTGCTTTAAACCATTTTAATTTGGTCTTATGGAAGAACCACACTAACACCCTAAATGTCTTAATTATTTTTTTCCTGTCATCAACAAGTGATTTATGGCGTTTGTAAAAATTTCTCGATACTAATGGGTGTGCAGCTTGCAGGTGTGCAAATTTACAGAAAGTTTTACACAGAAGAAAAGGAAAGGTCAAATGGTGTCCTTGCGATTTGTGTTTCAAAGTTTCCTCACCAGCCTTACATTTCATTAGCTAGAATGCTATTTGTAAGTGTATTTCTTTCTGCATTCTTAGACACATTCCCATAAGTGTGGATGTGTAGTTTACTTTTAGTCTGATCACTTGTGAACCTAGTGCTCTAATGTCCTCTTATTGAAGCATTTTGTACGTAAACAGCTGCCTTGAGTTGATAGAAGTTCACAATGGTTGTGTGAAAGTTTTGACAGTTATATTCTTTTATTCAGGGATTGAGTCTGGGGGGTCTTCAAGGCCTTCTTGGTCTGGCACATACCACAGGATCTACTCCAGATGCTCTACCCCCGCCAACATCTACTCTTCTGTCATCATTTGTGCTGCCATATAAATTGAATGTACAACAATGATTGCTTGGGAAAATTGCATTGTTAGATGCTCTTTTCTTGTTGTAGAGTAGGCATTTAGAAACCTCCTAAAATGATTAAATCTGAAACAGAAAAGAATTCTGGTTGTCGATCATGAAGCCACTTATTTGTGATCATGTGAAAGACTAATCTAGCAACTGGTGTTAAAACATCACATAGCTTTTGAATTGGTGGATTTCTGGGTATAAAATAAACAAATAAAAAAGATAGACAATATACTGAAAGTTTGTAGTTCTGTTTTCTGCATGTTTATTCCTAGAGGCTTTCTGTTTTCTGCATATTTATTCCTAGAGGCTTCAGAGACTGATTTATATATTGCATGCTTTTTATTTCCTTCATTCTTTCTGGCTACAGGTTGAAGGTAGTACATTGACTCATGGAGCTAGGGCCTTGGCAAAACATGCACATCGGAGTAGCAGTAAATATTGGGGTACCTTAGATGGAAGTGGTGAGAAACTGTCAAGGCCTTGATTTAAATCTAGAGTCTGGAGATTATTATTAGTATCTTGTTTGTTATTGATTCTTTCACACATTTAATTGTGGTTACATACAACCGGTCTTTCTTTTAAAGGCCTTGAAATTTGAGATTTTTTATGTTAGTTTCTTTTGCTTATATAAATTTTCTTGACTATCACACTTCCATCACCTGGTGTTGGACACCGCAATTCCCATTCAAAACTATGAAGAAAAGAAATTCATAATTTAAAGTTTAGAAATTTGCTGAAGCACTAGAGGTATGAGAACAATTATGAAAATAATAATGATATTTATGTTTCTTGACAAAACCTCTGAACATCAATGTTCTGCTATCATAGTGTTATTTAAAATTTGTAAGTACTAATACAGGTTTGTAGGTTGATTGTACAGAAGATTCACACATCTTTCTTAGATATTCGCATAACTTAGAGGCTAGAGGATAAGAACACTAAACACTTTAACCTTATTGGTCAAGGTCCTAATATATTTTAAATGTTTTTTGGTTTTGGTAATGAATTGTGTACGTATTCTGTGGTCGAATGTGACAAGCTTTGTGCACTGCTACAAATACTGTGCTTAAATTGCAAATATTTAAGTCAAGATCAAACTAGAAATATTTTGAGTTTTTGGGTACAAGTGTTTGCAACTAAGTTTTATTCATGTGATTATGTTTTGATACAAATACTGTGATTTTATGTTTTTTTTTATTAAGATCAGTTGTGTTTCCTTTTTCTTTTTCTCTTTTTAGATTCCAATAAAAACAGGCTCGCATTGGATGTCATCAGTCGATTAATGACACATTGTTGCTGGTTAAATGTGCATAGTGTTCAACCACACGGTGTTGTCTTTGAAATAAGGGTTGCTGAAGGATATGGTGCACGGTGGTCGGAAGATGGTAGCAAGGTATCTGCGATCATCCCTAACTATGCTTTTATCCATACTCAACTCAATTTAAAGTTTCACCATGGGCCTAAATCATGTCTAACTAATACTGTTGGGGCTTTTGGCAACCTGAACCACAGTTGTACCATTTAGTTAAACATGTTAAATTAATTATTGAAAGAAGATTAAGCATCAAGTTTCCTCAATATAAAGCTTAAGCATATAGATTGAAATGCCCTTTTTCTAAAAAGCAATAAAGTGATTGTGTCTCCTTGTGGACTTTCAGTTTATCGGATTTTTAGAGCCATACATGGAAGATGGTCATCCAAAGGGATGGAAGCACTAAACAGGTTCATCAGATGTTGCCTTTAGCTTCTTTGGTTCAGATAGGCATTGCCTTCTCAAGGACCCCTCTTGCTTGCTTTTCTTGATGAGGCTTTGAAAGATTGTTCCTCTTTCTTTTCCACACTACATTTGCGCTCCTGATCGCTTCCATTTATACAGACAAGGAGATCTTGACTGAGCTATTCCAGATGCACTCGAAATACATTCTAGCAATTTGTCATATGGATAAGCCACGGAGAACTCTCCTGTAAGTCACATGGTTTCTCAACTGATTATCACCTTTCCAATTTCTTTCAACGATCAGCTGCTGTGTTTATATCTCCATGCCATATTAGCCCCTGTTGGTTATTCATATACCGAATACTAATTACTCCTATGGACATATTTAAGCTGTCCCTTGTAACTTCTAAGACTTAACAAATATTTTTTGTTTTATTGATTTATTTTGAGGAAAAATGCACATACTGTAGCCATAGCATTATCTAATTACCGAAACTAAAAGGCAACCTCAATGTACTCGATGATTTTCTGTTTTTCTTTCTTTTTCCCCCCTTTTATCATGAGTAGGCCTTTCGTAAAGAAAGCTTATACAAGTTAATGATGAGGTTACGCATCTTGATCTTGGAGGAACTCAAGCAATTGGACGGAAATTTATATGTGCTTAAATTGCAAAAAGCATCAAACTACAATGGAAAAATGGCAAAAATGAAATGTACATGGACGAAAGCGAAACATCGCGAGCAAACTAGGTGGATCAAAATTTGAACATTATTTTATATCACATAATATTTTATTGCCACTGAACATATTGTGGGGCAACAATTTCGTTGGTCCCCAAAAATGACTTATTTACCCCTGAAATTCAAGAAAAAAGCATATTGATCGTGAGTCTTTTGAATACAATAGCGTGGTGTGAGCCAACTAGCCTCCTATGCTAAAACCAGGTCTGAAATCAAGAATTAGGTTTTTCATATCAATAGAACCGTACCTCCTTTTGATGGTTGAAGTTGGGTTTTATATGGCTCGTTAGTGGCTGACTTATCATCATATGAGGCTGCGTTTGGCATTAATTGGGGCGTTTCTTGACAGTTATGTCACACATCCAGTCAATTAGCTATTTGACTTGGGATGTGTGGAACACTTGCCCAAAATGTGTGGGCATGATCTCCGAGATTGTTGCTGTTGTAACTAGGGAGATCTTGGAGGATCAATGCTGATCCATTTTGGAGCCGTGCTGCCTAAGGATTAGTTATGTTTGGACTCACTTCATGGAGCCAAGGAAAAACTGATCTCAGGCCCACATGTCTTCTTAACCCATGTTTGGGTTCATTGGCCTGACGAGGCCCAGGAAGTTTGGTTGGCCCTATTGGGTTTACCCCATGGCTCTTGCAGTCCCAAGTGAAGTCCACACGCTCTGATAAATTTTGGTAGAGGAATCGACCTCTGCTAGTTAGAGCAGTTCCATCGGTTAGCTGAGCCCAAGGCTGGGGGGAAAGAATAAAAAAAAAACGTCGTTCTAGCGGTGAGCCCAAGCCCGGGCCGGGAGTGAGTCCCACGAAGTCGGGCTGGCCCTAAGGCCAGTTCAGCCCGAGGTCGAGCCCGCGTGTTGTGACGTTGCGCTGACATCAGCGCTACGCAGTCTCCAATAGGTAGAAGCCACGTGTCACGCTCCCAGTGCTCCGATCTGCTTCTTCGAATCCAATCCAACGGCTGGCCTTTTTTTGGCAATAAAATTATGAAAAAAAATCGAAATTTTTTTAAAAAAATACTAAAAATTCTGATTTTTTTTTCCCTATAAATACCTATCAATACCCTTCACTTTCAACACCAATCCTCATACATTTTATTCTACTTATACTATTATTCACTCTTTACTCAACATTTTCCTCTCTTTCACCTTGTATTTTTATTTCTTATTTTTATGGCTTCTTCTATCGAAACCGGAGGGGCGTGGAGCACCATGGAAGATGTTTCCTTGTGTGAGGCTTGGCTCCAAATTTGTCATTGTCCCGTGTCAGGCAATGAGATGAAACTTTTTCATATGTGGAAAAAAATTCATGCTGAATTTTGTGAAAAAATTCTGGGATCGACTCGTACGGAAATGGCATTGTCTAATAGGTTTAAAATTCTCAATAAAGAGTTGGAAAAATGGAGAGATGCCTTGTCAAAAGCGATGCACAACTATAGAAGCGGGAAAAATCGTACTAGCGAGGTAAGTGCTTAGTAATTTTCGTTTTATTAAGTTTAATGTCCTAATATATATATTTTGTTAATATTTATTGCATTTTAAATATTTTGTTAATATTTCTTGCATTTTCAATATTTTGTTAATATTTCTTGCATTTCCAATTGTTTCTTAATATTTCTTGCATTTCCAATTTATTTGTAAGGTTAATTGCATTTCCATTATTATTATTTTTGGTTACTTGCATATCCAATATATTTTAAATATTTCTTGCATTTCCATTTTTTTGTTAAATAGATTATTCAAGCACAAATGTGGTTCAGTGCAACCGGGGGTGGCAAAAAAAGTTTCAACCATCATGAATGTTGGGAGGTGGTGAATATTGCAAACGCTTCATAATTATTCCCACGGGTCCCGAGGTTATGTTAAACGAGACGCCACTCCGTGATTCAATGACATCGGATTCACCTATCGATTCCCCTAAGAGTCAAGACTCACCCATTGAAAAGTAGCCGAGGCCCATTGGCCAAAAGGCTACAAAGGCAAAGAAAGCGGGTAATTTGAGCAATAATAATTCAAAGTTTTTGGAAGAAATTGTAAGGCAGAACACCATAAGAATTGAAATGGAGCAGAAACGCCAAGGTAACGAGATGAAGATTCAAGCCGAGTATGCACGAGAAAGGGTGTATTTGCGCAAAAAAGATGAGTACAAGACGGATCGGGAAACCATGGTGATGGATACAAGCCATATGTCCCCTGAAACAAAACAATTTTGGAAGCTAGAACGAAGGGATGTTATGAGAAGAAGACTTTTCTAGGATGATGGGCCTAGCAACACGGATTGGTTAAATGATTAAAACCATTAAATTAGTTGGCATACCTTTTATGTATTTGTATTTTTCATGTTTTCTATTAAAGTTGTTGTAATTCATGTTTTCTATTAAAGTTGTTGTAATTCATGTATTTTATTTTAGTAGTAGTAATTCTTAATGACTTGTATTGGATTTCTTTATGTAATAATTAAAATACCTTTTGAATTTTGAAATTCATCTGAAATTTGAACCCAAAAATCTTATCCGGAAATTTTATCCGATTATGAATAGTATTGACACGTAGGAACCCGGAAATCTTATCCGAAAATATTATCCAAATTAATTATTGAGGTAAAAAATTTGTGAAAAAAACAAAAAAATGAATAGTAATTGCCCTTAGCCATGGCAATGAGTGGAAACACAAAATACTATTTGCAAGGGCAACCACTATTCACGTGAATAATGGTTGCCCTAGCTCCCCCCTTGCCATGGCTAAGGGCAAATGGGTGGAGTTGCTCTTAGGAGTTCATTATGTCATCCTTCTCCGTATTAATGAGGATGGGATGGCGTTGCTGTGAAGACCCGTATATTTTTAAAATATACATGTTGCTGCCTATTTAGTTATATCTTTAAATTGATTATATATATATATAGTTGTTTTACCATTTTAATAATAATTATATGTATTGTATTATATTAAATATGTATATAGGAAGCAAGAGGTGGTAGTTTTTCCTTGCTTTGAACTTGACGTGTAAGTCAGTTGTGCTAAAACTTTTCTATTTGAGATTGATTACTCGACAAGTGTCATTCCACTAGATGACTAATCCTTTTTAGTATGAGCTGGTGGTATTGAGACTTGGAGCAAAGGTTATCAGTTGAAGTGCATCTTCCACCAATTAGAAACCATTAGTTGCTGCCTATGTAGTAGTATAAATAGGAATCATTTCCTATTATTGTTTTCATGGCATTCGTAGCAATACATGAAGAAAGATAGATAGGTTGTTTTGCCAATTTATTTTAAGGGCTCTCATTATCGATGTGAGTGGTTTATGTAATGTGTTCCAAAAGTTCTTATTTTGTGATAAAATATGAAAACCATGAATTATCGTGGATTTGTTCTATTTACAAATATCTCTCTATTTCAAAGTCAAGCATGTCTAATTTGGTGCAATTTTTCACATTATATATATTGATTGGAATATTTGTGAAGCATGTATTATTCATGGAACATGAGAACTTCAATGTTGGGGTATCCGATGGATAGATGTACCACACAGGGACATAGGGCAGTAAGGCCAATAGGGGTCACGTGGTTGGTTACATGCTATGAAGGATAGCCAAGATATGAAGGGATGATGTGATATGATCTGGATTGGTGTATGTTTTCATGATATTTTCTAGAGTGTATAAAACGACATTGCTTGACTAGCATATTACATAATCTACTCACTGAGCGGTGGTTGCTCACCCCTCACCTTGTTTAATTTTTCAGATGAATTAGTGGGTAAGAAAAGGACTAAACCAGTTGAGGCTGAATTAGATGAGAGTAGTAGAGCTTTGTTTATTTATTGTAAAGTTGTAAGATTTTGGGAGCTATTTTATAAAAGAAGTTTATTTTAAACCATGTTTCGGCTTATTTTTATTTTATTTTAGTTTTTATTTTCTCACGCACCAGGCGCGGGGTTTTCACCGACCCCCAGGTTCGGGGCGTGACAGAATGGTATCAGGGCATAGAGATTAGACAACCTTGGGAACTGTGGTAGAAGATTAGTGTGAGCATATAGGTTTGAATTTAAAGAAGTGAACGACAAAGATCTTTAAGAGTAGATTTTCTTGATTAAGTGTGAGTAAATTTCGAGGATGAAATTTCTTTTAAGGAGGGTAGATTATGAAGACCCGTATATTTTACAAATATATATTTTGCTGCCTATTTAGTTATATCTTTAAATTGATTATATATATATATATATATAGTTGTTTTACCATTTTAATAATAATTATATGTATTGTATTATATTAAATATGTATATAGGAAGCAAGAGGTGGTAGTTTTTCCTTGCTTTGAACATGACGTGTAAGTCAGTTGTGCTAAAACTTTTCTATTTGAGATTGATTACTCGACAAGATCCTTTTAGAATGAGCGGGTGGTATTGAGACTTGGAGCAAAGGTTATCAGTTGAAGTGCATCTTCCACCAATTAGAAACCATTAGTTGCCGCCTATGTAGTAGTATAAATAGGAACCATTTCCTATTATTGTTTTCATGGCATTCGTAGCAGTACATGAAGAAAGATAGATAGGTTGTTTTGCCAATTTGTTTTAAGGGCTCTCATTATTGATGTGAGTGGTTTATGTAATGTGTTCCAAAAGTTATTATTTTGTGATAAAAATATGAAAACCATGAATTATCGTGGATTTGTTCTATTTACAAATATCTCTCTATTTCAAAGTCAAGCATGTCTAATTTAGTGTAATTTTTCACATTATATACATTGATTGGAATATTTGTGAAGTATGTATTATTCATGGAATATGAGAACTTCAATGTTGGGGTATCCGAGGGATAGATGTACCGCATGGGGACATAGGGCAGTAAGGCCAATAGGAGTCACGTGGTTGGTTACATGCTATGAAGGATAGCCAAGATATGAAGGGATGATGTGATATGATCTGGATTGGTGTATATTTTCATGATATTTTCTGGAGTGTGTAAAACGGCATTGCTTAACTGACATATTACAACGTTTATATGAAGTGAAAGTTATGGTATTTTAATGTTCTTTTTAAAGTTTAATTTATTATTGTTTAGTACTTTGACAACTATAAACTTTACTTTTTTATTATAATTTTTTTTTTTTTTTTTTTTTTTTTTTTTTTTTTTTTTTATTTCCACCCTCTATCTAATTTCTTTACTCACCTTATCTTTTTGTGATATCCTGTTCCTAAATTAATATTCAATTATTAAATTATTTAAGTAAAAGACAATTTCACCTCGAGACTATTTTAATGGGTTTAAAATTGACTTTTTGTTCGGGAAAGAATTTGGGGATTTGACTAGCACCATTACGTAGAGCGCGTGGATACGAGTTTGTAGACATGTAGTGTGCTCAAATTGGTATTTTAACGAAGAAGTTACGATCAACGGAAGAGCAGTGGCACAACCGTAAATATTTCAAAAGTCAGATTTTAAAAACCAATCAAATCTCTCTCTCTCTCTCTCTCTCTCTCTCCTCCCCCCCCCCCCCAGACCTTACTCTCTCTCTCTGGCGAAAAACCTCAGTAGGCCATTGTTTTGGCCGGCAGCTCCCTCATCCTGCCATCGTTGGCCACGAGACTGGCCCCAAACGAACCGGCCCGACTCCCTCATCGCATCCCATCCCTTCTAAGCTGTAACCGTCACCTCTCGAAAACCGTCTGATTTTCTTCGAAATTTTTCGATGATTCTGGCCACCAAATTTGTCGATCTAGGTTCGATTTCTCATCCTTTCAACATGATCTAGCTGATGGTTGGGTTGTTTAAGATTGATTTTGAAGTTTGAAGCTCAATTTACAATCTAAGTTTTGACTAATTTTCAGCTCGAATTTCCAGCAAGCTTCGACCACTTTTTGGCCATGGTCCAAGAACAAAAGTTGCTCCCCTAGTTATTCTGATCACGTAGGTATAGGTATTGCCGGGTGTTTTGAGAATTTTCCGGTCGCCAAAATTTTCTCAAGACACCCACGCGCTGGGGGCGCGTGGGCCAAGGTTGGGTGACCTATTTGGTCCTAAAATGATCACCATATCATCCCGAACACGACGGTATGCTCAGATTCGAATTTGGTTATCATTTGACGGTCGAACGAATTTTTACATATTAGATGATATCCGAGTTCGATATGTTCAGACTGTTGGATCGACTCCATTTTCAATATGTTGATCTAGGAATCTCTAGGATCATGCAGGAACTCACAAATCGAGAATTGGAGTTCTAGATACTCCAAATCAACGATTCAAAGATTACATAAAACGATGACCGTCCGATCGTGCAATTGAGAAATATCTAACCGCTCGATCTGGACAAACTTGCAGGACGTGTTTAGTAAATTTTGTTGAACCCATAGGAACTTCCGGATTATTAATCGGAGGTCGTAGACCCTAAGGGGGACCTAGTTGACCAATATAAGAATTTAATCGTGTATTTAATCTTGGGTCTTTTCAGACCATTGAAACTGTGAGAACTGTTGAAAATGGGCCTAGGAACTTTCTTAGGTTATGCACACACACTTTAAGGTCGGGGGGTCAAGGTTTTGATTAAATATTTGTGGTTGAGCTATTTTATTAATTAAATGTTTTTAATCGTTTAAATAGGTACTTGGGCTCCACCAAACCCACAGGAAGGACCCTCGAAGAGTCAGGTAAGCTGGGACGCACAATGAGTGGACGTTTGTTTTATAAATGAATTTTATATAGTAAAAGTTTTATTAATTGATCATGAATGAATTATTTATTGTTTTTGCTTTCCAAGCATACAATTTGAATTCAAATACTTTTATAAAATTTTGTTTATGATTAAATGTGAATAGCTTGGAAAGTAGAAAAGGAAATCGTAACAGGATTTAAGGACTGAGTGAGAAACAATATTATAATTTTTCAGGAAAGGTTTTTAAACCATCATAGGTACCCAAAATGTTGCCTTCGAATAAACTGTTGCCTTCAGATATAATGATGTCTACAGACATCCTAGTTGCCTTCGGTTGAGTCAACGCACGTTTGACAGTTGCCTCACGAGTCCTAGGGATATTCGGACGTGAGGAGCGAGGAATGCGGCTCAGGTTGACCAAGTGTCTCCTTAGTTCTGCTAGGAATGCGGTTCGGGTTAACTTTGTGTTTCCAATTTCTTTGAGGACATGTCGATTATGTGACACTTGGAATTGACGGTATAATGTGAGAAATAAATAGAAAAATCATGGAATTGACAGATTTATGTGGTACACCTAGGTGGAAAGGAATTATTATTTTTCAGTGCTTTCTAATGGTTTTGATGAAGTGATTGAATGTATGAACGGTTTTATGAATATAAATATGCATGCTTGATTTTTGCACGAATATAGAACATGGATTAAATGAATTTTCAAATGGTTTTAACAGTGGGGTTAGTATGTTGATATTATATTTTGCAAAACTTTCTTTTGTCCACTCACACTTTTAATGTTTTGCACCTCCAGGCAGTAATCGTGTACTGGAGCACCACCACCGGGCATTCATCATCCACCACTCATCACTTCCATTATGTAGGATATCCTACTATAACCGTACGATTTTTGTAAAGGATAAATTACTCAAATGGTCCTCAAACTTGTACTTAATTTACATTTTGGTCCCTCAATTAAATTATTAGTCAAAATGGTCCATTAATTATATATTAATCACTCAATTGGTCCTACCGTCCAATTTTCTGTTAAATTTAACAAAATTTTAGGGTAAATACAACTTTTCATAATTAACAAATAAAATAGGTTAAAATAAATACAAAATTAGAAAATAATTGAAGAAAAAGAAAACAAAATCATGAGATCCAAACCCCCTCCCTTCGATTTCTTCTCCTCCATTCCCCACATACCTCTCCAATTACTGCGTTCCTCTCCCCTTCCTTGCTCGAGTACGTTTCTCACCTTTTTTTTTCTTCTTCTATTTGTTTCCCGAAAACTCGTGTCTAATCTATTCAATTACTTGCACATGGAATTGAAATGGGTTGTGGACATATGGTGTAGATTATTCAAACACAGCGTAGAGGAGCTTGATCTGAGAGGGGAGAGCTCTGTTGATGCCGAATGGATTGCATACATAGGAGCCTTTCGTTACTTGCGATCTTTAAATCTTTTTGATTGCCGTAGACTCACTACTTCTGCTCTTTGGCCTATTGCATGTATTTCAATTTTGATAACAGTTGGCTGTTTTGTTTCATTTTCCAAGGTATAACTTGGTTTGTGTAAAAGCTGAAGCGGTACGTCTCCTTGCTACTGCTGCTGAGGAGCGAGGACCCAAAGGAGGATGGAGAAGGTTGCTGAAGAGACGCAAAGGAAGAGGAAAGCTCCTGAGGAGGTGGACAATGGCGAAAATGGTGGTGGAGCTGAAGAGGATCAACAGAGGCAAAAAAGTGACTGGGTTCATTGGGAGGGGGAGAGGGTCTGGATGGTTGTTGAGTTGGGGTTCTGGGTTCATTGGGAGGGGGTTTGTGGAAGATTTTTTTCTTTTCTTTTTTCTGTAGTTGCTGGCTTGGGTGGAGGGTGGGGAGGAGCTTGGGTTTTGGGTTCTTGGGGCCTGGGGTGGAGGGTGGTTGTTGGATGGGTTTGGGTGGAAAGTGGTTGTGGGATGGGTTTGGGGGTTGGAGCTTGAGGGTGGTGGCCATGGGGGGAATGGAGAGAGAGAGAGAGAGAGAGAGAGAGAGAGAGTTTTTATTTTATTTTTAATGTATGAAATGACCAATTTGCTCTCATATTTAACAGCAACATTGACAGAATGTAACGATAGGACCAATTGAGCGATTAATATATAGTTAATGGACCATTTGGACTAATAATTAATTAAGGGACCAAAATGTAAATCGAGTACAAGTTTGAGGACCATTTGAGTAATTTACCCTTTTTGTAAATTAATTAATTAGTAGGCTTTGATATTGCCCTAGGATTTTTGTAAGGCCTAAGGCCACACAAATTTGTTGTTGGATTGTGTGTGCTCTAACATTGTGCATGCTGAACGCTTATGGATATAAGAATTGCATGTTGTACATGTGTAAATTATTGGGAAATGAGCAATTTTCAAGGGAGACTCTACCGATTTTTCAGCAGAAGTCAAACCTAAAAATAATTGTTTGAGTTTTAGTTAAGGGCAATTTGGTCAAGCGTGCCCAGCACTTGACTGGTGTTGGATTTTCACAGGGTTCGACATGGATTCCAAAGTGGAATTTGGGTCGGGTCTTGTCACTTCTCACCTACCATTTTCACTGAATCATTCTCTTCAATATCCATTCTCTTGTTTTTCTATTCTTTAGAAACAATTTGATTGAATGAAAATAAGAAAGAAGAAAATTATTTGAGAATTGAGTTATGAGCACTGATGACTCATAAGAGCAATTGAGGAGTCATACCTTTTTTTTTGTTTTTGTCAAAAGGTACAATAGGTGGGTTACATGAGTTGATGTTTTTTTTCCTAAGTCCTTAAAAGTCATTTTACAAAGGGGTTTGTCTTTAAAATTTGAAGATAAGGTGGGTGGGGAAATAGAACAAGGTATGGAAATAGCAGCACTTTTTTTATAAAAAAAAAATATTGGGAACATATACCTTTTTTTTTATTTTAAATTTGATAGAAAAGATGATATTTCATTAAATGCATAAGAAACAATACATGAGGAGAAACTAGCATGATAAAAGACAGCCTTGTTAAAACCTTCTCGGAGAAAAGAATACCCATTGTAAGAAAGAGTACTACCCATGCTAATGACTAAACAGATAAATCAAACAGCTTATGTGAAATAGACAGAACATATAACCCACCCACAAACTCTGAAAACAAAGCCCAACACTCGGCTGATACTGTCAAAGAAGGCCTCCTATGATCTAGAGAAAGCATCACAGTCCTTTGTACAGGATCAAAACATACTGTGGAGATAAAACATATCCAACCAAACACCAACCACAAAGCCCTTGAAGCCCATCCCATCACTACGCAAGGAACTATCAAAGAAGGTCTTTTGTGATCTAGAGAAAGCATCATAGTCCTTTGCACAGAGCCAGAAAGCGTACTATAGGTATCAAATAGATCCAACCAAAATTGGCCTCTTAGCCTAAAGAAATTTCCAAAGAAAGATCTCCGTAGAAGGAATGTTCATCGGATGCCAAGCCCACGAACGTTCCCGAGTAAAGATCAATGAGACCTTGGAAACCCCTCGAGGCTGGTCTCCTTCACCGTATCGGAAGCATCATCACCATAGAGTTTTCTTTTGGCCCCACCCAGATCCACAATCCCCATCACAGTCATAAAGATGGGTACATAGTTGGTACCTAATAGCCCCAACAGCCGAAAATCATAACAGATCACGCCACAAAAACAAAAACCTGCACGGCTAGGTTAAAGTAGAAACATTGATGGCCCCTTAGAGGAAGCCCCTACGAATGTGGACCTCATCCCCACCAAACATCAACTCCCCATGAGAACCAACAACCGAAACCACTTGGAGAGATCAAGAACCCAAGGCCCTAGGAGCAAAGGCCTTCAATCAGACGTTTAGCACACCGATGAGAAAAAAGCAGGCACAAGAAAAGGTGCTCATGAGAGGTGGCGTGGACTGATGGTGCAGCTAGAGGAAGAAAAATCTAACCCTTAAATTTACTCTCCTCACTCAATGTGAGAGGGCAACCCCAAGAAAAATCAACAAAATATATTTTCTTCCAGTATTTTAAACATGCATGTTTGTTTGTTTCACTTGGAAAAAATAAGGCATATTGGGATACCGAGCCTCTACATTTAGCATTCACACATTTATATGATTTTAATAGAATCTTAACTATTTTATTAATCTAATGGAAATTAAGCATTACACCTCAGCGTAGTTATATGTTATTAAAAACTCACTCGCTACATCGAATCACTTACTCTTCTTTCCTACCATCTTTATTTCCCATTCACTACTCTTATAATTATATCATTTTTATTACTACCAAACTGTAAATTGATCCCTTCATCCATATATATTATGAACCATGTATTTTTTGGTCGAACCACAATTAGACTAATTGTATATCGACCAACAAACCATACAACCATGAAAATATTTTTCAGATTCTCAAGAAGGGGGAAAGAAACGTGCTTCTCTCCTGCACATTATTCTCTCCTTGACTTGCTAGACTGTTTGTGCAAATAATCTCTCAGGAGAATATTCGTTTCTAGATCCTTCAACCTTCGATCTTCCTTCTCTCTCTTCCTCGATTCCTGTAAAAAAGATTGGAGTAAATAGACCACACCCGAGGGGTGTTGGCCAAAGGCCCTCCGATGCCTAAGTTAGCTCGAGTGTTTGTAGGAAAACAAAAGCTAAGCAAAGGGTACGGAGTTTGTGTGTGGTGTAAACCGGGCGGCCGGAGCCATGTGTGGTGGCCGGAGCCGTGTGGAGAAAATATAGAGAGTGGAGAGGGAGAGAGAGCTTCGGGCATTTTTCTCGGGTATTAGGAGTAGGTTTAGATGTACCTTGAATGATGAATGAGGTCGTCTATTTATAGGAGCCTCGGGGCTAGGGTTTCGTAGAGAATATGTTGAGTTCATTCTCTACCCAAATTCGTAGGGATTGAGTCGGACTTAGATAATATCTGATTTAATGATATTATCTTCTCTTTATTGAAGATAATATCTTAATTAAATGATATTATCTCTTTTTATGAAGATAATATCTGAATTAATGATATTATCTTCTCTTTATTAGGATAATATCTAAATTAATGGTATTATCTTATTAAATAAAGATAATATCCCATTAATTAAGATATTTATCCCAATTAATTAATTGGCCAGATAAACTGGTTCAATTAATTAATTTTAAGAGATAATCTTCTTTTCCACGTGGCATGCCCTGATTGGAGACAAAAATATATGCTCCCACAAGGACCATGAAAAGAAATACAAGGAAAAGCTCAAAGCTTGCTTTTAAAATATTGAAAATTATTGAATCGCAATAAATTTTTAGGCTTGCCTTTTTGGGCTCCTGCTTTCTCTATGAAAAAAAAACCTTTTTCTAGCTCATGCATTATCAATATCATTATTACTATTTACCAAAACAAATATTGATTATTTATAGCCGTTTTAGTGCCACTTTGTTCTTTGATACAGTGCAAATTTTGAGTTTAAATATAATACAACTATTCTAAGGTGGAATAATTAATATCCATTAGATTAATTGAGTGGTTAAGATTCTTTTAAATGTGTATAAATGTGTGGATGCTAAATGTAGAGGCTCAAAATTCAGGTAGTTGAATCATGCGACATGTCCTTAGGATAATAAAATGGCTGCCCTCCTACTTATTATGCTTAAGAACATGTACTATTAGATTAAAAGAAAAATTAGGTATTAGACATAATTATCTTTACTAATTAGTAGTTGAGATAAACAATATTTCTGTTTAGGTTTTAATACCTAGGAATGAAATTTTGTTTTGGATTTGACCAAAGAGGAGGCCCAAATTTGTTGGCCCACCTTATATTAATCACTGAAAAGACAATTATACCCTTTTTGTTTAAAAGATTCATTGGTTTCTTTTTTTATCGTATTAGATCTCTCTCTCACGCTCTCTCTCTCTAGCAACGACGACCACAGCCTTCACCTGCAATGGAATTCTCAAGCTGCTCATCCCTTCGGCCTTCCCGGTAACTCCAAGGTCTTCTGGCTCAAGATGAAGAGCATTACGATCGCTATCTTGCTGAGTTCAAGATCGGCGCCAAGCACAATGACCAGTCAACCCTCTTTGTTCTCATTCTGGTACGTCAAAACCCTATCTAAACTCTAATAACGATTTGCTTCTTGGTCACGATTGTAGTGTTTTAAAGATTATGTTTCTTTTTTGCAATTGTAATGTTGGGTGAACCCTCAGTGTGTATTGTTGAACTTTCATTTGTAGAATTGTTAAGTTTCCTATCCCACAAACGATTAAGGTGAAATTAATTGGGAAAATGATTCGTATCAAAGAAAAAGGGAAGATGTTTTATTTTATTGACTAAATTCTATTAAACTGTTATGCAGCCTTCAGGTAAGAAAATCCAGTTATTGAGTGCACCCCTGAAGGCTGATTAGCCTATGCTAGGCAAGGGATGTTGGCCTATAGCTCCTTTTATCCTTCCCACTTAAGAATTTTATAATTTGATATATATATATATATATTTTTTTGCTACACAAGATAATTGATGAATTGTTGATTCATTAGTAAATCTATCGTATTTTCAGATGATACCTTGACAATCAACAAGGTAATTCTGACTTCCTAAATAGTAAACTGGTGATTCAAGAACTGAGAATCCACTGAATGCTTTGCAAGTCAGTTGGTTTCAATAATATGTCAAATTTCGGCTTTCTTATTTTTTGCTAAAAAGTTCACATACACGTTCTCTGGTCTTCACTTGCATGTTCACTGCTTTCTAAATTGCTAGGTTGGTATGCAGTTTTCACTCTAATTTGTTGTGAACTTAATGTTATAGCTCGTAAGGATTTCATTCTTATAAATAAATAAAAATTTTGATTTTAATGTTTCTTTTTCCCTTTTTCATTTTAATGTTTCTTTTATCCCAGAACTACTATCCAAATTTGATTTTAATTTATTGTTTGCTTTATAATGGAATTATTTATCTATTCTCACACATTTGCAACAATCATGCAGGACGTATATGAACAGCATAAAGAGTTGATTTTACTTGGAGAGAGGGTTGTTCTTGCAACTCTTGCTTTTGATCTTAATGTAAACCATCCATATAAACCGCTGGTTGAGGCAATAAAGAAATTGAAAGTAGCTCATAGTGCCCTTGCTCAAGTTGCATGGAATTTTGTTAATGACGGGTATGGTTCTCTTAGTTTATAAATATCTTGCGTGTTCTTCTTGGCCTTTCTTTAGTTTCTTCTTGAACTTGGAATGTGGTATTGTATAATTATGCTTGTAGCTTACATGTTAGAGTCTTTTGTTTCAGGATCAAATCAGGTGGTAACAATTTGACTTTAAAAGGATGGCCCCTCATAGTAAGTTTTTGATGGCTGGATAGATTTTTAGATTCCTACAATTCAAAATTTTGTTGTGTCTGTTTGGATAATTTCTTTTCTTTAGTTTCCAATCCTATATTAACACAATGGTAATATATATGTTGACTGCATCAAAGTGACATTCTTTCTGAATTTTGAAACTCAATTGTTCGTTGTTGTCTATCTCTGAAGTTGAGAATCCCAAAATGACCAAATTCTTATGTAAATTCATAATCTTTATTCTTTGCTGGGCCTATTATGCCTATTGAAGATACAAATATGATGATTAATGTGCTCTTATCAGAAACTGCAATTTCCGTTTGTTGCAATTTTTGATAAGAAACTGCAGTGCAGTTTATTGTTCCATATTTTGATTTTAGAATAATTTTTCAAAGTGTATGGGAATGTTACAATTGCTCATCTACTTATATGTATTTTGAACTTAGTTTTAGTACTTTGATCATAGCTTTGCCTTTTGGTTTCTTTTCACTTTTGGGCATATTTTTTTCATAAACTGCACTGAAGTTTCTATTTGTTGCATTTTTTTATATCAGAAACTGCAATGCAGTTTCCTATTCCATATTTTGATATTAGAATAATTTTTCCAAGTCTATGAGAATGTTACAACTGCTCATCTACTTATATGTGTATTGAACTTAGTTTTAGTACTTTGATCATGGCTTTGCCTTTTGGTTTCTTTTCATATTTAAGCAGATTTTTTGTTCTTCAACTGCATTGCAGTTTCTGTTTGTTGCAGTTTTTTTGTTCCATATTTCTCTTTTAGAATGATTTTTGCAAGTCTATGGGAATATTACGACTTAATGTGCTTCGAACTTAGTTTTGGTACTTTAATCATGGCTTTGCCTTTTGGTTTCTATGCAAATATGAGCAGATGTTTTGTCATAAAATGCACTGCAATTTCCGTTTGTTGCAATTTTTGATAAGAAACTGCAGCGCAGTTTCCTGTTCCATATTTCGATTTTAGAATAATTTTTCAAAGTCTGGGAATGTTACAACTGCTTATCTACTTATATGTGTTTTGAACTTAATTTTAGTACTTTGATCATGGCTTTGCCTTTTGGTTTCTTTTCACTTTTGGGCATATTTTTTTTTATAAACTACACTGAAGTTTTTGTTTGTTGCATTTTTTTATTATTAGAAACTGCAATGCAGTTTCATGTTCTATATTTCAATTTTAGAATAATTTTTCCAAGTCTATGTGAATGCTAGAACTGCTCATCGACTTAAATGTGTTTTGAACTTAGTTTTAGTAATGGCTTTGCCTTTTGGTTTCTTTGCAAATTTGAGCAAATGTTGTCATAAACTGCGTTGCAGTTTCCGTTTGTTTTAGTTTTTGATCAGAAACTGCAGTGCACATCATTGTTTTCTCAAATTAGGTTGACCACATCATTGTTGTAATCAACAACCTCATCTTCCTCTTCTTCTTCCCCAGCTTCCTTTTTTGCTTTCCCTTTCTCTGTTTTCATCTTTTGTTTTGTGTTGGCCTTTTCTTTCTTTGGTTTGTTTGCCACGATAATTTTCTTGTGTAATTCTTCTTTTACGAGGCCTTTTGATGGTTTTGTTTGTTGTTTTGGTTTTTTTTTTTTTTTTTTTTTGTTTTTTTCTGTGTTTTTTATTTTATTTTTATTTTTTAAATCAATGATTGTTTATATAAATATTATGTAATTGAATAGATATCACAAAAACAAGTTTGGTGTAGTGGTTTGAGTGAGGCTTCCTCCTTTGAGGGTCAAGATTCGAGTCCCTTTAATGACACAAATTATTCTATATTTTTAGGGTGAATAAAGGGCAATGGAGTTAGTCCTCGGTTGGTCGGAGATGGGCGACGACAGGTGGCGGCAGTTGGCGGGTGATGGGCGGTGGCGGTTGGCGGGTGATGGGCGGTGGTGGTAGGTGGCGGCGGCTGGTCGGTGGTGGTGGCAGTTGCCCCGAAGGAGGTTGGCCGGCAGCAAGTGGTGGTGGTTGACCGGCGACGGTGGTGGTAGCTGACCGGAAGGGAGATTGCTGAAGGTGGACATGTGGCATAGTGTGCTTGCTTTTAAAGGAGTGGCATTGTGTGTAATTTTGATGTTTTTTAATTACATTATTGTAAAATTAGTACTACTTTTTGGTCTTTGGCATTATGTTAATTAGATGAAATTGTATTTCTATCTTCTAAATTAGTAAACTATATAGTGTTTTAAAATGAAAGCTCCCTAGATTAAAAGCTAGTTATGAAAAAATTATTAATAATTATGTTTTTCAAAAAGTGCTAAACAGACTTTTTTTTTTTCCTTTCTTTTTAAGACAAGGGATTATAAGGATTCAAATTTACTACTTCCACTAGTAAAAAATAACCCTTGCGCGACCAAATTTTGCGCGATGAAAAACTATTCGTCGCTCAAAGTCACTTTGCGCGATAAAACTCAAAATTTCGTCGCTCAAAACCTTGCGCAACCAACTTTTGTGCGATGAAAAACAATTCGTTGCGCAAAGTGACTTTGCGCGACAAACTTTTGCGCTACGACAATACATCGTTGCTCAAAGTCTTGCACGACGAAAAACAATTCGTGTTGCGCGACAAACTTTTGCGCTACGACAATACATCGTCGCTCAAAGTGACTTTGCACGACAAAACAATAAACTTCGTCGCGCAAAGTCATTATAAAAATAAATAAAATAAAAAAATTATTTTTAAAAAACTTTGCATGGTGTAATCCAAACATTTCATCGCCTAAAGCAATTTATTTTTGTTTTATTTTGTATGCATAACACTTAAGAAATTAAACGGTTTATATATTTTTATTAAGTAGCTTTAAATTTATTATTTTAGATCGGATCGGATTTTTGTTAGAAAATATATTTTTTAAATTGACGATCGGATTAGTTCATTGTATTCATATAAGGTCAAGGAGTGTAGCTGTTAAAAAATCATTAAAATCGGAGTTAAAATAACCGTTAAATTGTGATTTTTCATTTATAACTGTCGAAAAGTTTTGTCCCATTACTTGATCTTTGAATGTTTATTTTTTCCGATTTTTGGTGTATATGATCTTGAAGTATAAACAAACAAGTTTGACAGTTGGATCGTTGAAACTAGTTTTGTTGAATGCGTATGCCATCAAAACAATATATTCACTAACAATTAAGAGTTTATTTATACTTTCGTTAGATATAACATAAGATTTTGTGGTATCCGCTAGTGTAAATATTTTAAATTGAAGATCAAATTCAATCATTGTATTCATATAGGGTCAAAGAGTGTAGTTGTAAAAAATCATCAAAATCGGAGTTAAAATAACCATTAAATCATGATTTTTGGTTTATAACCATCGAAAAGTTTTGTCCCGTTACTTGATCTCTAAATGTTTTTTTTTAAATTTTGGCTTATATGATCTCGAAGTATAAACAAACAAGTTTGACGGTTGGATCATTGAAAATAGTTTCGCAGAATTTGTATGCCATCAAAACAATATATTCACTAACAATTAAGAGTTTATTTATATTTCCGTTAAATATAACATAAGATTTGGTGGTATCCACTGGTGTAAATATTTTAAATTGAAGATCAAATTCAGTCATTGTATTCATATAAGGTCAAGGAGTGTAGCGATAAAAAATCATCAAAATTGAAGTTAAAATAACCGTTAAATCATGATTTTTCATTTATAACCGTCGAAATTTTTTGTCCCGTTACTTGATCTCTGAATGTTTATTTTTTCCGATTTTTGGTGTATATGATCTCGAAGTATAAACAAACAAGTTTGACGGTTGGATCGTTGAAACTAGTTTCGTAGAATGCATATGCCATCAAAACAATATATTCACTAACAATTAAGAGTTTATTTATACTTTCGTTAAATTTAACAAAAGATTTTGTGGTATCCACTAGTGTAAATATTTTAAATTGAATATCAAATTCAGTCATTGTATTCTTATAGGGTCAAGGAGTGTAGCTGTAAAAAAATCATCAAAATTGGAGTTAAAATAACCGTTAAATCGTGATTTTTCATTTATAACCATCGAAAAGTTTTGTCCCGGTATTAGATCTCTGAATGTTTATTTTTTGCGATTTTTGTCCCGGTATTAGATCTCTGACGGTTGGATCGTTGAATGGTGTGTGTATATATATATATATATTTATTTATTTTGTACGTATAACACTTAAGAAATTGAATAGTATATACATTTATTAAGTAGCTTTAACTTTATTTATATTTTAAATCGTAAAATAAAATTATTTTATTTTTTATTATTCATAACAATTATTTTTATAAATATTGTGCTACGAACCAATTTTTCGTCTCTCAAAAGTTTGCGCGACCAACAGTTTGTCACGCAAAACTCTAAAAATTTGGGCGGTTACCAAAAAAGAGACGCGGGATTTTTAAAAAAAAAACTTTTGTAGACTTTGCGTGACCAATATTTTGTGTCGCTCAAAACCTTAAGCGACCAATATATATTTTTCGTCGCGCAAAACTTTGGGCGGGTACCAAAAATGGGACGCGGGAATTTTTTTATATAATTTTTTTAGACTTTGCCTACCAATATGTATTTTTCGTTGCGCAAAAATTTAAAAATTCCCAAAAATGGGACGCAGGAATTTTTTTTTTTGACTTTGCACGACCAATCTTCCAATATTCATCCCTCAAATTGCGCGACCAATATTCCAATATTTTTCGTTGTGCAAAACTTTGCCCAACCAACAATATTGTTCATTGAGCAAAGTGATACGGTTTTTAAAACCAAAATAACTCCTCCACCATTTTCTCAATGTCTTTCTCTACTCTTACCTCTCCTCTCTCTTTCCCTCTCCCCAAATCCCACCCTTTCTCTCACACTCACTCCTCTCACTTAATCTCTCATCACTATCTCTCACTCTCACTCACTCTCTCATCTCTCTTTTCACTATCTCTCACTCTCACTCACTCACTCTCTCATCTCTCTATCACTATCTTCTCTAATTCTCTCACACTCACTTCTCTCTCTCATTCTCACTCACTCTCAATCTTGCCAAAAAGTATATTCTCTCCAAAATTTTAATTTTATTCATTAATATGTGTTTTTGGAGTTAGTTTGGAGTTTGTGTGGGGTTTGGGGTTGAGTAAAGGGGAGGGATTGGAGTTTGGGTTGGATTTGTGGTATAAGAATTTTAGGGGATTTAATATCTTCCGCCACTACCACCACAATACGCTTGTATTAGGATTTTATTATTGTACTTGTTAATTTATGTGTACATTTGTATATTATATATATATATTTATTGGATAATTTGATCACTATTTTGAATATGTAATTTTATTTTGAATATGTCAATTTAAATTAAAGTAATTAAAAAATCATACAATTAAATTAAATTTAAAAAGTAAAAATTTGAAAAAATTAATATAATTAAATTAATATCAATTTAAATTAAAGTAATGAAAAAAAATCATACAATTAAATTAAATTTAAAAAGTAAAAATTCGAAAAAATTAATATAATTAAATTAATATTAAAGAAATAATAAAACAAAAAGTCAAAAACCTTGCGCGACAAAATATTTCGTCGTGCAAATATTTGTGTGACGTTAGTATTCGTCGTGTATAACTCTAAAAATTTGGGCGGGTACCAAAAATGGGACGTGAATTGAATTTTTTTTTTTTTTTTTTTTTTTGTTTTTCGTAGCGCAAAACTTTGCGCGACCAATCGTTTTCGTCGCGCAAAACTGTGCGCAACCAATATTTTTCGTTGCGCAAAGTGACTTTGTGCAACCAATATTTTTTCGTCGCGCAAAGTCACTTTGTGCGACCAATGAAAAAACTTCGTCGCGCAAAGTCTTTCTTCATGATCTTTGCG